ATAAACACTCATGTTACTGTAGTGACCGAAAACAGACCAAAAGATGAACCCTTCACCTTATGTAGCAGTTCATTATGCTGAACAGGCTGCTTACACAATAAAATCTCTAACAAGCCCATTCCCTGCTTCATGCACGATGTCAAATAAACTGGAGCGATCTGGAGGCATTATAGCATTGAGATTGTCAAAGAAATACAATGTTTCATTGACATACTGAAAACAAATTAGGACTAGTCAAAATAATAACAATGACAAATGAGCAGAAGAGAGCTGCAAATTAGCCTGTTTGAGTGGCTACACATTGGATGATCTTTTTAAAATTTCCCCGCAAATTTAGCCTTTTTGGCTTTCGTAGTTACGATTTTGACTAAACTTAGTGACTGAAAACTGTAGTCTCCAACTTGTATGTTTATGGCTTTCTCTTTGAGAATGACAAAAGTTATGAACCAAGGTATGTTACAATCCTACATTTCACACGTTAGATGTAAGTTGACATTGTTTACAGAATTCACTCGTAAAAGAAGCATAACCAAGAACCTAAGCAGATAAACTATGCCTCTGACATTAACCAGGTTGAGCTGTTTTCTTTTTTAGGTGCCAGACATATTAAAAGCTACCAGCTAGAAACAGTTGTGCCAAACAGGCCAACCATGACAATTCCAATAGCCCAATCAACTATTGACTAATCTTTCCTGTATTGGATAAACCACAAGAAGCAACCCCAGGGACCTCAACCACCGCATGGGCATCAGGAAATGCAGCTAAAATTAGCTTGCACCCTACGATTTGTTCAAAGGAATGAAATATGTCCTTCCCCAGATATTTTCTAAGAAAATGCAGATTGAAAAGCTACAGTTCAGAAGGTGGAGTAACATGCACTAACCTGCCATGTAAATGCGTGAGAAGAGAGAACTTGAGCGTAGACCAGTCGATGGAGCTCCTGTATAGAGAGCTCCCCCAAATTATATTGCTCTTCACATAAAAGACTTTCTGCTTCATCACTCCCAGCAGTCATCAACTCTATGGCATGTGCAACCATCCTATTCATCAGTAAAATATATTTACATGGCTCATGTCATTTGCCCAAAAACAACATACTACAAATTGCATTTAGATAACTGAGTAACTTACCAAGGGCCAAACTCTTTAGAGCATTCTGCTAATACAACCTAGCAAATCAAAGTGCCTCATAGTCAAGTCCATGAAGAAAGAAGAGCAAGAAACTTAACACTTGATTAATGAATAGTTGTTACCTCTGTATTTTCCCCGAGAATTCCAAGAAGAAGCCCCATCAACTTCTGGGATCTAGGCACTGGTTTCAACTGAATGCATTTTTGCGCAAGGCCATGCATGCTTTCAAGACCCTAAATTTTGTCAAAAGAGTTCATGAAATCACATGCCGTAACATCCTCAGCTAATTATTCATAATCAACTGAACCTAAATAAAAGATGTATCTTTCCGGAGGAAGAATGACGGGCTTTTACCACTGTGAATGGCCTGACGTATAAGAAGTGAGAAACATATAGCTCCAGCCAATGATAAGTCGCAGATGAAAGACCGTTGGAGTTCCCCAGCATTATTTGCAGTAAAGTTTTCAAGCCTTCTCTTGTCTGAAGATGATTACATTTGATCCAATATGCACTGCAGTCAAGCTTGGTAATTCGTGCCCTCCATCTCTCCCATGCCTCGAAGTTTAAAGCAATAAATAGGCATCCAAATCAGAAGATCACCAAAAGGGTATTTGATGCATTCTCGGTGGCTTACCTTAATAAAGTCAGGTTTAGCTTTATAGCATTCACCTAATCTTCCATCTCCTAATTCGAGACGCATGCGTGGCATTTTTGAGATAAGAACAGCAACTGCCTCTACCAGTCCATTCTCTGTCTGTACAATTCAGGAGAAAAAAAATTTCCATTCAAAAAAAATGAGAGACATAGCAAATCGTGGAAAGGAGTCCACAGAACTAGCCATTTTAGTGTATTTGTTAACTTGATACAGTTTGAGCACCTAACATACACAATGAAAAAGGATGAGGACTAGCATAGGTGACCCCTAAGACTCTGCAAAATTTTATGGTTGTATCAAATACATGCCATTTACTAAAAAGACTGCTCGTATCACTTTGCAATGAAGTGCCATTTGTCGTTTTACAGACTCCAATACCTATTATACATGCCTTTGCCGAATATTCTATTTGCGACACCTTGGTACAACCACATAGTCATCTCCTTCGACATGCACCATTAATTTTCCTTTCAATAGGTCATATATCATTTATTTGTATACAAATCCAAGTTTCTTCAGGAAAATTACCTTTCGTTTTACTAATGCTAGTGCCATCAGGGCATTTCTATAAGATAACAAGATCTATAATCAATTTACTTTCTGATTTCTGTGCTATATAATTAGCCTGTCCCACAACCATAAGGGAGAAGATATTAGAGATGCAAGTGAAAAAGTATTCTAGTGTCAAATTACGTGAAATCGGAATTGTCTTTCGACCTGATGAAGGTTAAATCATATGGAAAACAATTGCATTCACCCACCTCACGACTACTAAGCTGATCTAGTTGATAAGACCCGTGGAGATGTAACAATTTAACCTGTATATAAGAAGAAAAGAAGGAAATGAAATGGATTGCTGCATCCCATATACTGATGTTATGTCTTCAAGAGTAAACAACAACAAGAAGACAAGATTCCACAAATGAAAGTCCCAAACTTTAAGAAGATACTAACAACAATCTCTAACCAGCCAACCGCAAGTGCTGACCCTATCACTTCCCAGTACCTAGGATTGTCCTCAATAACCTGCACAGATTTCAGGGATGGAATATTCATATAAGGAGGGAATCCTAAGTCTTAACAGAGAATTCCCAGTGAAAACAAACTCTCAAGCAATTAAAATTTAAGACTTTTGCATGAAATACGTAACCACCTAATCATGAACAGTGAAATCAGATATTAAATTAACAACACTTAAAACAGATCATAAAACAAGCTATATGCCCTCACTTCCAATGGCGTAAGCAAATTCTATTTTAAGGACCAAGCAAGGAGACGGTACTTGGAAACTATCCAGTGAAAGCTCATTATGTATGAAAGGATTGAAAACCGCAAAAGAATAAATGACTAAAGCTTCACGATAGAAGTCTTCCTATACATTAGTTGAGATTTTTGTGAACTTTTGGCTAGCTGACACGGCTAGACACCAATTTCCAAGTCAAAACCAAACTCCTTTATACCAAATTGAATTTAACGGCCCAATAAACACAGGAGAAAAGAATCTTACCTGAATATTTATTAGTTCATTTTGGAAATCCACAAGTTCAGAGTGGACTGTTGCACAAGAGCCGGAGAATAGGCTATCATAATCCTGTCATGAGATGCATAGCATGTAGGTTCATATCAAACGTTAAGAGTACTAAAATTGACAATATATTTCCCATGATGAAATAATTACTCAAATGAAAATAAATATAAGAAAGATCATTACAGCCAACCAATCAATAAGTCGCTCCGGTAACCATGCTTGAGATAGCTTATCGGCATAAAACAATTCCATCAACTCCCATGCAGCTTTCAAAGATGTTGGCTTCTCACTTTTCTGCAATTTCAAATCTCAAATTACAATTAGCCTTCAGAGAGACCACATTTACCGAAAAGAAAAAAATCGAACACACCTTCAAAACTGCTTTCGGATCTTCAATAACCGATGCGGGAGTAGATTTCGAACTACCTAGAAGTGCATTTATGTCTTTGCTGTACTCCATTACAAACTCCCACCTGCATCATCAGAATATGGGCCTCGAACATCAGTGCATATCTAGGTGATGTGAAATGACTTGAGCTGAACGGAAGTAAATTTCAATACGCTATAACAATGAGCTGGGTGAAATGACTATCTTTCATTTTCCTCGAAAGACAAATTACCAATCTACGTGATAAGGAGATGGGCTTATCCTCGACAAGGCCGAGACCGAGCTCCTCCGGCTCTGGAGCATCGCGAACGGGGACATCGAACCGTAAGCGATCCTCCTCCACTGCGCGTCGCTGATCTCCCCATCTCCGCCGTTGAGCTTGACCTCGACGACCTCCCCTCCGGCGCCGCCCTCGCCGCCCGCGGGAGATTGCTGCTGGAGGATCGAGACGCGCAGGGAGCTGCCGCGCGCCCAGCAGACGGAGACCCGAGGGGAGACCGGACGCCCGACGGAGTGGCGGAGAGGATAGACAGGAGGCCGTTCCGAGGAGAGCGGCACCAGCGCACCGCCGCCGGAGTCCGACGCGGCGGCTCCTCCCGGCATCGGCGCCGGAGGACGGTGGTTTTCTGGAGGGTTTTTAGGGTTTTGGAAATGCAAGCAGATGTCGCAACAGACTAGCTCGCAGCGCGGGACGAGTGAATTTGACGTCGACGACGCTGCGTTTTGGGGATCGTTGTTACTTGCGGAGCTGTCGTTTCGCTGCTTTGCCGGAGTTTTTTACTACGGAAATTTACCGTAATACTTCCGACACATACGTTGAGAAAATTACACAATTGACACGCGCCTCTTCCAACCCATATGGGAAAGCTATTGGACTTCCATACTTAGAAAAATTCTGATTTCTTGGTTTTTATGGATATTCACTTCAGTGAATACTTTACTTCCTGAAGCATTTTACATATGTATTTGCTACTGCCATTATGCAAAATCAGAGCGAAAGAGTGAAATTCTACGGTTAGTTTCGACGTGTTTACGCATCAAAATTGTGGAAAGAAATTATAGTGCCATTAGCATCCCTATGATGTCCTTCTCTACGTCAATCTTTTGCTCCGATTGAATCACTGAGTGATTCTTTCTTACCGCCGGAGTCCATATCTCTTAAAATCCCATCGGACTTCCGGTCCCTCTATTCTTTGCCGATGGAAGAAAGCCTACTATGGCCTTAAACAAGTGAGAAAAGCCCTCTCTATGTAGTTAGCTAAGCCGAAATTGCAATCAAAGGTTAGAGCTAGCGAGCATGAAAACGGATGCGCTAAGGCGCAACAGCTCGTACAATAACAATGCCTTGAGAAAACTGTACATCGAGATTGACATATAAGACTAGTGAAATAAGGTATATGCCTTGGCCCGCCGCTCGCACATAGTAAAGAAATGAATAACACATCGGGCTTCTCGGAACCAAAAGCTTTCGCCTATTGACAGCAGATGAAGTGATGCACTCTGTATAAGCATGTAATACAACAGACATACATGACCCTCTCTTAAATGATAAATGAACCGTGTCCTCGTCCACTCTGGTCCATTTAAGGACTCTACTGTCCAGGACCGGGGGCCTGGAGACACTCCTGTACGATCTCCTTGATCCTCCTCTTCATAAGCTTGTCTTTCACACCGGCAAGCATGTTCCTGTAGAACATCTCCATTCTGATAAGCTTACCGCGGTCGGCTGACTCTAACATGTCGTCCCACTCTTTCGCAATGTCCAAAGTCCCGGAATTCTGTGACAGCAAAGGGATATCTTGCTCGTTGAAAGGTTTCCCAAAGATCGAACCGTGGAGCATGCTCGTGTATCTTTCCATTTTAGAAAGTCTCAACTGGAGAGACTTTATCTCTTCCGTCGCAAGCGACAATTTTCTCTCCATTTCAGTGGTTCCATTGCTACTTTTATCCATGGTTTTGTCTTCCGAACTCTCCTCTTGCTCGAATTCCTCTGTTGGTGGAGGCCACAAAACCAAAGTCGGAGCATAACAATCTATTGTATTTCCGTTGCCAAGGACTCCGCTCCTTCCTCTTCCCCAAGACCAAAGCTTGTATCCATCATCTGCAACAAGAACAGTATGTGCCGCACCACAAGTGACTTGAACTGGGTCGTGAAATTTAGGTCCATATTTCCAGTTACATGGAATTAGTATGGGAAAAATAGCATCACCCACGTCTCCACCTGCAAAACTAGCTTCTGGACATAAACCGAGACCCCTTTCCATACCCCATGACCACACATCTCCAGCTGATGAAACAACACTGGTATGAAACAAGCCACAGTCAACAGAGATCAAATATACAGGCTGTGGAAGCTGCTTTACAGGTTCTGGAACCAAAGTACTTTGGGTTGTTCCATGTCCAAGCTGTCCTTTATCTCCAAGTCCAAATGTCCAGCACATACTTTCTGAAGTGTCACTTGGTCTTTTCCTATGGGTAAGTAATGCTGTGTGAAAGGCCCCACAAGCTACCTCATAAACTGCCCATGGACAATCCTCATTGAATGTTTTTATGATTTCGGGGTGAAGTCTGCTTTCTTTATCTCCCAAGCCTAGCTGACCGTGATTATTGCTACCCCACGAGTAGCACACTAAATCATCCCCCTCATGTTTTTCTCCTGTACTAACCAGTGCTATTACATGCTCATTTCCACAAGCTACCTTAACTACAATGTGTCCATGCAAATCCCACATTGGAATTGGTGTAGGACAGCTCACCAGAGAGAACGCTTCTTTGTTGTCGCTGCTTTGCTGTGGGCAGTTTCCCCACATCCATAATGCACCGAGATTATCTATTGCAAAGGACATCATACCGCCAGCTTTAACAGAACAAACCTGCCGGAGTCAAAATGGATGCAGATGATTTACAAAATATTAAAGAGGTGCTTCATACAATGCACCTAGCCTTATCAGATGAAATATTGCAAACTATATCAGATACCTTCAGTGATGCTTTGCTGTTCATTTCTGACTCATTTGTCATTGATTTGGGAGAAGCCAGCTCGTTAAATTCATTCATCAAGCAAGGTACTGCAGAATTGTCTCCACTGGCACCAAGTTGTCCGTCCATGAATCGGTCAAGGGTTTAACAGAAGATGAACTTAGCAACAAGTTCAAGAAAAGGATGATGAAATTTGTAATTCTACGCATTCAATAAAGATTCTGCAACGAACTGGAACAATATCATAGAAAGCAGACAGATTTGCAGAGGATACAGAGATTGTAGCCCCAGCACCAAACAGATCCATCATCTGCAATTTATCAGAGAACCAAAGAAAACTTCAGTGAGTAAGAATTGGAGATCACGTCACATATTAGACATGCTTTACTTCAGTTAAGATCCATTCCAATTTGTTCCGACCTTACTCTTAACTCTAACTAACAAAGGCCTATCGTCTATTCATTTGAGCATTGCACAGAAAGATTATATACAATGACATTTTCATTTGAAAAGGCGCCCTGGTTACAGCAAGGTAGCATGATGCTCACAGCCCGTGTCATCAAAGACGGGGAAATGATTGTAATTTCCCTAGGAAACCAATGAATTCACAAATGAGTTTGTTTGAATGCTTAGCTACAAGAGAATGTAGATCACCTAACACAAGCAAACTGTCATTCGCTAACGGGTAATGACCATCCATGCTAGATGTACGGCACATGTGTCAACCCTACACAGCATGGTTATTCACTTTGGAGAGCTTTGATCAGCCGAAGCGAGCAAATGTCGCAAGGAAATCCATACTATATTTAACAGCCTTCGAATTGCGAAAGCCTCTGTTGAATATGTTCAAACACTGACTATGCAGCTCATAGTTAACAACATTTACACATTGGACACTACATAATAATCGCGGATATTTGGAAACAGTTTACGGACAGTTAGTTTACTGATCGACAAGCAATAGTAACAAACCAATTTAATTTCCTTCATGTATGCTTAAGACTCGAAATTCAACCGGGACATCAAACCAACCTGCAACACAAAGACTATGGTAAGCACCAGCAGCGATTCCCACAATCTTGACCCTCTTGTCCTGAGGGAAATCAAACTTGACTCGAACCGGGAAAAGCCCATCCTCTTCAGAGCCGGTCCCGAGCCGCCCAAACAGTCCTCTCCCCCATGCATACACAACGCCATCCCCTGCATTTCACATCATCAACAACACCACAAAAGCCTTAAGCTACAGACAAAAACAGAAGGGAAATCTCACAGATACCATAAAATTGCGAACAGCCCCGTGGAACATGCAAAACCCGTGTTCTTACCTTCAACAAGAAAACAAACGACCCAGTCTTGATCGTTTTTTACTATCTTTTTTCAACTAACACATCGAGGAATTATCAGACGGACATGTCTCTTCTAACATCAAACACTTCTTACAGCAGATGATGCTAGCAACCGTCTCTCTCTTTCTCTGTGTCTCTCAAAATTGGAACTTCATTCCAGTAAAAGCAAGATGGCAAGGCACCCGATTCAGGGGAGGAATTGGGTAGTGAGCTAGCGACGGCGAGATTACCGGTGAGAGCGAGAGTGTGAGCTTCTCCGGAGGCGACGGCGACCACCTTGCGAGAAGGGTTGCCGGGTACCGGAGAAGTTGCCGGCGCTTCCATGGATTCCGGCGAGCGACGGATTGAGAGGAAGACCTGACGAGGACCGGCCTCGTCTCTTAGCTCAGTCAGTGACGTGCTCGAGTTCTATGCGCCCTTTGGAGCTATTTATAGGACACGTAGAAGCGCGCCAGTGGCAAAATGGTAATTATCGTGTCTCGCGCGATCGAGAGAAATGCTTTTTTTTTTTTTAATGTGGTGAAAATGCCACAAGTTACTCTTGAAAAAATAACACAAAAAATTCCTGAATTTTGACCAAATAAATAATGTTATTTCTAAACTTTTAATTTGTTCAATGTGGTCTCTTGAACTTTAACCCATTGTGAAATGCGGTTCCTGAAATTTTAATTTGTACAACGTAGTCTCTAAATTTTTTATACATGTTCAATTTGGGCCATGAATTATATGAAAATGTTCAATGTAATCCTTTCATTAATTCAAGATCAGGGACTACACATCAAAAGTCTAGGAACCACATTGCACAAGTTAAAAATTCGGGGACTTTATTGAACATTAGACTAAAATTTAGAGATCACATTAAATAAATTAAAAGTTCATGAATCACATTGTACAATGGGTCAAATTTCAAGGATCGTTTGTGTTGTTATCCCTATGTAAAAGTCATCAATTTCATAAATATATGACTATTTTCATCTAAAGATAAAGTCTTAGGTATTCATTCCATAAGAATTTATCAAATGCATGGATAAATTACTAGTGACAACTAATAATTCTCACTTCTTTGGATGAAGATGGAGACTCTTGATCATACTGAGAAACTGCTAATTTCTCATTCTTTCAACCGTATAAAAAATACGTAGAAAGCTATTGTCCACGTAGAGAATGTACTAAATTTTTTATAAGTCGAAAGTACATTTTAATCACATATAGTTCCAAATCGTATTTGAAAGTAAACTTTTATCTTGTGCATCAACAAGGCAACAAATTTATCACATGAGTGGGGTTTAGATAACGATACACACCTAGTATTATTTTTAGCAAGCGAAATTATTTTCATAAATAAGTTGATTTTTCATTTTGAGACTATTTGAGTAGAAATGAAAGTCCATGTATACCGGTTATTTGTAATATTACAAACTTTGTTAATGTGGAAATTATTGATCAACGATGAAAAAGTAATTTAGTAGAGTTTTTTTTTCTACGGTAAAGTGAATACGAGATAAGTAACTTAGTAGGGTTATTGACATTTCGAAGTTAGAGAAGATGATAAGAGTAGCAAAATAGTTATTTAAGCTTCGTTTGTTTCGCGGAAAATAAACGATTTGAAAAATATTTTTCAAAAATTATTGATTGTACCGCTTGAAATAATTAGTCAATGGAAAATATTTTCATTATCGACAAGAATCTATGTGTAAATATTTTCATGGACGATGAGAATACTTTTCGTTCATTCATTTTTGTAGTGATATTCATGATCATTTTTAGGAAAAAAAATTTCACAAAACAAACAAAGCCTTAATATAATACTAATTATGATGGTTATTAGGACGCTCGAAAAGAAAAAGATATTAAAGATTCGTCTTTTGTTTTTGGTAATGACCAAACTTATGGTCCTTGTTTTATAAAGGGATAAATACGCCGAAAATTCTAAAACTTTTTACGAAAATGTAATCAAGTCTTAAAACTTTCAAAAAGTACAATTGAGTTCTAAAACTTGTCACAAAAGTGCAATCGATTCATAAAAATTTCCAAAAGTACAATCAAATCCTAAAATCTGTTGCGAAAGTATATTCGAGTCCTAAAATTTTCAAATATCCAATCAACCGAAGAACTTTCGTAATGAGTTTTAGGATTCATTTGTACTTTTTGAAAGTTTTAGGATTTAATTATATTTTTATAATAAGTTTTAAGACTTTTAATATACTTACCTCCTTTATAAATTAGCATATCCGGAAGGACAAAGACCTTAAAAAAGAAAAAATTGCGACCGTGTTCTAATCCAACTTTCGGTGACGTGATAAGGCTAACGGCCAAGGTCAAAAGAGGAGATGATGCTTGTCTTCTTGAAAAGGGACAATTTGTGGGACACGTAATTATAGCTAGCTGGTTGGATGAGGCCTGCGTGGTTAGCCAAAGATCGGACGTCTCGGATGGCGCATTGCGTGAGCCAACGACAATCAACCATGATGTGAGCGACACGTTATGGGTGCCTTACCGTCTATCATCACTCGCCAATGGTCCGTCGCAGTTGTAATTCTCTTCTGCTGGCTCATCTGGGTCGATGATGATGATGACGATGATGATGATCATTGAACCATTTGGTACGGAAAAAATTTAGAGAATAGAATTATGAAATATCACGTACAAGAGGAATCAACAGCTTTAATTAGAATAAAACTACACAAACGCAAAATATGCCGGGATTTAATCAGCGACAAGACGTGGAATATACAAACTTGATGAAGTAATCAGATGTAAATAAACCATGCTGGAATTTTAATCGACTACACGGTTTAATTTAATTGACGAAACATCACTTGAGATAGAGATTACATGTCAAAATTTAATCGACGGCACAAATTGACAAGCTGCGGCTATGAAAATAAAGTACAGTGTAGAAAAGTAAAGATATTGAAAAGATAGACGGCTGATGGTATTTATTATGATCCGGTGATAATTGCTTTCTGGCAGTTTTCAGCAATTACGTTTACCTATATGATTTTCACCGATTGCTTCAATGTTCCTCCTTGTTGTAGCAAACGCGGAAAAGCAAACACAGAACACGAGGATTTACGTGGTTCGATCACAACGTGATCTACGTCCACGGGCGAGGCAAGACAAAATTCCACTATAATCAAAGAGAGTACAGTTTGGAAGTCGAAACAATGACAAAAGCTCACGCTTACAAAACTCTCTCGAAAATAAAATTCTCTCTCTCTACAATGAGAAAACCTAACCGCGGTATAAATAGTGCTCCCAAAAAAATTTCCTCGGGGGCGTAGCCCCCGAAACATCACTTGCTACGAGTTGGGCGGCCCAACTCTCCACGTCGCGAACTAAATCTCAATTTTCGGGTCGCACAAAAATATGTCGGGTCGGGTGTTAAACCGGACCGAGAACATAAAATTCAAGACATATTTAACACTCCTCCTTCGAAAAATCCGTGCCTGCACTCTCATGATGCCATGATTCTCCTTTCAAGCGGTTGCTTTTACCAAACTATGTGTCCATTGCTCCACGACTTTACTTTTGGACGGTTGTTGCTCTGTTATTTAACTTTTCAAGTAATGACTGTCGCACAATTTTGTTCTCAAGTGATAACTGTTCCCTCAAAAAAAAGTACGCTCATTTCTCCTCAATCTCAACTGCTTTGCTGATTTTGAACTTTGTAGTCGCGCTTCCATGGTCCTTAGGTGAACATCTGCCGGTTACTCCATTGTCCCAATTCCTTAATTTCGAATCGGTAATTATATCCCCATGATTCTCATGCTTTCAAAGAACTTGGATGGCATTCTGCCGTTCGCCCATTGTCGGTATCCATATCAATGGTTGCCGGCACTTCATCGTCATGTATGGATAATTGAATATGTGCCATCGACATGTATTGATGTCGATCAGCAAATGCCAATCTCGATCGTCGATAAGACGTCACGTGAATGATAATGCTCACATGTTACTCATGTGACTGTCCATACCCACATGTCAAACGCATGCTTGTTCATGTCAACAACTCGGTTATTTTTTTGGTATAAACAGTAATCTATGGTTTTTTGTAACATTTTGCATCCCGAAACTCATAAATGTATCCTTTTTCATTATCGATGTACTCATCTTACAGCAGAACACAATCACTTATATACCAAAAAATGGCTCGTAACACATGACATTGGCTAACTGGACATTCTTGAGCAAAATCAGGGTCGATAAATTCGGATTTGGGAACCATGTGCCACCGATGTGTATTAATGTCGATCAGCAAATGCCAATCTCTTTCACTTATTTTTCCAGATGAAGGTATCGGATTTACGTTACGCACCACTGCCAAACGTTGCGCAATAGGTTGCTTCCACTAGCATTTTGTTCCATGAAAAAGAAAACAATCTCAAATAAAACAGAAACCTGAATTTGAACGGTTAAGTTACTCGGTCAGCAGAAAATAAGTTGGGGAACATCTAACTTGAGGCTAGGCTATACATTTGCATATGTACACACCAATCATCGACATCCTACGATTGTGTTCGCAGGTTAACATCGCTTCTGTTCTGTCCGCTGCATCGATCCCTTCGGCCATTCCTCCTTCAATGGCAGATCGCTATTGAAGACTCAAAGCACCGCAGATGCTTTGATGGCTCTCCCCTTGATCGTCCTGGCTAACGTAAGCCCCCAAGTTCACGTAGGCGTTCTCCTGCTCCGCCCTCCTCCACCTCCCCCGGCAGATCACGCAGATCGCGGGCCGCCGCCCCCGGCTCCTCTTCCACCTCAGCAGGCACTCCTCGTGCACCGGGTTCCGGCACGTCCCGCACGCCACCACCCTCTGGCCCCCTCTCTCCTTCAGCTCGTCCAGGCAGATGGGGCACGACGCCCCGTCCTCGACGTGGACCTCCTCGGGCAACCCGGCCCCGTCGGGCCTCGCCCTCGCCCGGAAGAAGTCCCGGTGGAACCTCTCCCGGAGGCTGGGCCCCGCCATCGCGTCGGGCGAGGACGGCGTGGCGAGCAGCCGCTGGAGCTGGCACGGCCGGAGGGTCCTCCGCTGCAGGCAGGAGTCGTCGAGGGAGACCCCGAGCACGCGGATGAAGACGAACAGTATGTGCTTGCACGGGGTCGCGCGGTCGGGGCACGTGCACGCGGGGCTGGACGACAGCGACACGGTGTACACGTTGCCGGTGGCGCCGAGGACGAAGAAGGTGGACTCGGAGCGGTGGAGGAGCAGGAGGTGGTGGCTGACGGCCCGGACGATCCGGTCCACGGTCGGCTGGGGCGGCCCGAGGAGCTCGCCCGGCGGATGATGGCGGCGGCCGGGCCGGGGCGTCGAGTTGGAGGCAACGGACTCCATTGGGATTGGGATAGGGTCAAGAGGCGGTCGTGGCGGTTAAAAAGGGCAGAAGGGCAAAAGGTTGGTTGGGGGCTTTTGTCGGTGTGGTTTTGGAGAAGTTAAGGAAATGTTGGTAAGGATGGCGTTTCTGTAGATATAAAGGAGGGATGGAGATTCTTTTGTAAGAGTTTTGCTGAGGGAACGAAGTAGTGAAGGGCAAGTAATGGGCTTTTGTGTTCTTGAGGAATTTGGCTGGAATTGGTCTTTGCTTGTGCGGTGTTATAGTTGACCACAAGGCAAGTTATGCATTGGCATGTGCTATAGAGATAGGTAATGGTAAACATTCAGAAGAGTGCGGCATATTCTTTGGGCCATCTTGATTGAGGTACAAGGCTTCGATTTTTAGGGTGTGTTTTTGGACTCTAGGGTTTTACTTCCCGATTCTATGGTGAACTTCAAACCGGATTTGTTAAAATTGATACCGGCGAGCGGGGCCATGCCGAACGGTTTGACCGGTACGCGATTTGGCCATTTTCACAGGTATAACCGATCAATTCGAAATAAAGTAAATCTGTCCAAAACCCTGGAGCAATCTCGCTTGCACCTCAATCATCTTGAGGTTAGATCGTCTTGGCACGTGTCGATTTTTGGTCAACAAATTGTAATTAGGAGTTTGTCATGAAATAGTTTAGGGTTAATATCACGAAAAACCCCAAAATGGTATACCTGCGATAAATTTACCCAAATTATTTTTTTTACCACAAAAAATTCTAAACTGATACACCTGTGATAATTTTACCTAGAATTAATTTTTTAACCACCAAAAACCCCAAACTGGTATACCTGTGACAAATTTTCTCTCCGTTAGTTTCCGTTAAATTTTATTATCAAATTGCTAAGTTTGATTGCACGTGGTAGTTGACGGGTGTACCAATTTGGGGTTTTACTCCTATGTTTGTCACAGGTTCATGGGAAAATTCCAAATCAATACCTAAAGTGGGGTCATTTTCTCAAAAAAGGGTCCAAAGTGGACATAATGTCAAATATTTGACATTATGTCCACTTTGGACCCTTTTTTGAGAAAATGGCCTCACTTTGGGTACTGAGTTGGAATTTTTCCCAAGTTTACCAATTTTTGATTTTTCGTGATATTAAATTCAATTTAACGGATACTAACGAAGGGTAAATTTGTCACAAATGTACCATTGTGGGTTCTAGTGGTAAAAAAATTAGTTTAGGGTAAAATTGTCACAAGTGTACCAGTTTGGGATTTTTTGTGGTCAAAAAATTAGTTCGGGGTAAAATTGTCATAAGTGTATCATTGTGGGATTTTTGATGATCAAAAAAATAATTCGTGATAAATTTATTATAAGTATATCAATTTGGGGTTTTCGTGGTATTAACGCAATAGTTTATGCATTTTAGCGACAAAACGCTGGTTAGAAGCCGTCGCGTGTTAATTAAGGTTGTGAGACGACAGCGTTTAAGCTCGGCTATAGCCGCCCCCCCCCCTGTTTCGTTCTTCCCTCTTTTCTCGTTGTCCGCCCGCTTGCCAGTGTTGCTACCTAGTCGCTACTGCTCGAGCGTCTTCCGACCGTGGCGATGTTTGCTTCGTCGTCTCAATCTCGTAACAAGGTGACTCGCTTCTCTTTGATTCCCTCGAATCATCTACGCTCTGTACCTGTTTTAGATGGGTTTTCGTCGCTTGGTTGCTGGGGGAGTGTGAGTCGAGAAATTGTTGAGTGCAAACGTCAAGAATCCACGCTGTACTGCGTTTTCGTTCAGCGAAAGCTGCTTGAGATCGGTGCATTCGTCTGTCTTCTTAGTCCATGACGAGAAATCGAGGGAAGTTTCGGGATTTTTCATTGGGTCTTTCTTGTTTCTCTTTTCTCAGAAAATTACGAGAGGCCAAGCAACTGGGTGCTCATGGTGTATGCTTTTTTTCTTCCTGTTTCATTCAAGGGTTTTGAATTATTTTTTATGTCACTCGCAGCAGCCAAAGAAGCAAGAGAAAGAATGGCTTGCCGTAAGTTTCAGGCCGGAGAACTTCGTTCCGGGACTCATCATTGGTTTCATTTTGGGATGGTTCATTGACTTATCAAAACCCACCAAGAGCAATACAAGGAGGAGAAATTTCTTGCCAGGAAAGCGGCAAGAGCAGTGTCTGGTCCCCAGTGGAAGTGACCAGGACCTTAAAATGGTGTTCTTTTGAGCTGTCTCGGTGTTTACTTTTTCCATTATTACTACCTTGCATTTCAACTGGATGAGAATATTCACCAAATGTGTTTGTACATGTTTGTCTACAATCCCCGTTCATTTCGTCTGGCAATTTTTGTTGTAATAGATGATACTTACTTGATGGTGTGTTCAGGGCAAGTTTTGTCTAGACTCTAATTATGAAGAGCTTGCCTATTGCAGGTTCTAGTGGTCAGGCAGGACTTGAAGATGGGACAAGGGAAGATTGCTTCTCAATGTGCTCGTAAGACACCTAGATCTCCGGTTAATGTCTAGACTCTTGATTCTTTCTCTTATTGCTAATCTTTCTCTTTCCATCCCCGTATGTTGATTAGCTTTCTTCTAATGAACTCCAGATGCTGCCACGGGGATGTACGGGGCGCTGATGCAGAGGTATGTGATGATTCTTCAGGTGGAACATGTCCAATTGAAGAAAGACCTTCACTTTGTTGCTACTTTCCTTCTTTTTTGATTGATGTGACTCTATGAGAAATAAAACACGTTCCTTTGTGATGCTTTGATGCTGATATGTTATTAAATCATACAATCTTCTTCAAGTGTGAGACAAGATGATGTTTAAGCGTACGTTTTGCTTGCTGTTAATGTCAGTCAACCGACAGCTCACTGGATTTTGAGGATGCGACCAAGGGAAGTTATTTATAGTGCATGTAATATGACTGTTTCATTCTGTATTTTTAATGTCTGACCAAAAAAGAAGTACGTGTTTTATATGTACTCGAAGTATTCGTTTGTCTGTGCGGTTTTTAGATAATCTGATAGTCGTTGACCAGCATTTTATGTTGCTATATCAATAGAGAACTGCATCACACCAATCGCTACTTCTTGCCAACATGGTCAAAGTCCCGTTATCCATTTTGTTCATTGCAGTGACCGTTTTTTACTGAGAAAGTGGGAACAATGTGGACAACCGAAAATTGTTTGTACGTGCAAAAGTCAACAAGAAATGTAAGCAGGTGACTTTCAATATTTGTAATGTTCCTATCCTCCATTTGTCTAGTAACTTCCTGTACTTCGTTAACCATGATTCAAGAATTTATCTTTGTAAGAATATGGCTAAAGCTATTACACTTTTTGTTGGGTTTTTCAGGAATAAGCTAAGGGAAGCAGCTGAGAGCATAGGTCTTCCAACTTTTGTTGTCGCCGATGCTGGGCGAACACAGGTAACAGTATCCGTGGCTTAATATCATAATGGCCAGCAATGATGATGTTATGTTTGAATTTGAACGGTCTTATATTTTCTGGTTGGATATGGAGCAGATGCTTGGTCAACTTAAAGGCAGCCTAAGCTTTTTATTTTTACATATAAGTCAACAAATAGTGTTGGTCACATTACATGTACTATCAATATGAATAGTATCCAATGATCACCTTAAGCAATTGTTTACTCTTGCAAGATTCAGACCTCACAAATAATACCTGTTAGAGATGCCTTCTATAAAATCGCAGAACAGTTAAATATATGGACTATAGTGCCTAACCTTTGAGTTTACAAAGCTGGGGCGCTCTCTTCCTGCATTGCCTGTCTGTATGTTATATGTAGCTTATATATCAGTGAAACCTTCACTTATTTGTTTACTACTTGCTAGAAATATTGGGTCGTTTCCCTTCTCTCCAAGCCATTTAGCATTATTTCCTCCGAATTTCAACTGTTATACCTAAGATGCTATACTAATGACAAAATACTTTCCCCAGGTTGCAACTGGTTCAAGGACTGTTCTTGCTGTTGGACCTGGTAATTCTAGTCAATATTTAGTTGTCCTAGTCGACATAATGGTACCTATATTGTAGCTTCACAATTCTTAGATTGATGTCTTTTGCTTGGCCTCCGTTATTATAGATTGATTTTCTGAGGGATTGGTTGACTCCCTCTTATTTTAAATTCATAGGAAAATGAATCGATGTCGTAATCAACAACTCGGAGCAAATTTGTCACAACAGAAGTTGCCATTCAAAGAATCTGTATGTCACCACTTAGATGCCTTCTCATTCTTTGCTTTATTTTGCTGCTTTGAGCAGGACCGAAAGAATTAGTGGACTCAGTAACAGGAAAGTTGCGCCTCCTATGACACCGTTGACGGATTATCTTCTGCTCTACAAATGGTTTCACGCCTGAAGAATTTGCTTCCCAAAATTTACGTAAATCCTATTTAGTGGCGTGACAGCAAGGTTCACTCTTTAGTTGACCTCTTTTCAGCATAGCAATTGTTAGTTACCTGAGCTATATATCATTAGTAGGTGCAATCGGGGTGCAAGGAACAGTAACCATTCTCTTTTTTTGCCAACTTATTGTATCGTTTCTAGTCTTTAGTACCAAGGTCAGTCGTCTTGATTCTCTTCGTAGCTCTCCTGTGTAACATTCAGATTGAAGGCAATCTGCACTGAAGAACGGTAAAAATAATGGAATTCGCTCTCCATGTGTTAGATTCTCGATGTTGCTTTAACATGTGAACCAATGAGCTTGGCTGATTGCCCTTTTGTTTTGTTATGGCTAAACATGCTTTTGACCCAAAATGAGCCATTTCACTGCTAAGCGCGATATCTGAAATGAAGTCATGTGCTTTGACTTTATGTGTTTGTGCGCTTCCTTTTATTCTGTGCTGTTCTCAAATGGGAAATGACAGAATACACTAGCATTGAGTGATGGATCATTTTGCAGCAAAATGGAAACTAGCTCGTACTCTGATGAATCTACTGATGAAAGGGAAGGGACAAGATTGTGTGATTGCTGTCATGCCAAGAATCATTATGTGGTTGTCTTCTTTTGCTTTAATGGGAACTGGTGAGGAGTGGCGTGGGGCATGATTTTCTTAAGATGGGAATCTGTCTCCGATGGCTCGAGGAGATTATTGAGTCGATCGATCTCTGTTTTGGTCGCATAAATGGGCGCAATAGGAGACGATGAGACATGGGTTGAAGAGTAATGCTAGCAGAGGAGTCATCCGACCCACCGAGCCAGACCTTTGCAGATGTGGACATCGCGATTGGAAAACGCAGCTATTTTTTTCCTAGTTAGAATATGCGACTCACGTCTAAACGGCTCAATCCCCACCTCTTCCAATGCGAATTAGGGAATAATGCTTAGTACAGGAGAAGTATATTGATAACTCATGTAAAATTCAATTTTTGGTGATGTATCTGTACTTTAATATAAGAGAGAAGGCCTCCTTTTTTATAGTTTGACTAGGGATTATTAAAAATTTGATGACATAATATCCTTCAAATTAGCCGTGTACAATAGTTCAATTAAAAACCCTAATTAAAATCGGATGAGAAGACTAGTTTTTATTAATATGCGTATTAGATTGGCTAAAATTCTTATATGATGGCCTAACTTCGATTCAACCAAAATTTGATCATAGTTTTTTTTTTCCGTCAAAATCTTTTATCATGGTTCAATGTAGAAAAATCGATCACGGATATCACATGATCGGTCAATAAAAGTTCATTAAAAATTACCGAATATAAATCTCAAATTTTTGTCATAGTTCAGCATACAAAAATTGGTCATGAATGTCACCCGCTGGTCTAAAGTTTATTAAAAAATTTGTCGGATATAATAAATCTCAAAAACATAAAATTGCCTAGACAATTTTATTCCCAAGAATTCGGGGAAAAAGAAAATCCTTTAAAACGCAAAACCCCATCAAAACCCTTCTTCTTCCTCCTCTTCTCTCTCTGACCCTCGCGCTCTCTCTCTCTCTCGTCCACTTCAATGGCCTCTCGTTGCAGATCTTTGACGAAGCCGGCTCTCTCCCTCTTCAAGTCCACCGTCTGCAAGCCGACCCTGAAACCCACCTGCTCGCCATCTCTCCTCACTGCTCGTTCGTCTCTCACTCCGACCAGGCAAGCTTCTCCTTTGAATCTCTTCCAAAATCTGATTTTGCTCCTCCCTTGTCTCTGAACTGCTCTCGCGAGAGTCGTATTCCATGGTTTCTGATGTCTGAATTGCTCTGGCGAATATCGTATTCCGTAGTTTTAATTTTATGTCTGATTGGTAGGTCCTTATCATTTTGGTCACGGTCCACTTTTGAGCAAATTATAGTTGTTCCCCTTCTTCGGCTTGTCGATGGTGATGGCTTTTAGTAGCTAAAGTTGAGATTTTGATCGTTGGGTTTTGATTTTCAGGTCGTTTTCTCAATTGGGTTGTCTTCAATCGATGCTCCCGTTGCACATGGCGGTCTCGTCGGCGAGGCTCACTTCGTGCCTCGGCATGGATTCGAGGAGCTCGAGGTCGATGTGTCAGGGTATGCTCTGCAGTGCGAACCCAGGAGTTTGATAAATCTCCAAATGTTTTGTGTTTGTTATCTGTAAGCAACCTTTTATTACTACTCATTTCTTTTCTTTTTTTGCTTATGTCTTATCTTGGGTTTGTCCGCTTGCACTGTTAGTGCACCGATAGAATGCAATTTCATTGTTTAAATGGGCGATGTTTACTTTCGCTGAAATTGAATTTGTTGGATGCAATGCCATTTTGTAACTTCTTGAAACTTCCTGGAAGTATGAATATTGATGGAAAGATTCGTTGGAATGAGATTAAGTTTAAGCTTGTCACTCTTCATATCTTGGTCGGGCTAGATAGGTGTATATGCATATATAACACATGCATGCATTCATGCATTTATGCATCTGTTATGCTTTCTTTGGGATACCTATAAATAAGATGAACCAGGTTTTGGTGCTAGCATGTATGTTTATCCTTTCTTGTGTTTGGTGTGGAGGATTGCGTAATAGCAAGGCATGTATTGCTGGTGTTAAATTAGTATTAGATACTGGAATGAGTGGTATCCTTTTGTAAAATTTCATTGATACTGGATATTGGCATTTCACCGAACATGGAGTATTGCCAAAGCATTATACGGGTGAGGGTTTCTACTTATTGTCAAAGGAGTATCCTAAACGATTACGTATACTGGGTACTTTGTCTGAAAAAACAGAGAAAGTGCGTTTACTCTTGCTGGGTAGAATCAATGATGGACAACTTGCAAATATATACATGCTTGTAAAGTGCCTAACCTTTGGCAGATTTGTGGCTTTACCGTCAAATTTTTTATTGTTACGTTATGTATTCTAATTTGCAGCATGTAATTCTTACCCAGTTTTGGCTTTGATTTTGATATGAGTGCACCTTTTTAGTTTGTCATTAGCACGTGGTGAATGGTTTGAACCCTTTGAAAGAAGTATTGGGTGTTTGAGGAAGAAAGCATTGCTGTACTTCTGATTATGGGAGATGTTTTTGACAGAGCAGAAGTGCCCTATCTAATTAAACATGAGCACTGGAAAAACTAAAATCAAATTTGACAGAAAACCAGTACGATTAAGTCAAAACTACCAATATTTGACATGATTTTGAACCCTTTCCTTGATGGCAAAAGTCAAACTTTCACCGTATCGGTCAAATGTATGATAATGGTCCAAACTATTGACACTAACATGATAATTAACATAAATTGACACCCCCACTTGTGACTCCCATTCATAGACGTTACGATTTGGGAATTGTGATTTGCCTTTGATTTTGCGAATGACAGGAGAAAGGAGCTCAGGTGTATGTATGCTTATTTCCTTAGTACGGAAAATAAGCAGAGGTATATGACTTTGGAGAAGTACACAATTGAGAAGACTTAATAATGAAAAAGAGCATTAAACATGTTCGTTTCTGTTTCTAATGCCCAATTATGGTAGATTTTTTGTGAACACTATGCTAAACCTTTTATAGCTAAATGAGCTGGTATATGAAGTTGGTATCTTCTTAGTCGAGACAACTGCATGATGAAAACCATAATATGCCCGCATTTCTTGCTTTCTTTAAGCAATCGCATTATAAAGAAGTTTTGCGGAGCCAGTTGACGAATTCTGGATTTTGCGTCTTATTTTCATTCGTTAAAATTCAGTACTTGTCACTGAACTGAGACTCTACACAACCCTGATCATGATGGACAGGATGATATATCTGTTGGTGCTTCACATCACTTTAACAGTATCATGTTTAGGCAAAACCTTTATGCCGGCAGATTGACTCTTACTCGTGCCCCTTCAGTAAGATAAATATGTCAAGTTTTCATTTGCTTTTGTAGTAACACCAGTATGTAATATTGAATTAGAACTGTGAAATGAGGAATAAATTTTAGGGTATCCTAAGAAGAAGAACAAAAACAGTGGAATGGAAGATGACTTCTCTGCGGGGATAAGATGAAAAAAGCTAACTCTGTGATGAAAGCGAATAATCATAGCTCTGCTTAAATCTTCAAACTTGTCGTTCCTTCTTCTGTTGGAAGAGACAAACCTTCAAGCATGTTGTAAAATGTTTCTTCCGTCTTGTTTTCCTTTTTGAGGGGATACTGTGGGTATCCTGAGACAATCACTGTTCCAGGATTGAACTTCATAGTGCTTTGTTGGACGGATGAACCAGAAGTTCTGTCCTTCCATGTCACAAAGTTTCATGCATAAATGGACAAGCTTTCCAAAGGTTTTAAGGAAGGAAAAACTGATCTAGCAGATTTTGATCAAGTTGAGATGTTCAAATTCTTGGTCTGATCTTTACCAAATACTAAACACCTGTTTAAATCTGCAACCTTTCAGCCTTTGACCCTCAATTGTGAATTTCTCTCTACTTTTGCCTGTTTCCAGCCCCTTCCCAAGCTGGGTCAATGTGATTGCTGGTGGAAAGTGGACAAGTATTGTTTAAATCTCTCTTAATTTCATTATTGTGCCTAGAAATATGGAAAATCCGATATGAAAATCTTAGATTTCTCTAAGCTTTGTATGGAGTAATTTGTCTGAGCATTCTTTACAGCCGACCAACCTTTTTCCGAAGGCACTTGGATGAACCTTAGAGAATTCTGATTCAGGCGCTTTGTTCCAATTTAGGCGCATGCTGAGGTTTTCTCGAGAGTTCAGGTCGAAACTGCCACTTGCATGTGGATGGGCAGTAACTGTAGTTGGCCGTGCCGTGTAGTGAAAACGGTTCATGACTAATGCTCGCTAGTTAAACCAACCTAAACTGGAACCGTCTTACGAGCACTCCCCTGTCATGGTCAAGGAGCTCAATACTTTAATTTTGCAAGTGGTTCTTATCATACTTGAGTTACAATAACCAATGACATATATGTGGCACAGATGCTTGATAATTTATCCATTTTCATTACTTGATTGACCATCTTCTCTGCGTACCTTTGGTTGTCAATGAGGTCCAAACTTAGTCTGAAAGATTTATTCGAGCTGTTGCTTACACATTCACTCCAACTTGCAGAGCTAGGTCTCAGTGTGCCTCGATAAGGGAGCAGGAGGAGGAAGCGGTTAACTGATGGAAACGCTGCCTCGTGTCTCTCATTTTTATTTATGAAATTGACATTCTGGCAATGCTCAGACCTAAAATTGGTGCCGTGTAACTTGGCTGTGCAATTTTCTGTTTCTTTTCGGACAAAATGAGATGAAACGATGCTGTGGCACGGTTTCCTTAGGGTGCATAGACTATGTTATCGTGTTTCTTTAGCTTAGAATTGACAGAGAGGATAATTCATCTTGCAGACCCAGTTTTGCTTGAGCAGATTTAAGTCAGAATATGATCAGATAGAAAAAATGCTGAGATTTTCAACTTCTGTGATGCAAAATGTTATCTACTTCATCTGCATTTTCATGGGTATATTAGTGAAAATCCAGAGGTGGGTACGTGTGGGAATGATACAGAAGGTCTCTCTGCTAAGCAGCAGTTGTGACTGCTAAGCAAGTGAGGATGATGAATATCTTACAAGCAACGTGGAGCGCACTTGAGAAAGTTTAGAGGGGTGGGGCTGATTTGGAGCTGACTCTCCTAATAATGTCTCCTTTTCCATCGAAAGCAACCTTGGCCATTGCATCTTTGTCTCCCTAGTGACAATACACTCGCATGTGACTAGTGAGGCTCCCCCCTTAAGCAACTCTGCAACTCTCTCTCTCTCTCTCACGCGCATTCAATTCAATGAGCAAATCAAAAGCTTTTTGGGAAAGGTTTGTCTTCAGTCTATCTACTTTGCATTATAGTATTGTGGGTTCAAGCTTTGGTTGACCCACAATCTACACACCATCCACTAGGATCTTGAGCTCATGCTTTGTTCAATAGCATTCGTGCACGGTCAAGGTCCAAGACCATGATAGTCTATTATTGCATTGGAATCGTTCTTGGTGACATTTCCACCTTGCACCCAAAGAAGAAAAATAAACAAGCTAGTAAAATTAATCAAAATCCACGCCTTAATTCCGACTGATCATATTATCCGCGCCATATGCATTCTAGCCAATTTCCACATTTTAATTTTGAAGCACATGTTTTCATTGGCCGGCTTCTCCACGTATCACCGCCGCGTGACATGCCTGTTAAATGAAATGCATTTTCATCGATGTGGGGTTTGGTGGATATATACAAATTGGATATAGAAAAGCACGAGTTTAATTCGAAACAACTTGTTTTGGAGATTCATTGCCATGCCTGGGCAATTGTGGGACTAATAAAAATTTTGAGGTTCCGTTTGATTCACGAAACAAAAATAAATGAATGAAAAATAATTTCATCGTCCACTAAAATGTTTAAACATAAATTGTTTAGCCTTATATAGATCAATTAAAAGTATTTGAAAAGAATGGTATAGTAAAGGGAGGACATTAAAAGTTTTTCGAAAATTAAAAAAAAAAGGAAAGAAAAAATGAACGTGGGAATGTCCGCCATGCATGGAAGCCCACTAACTTCCTCTTGTTTTACAATAATATAATCGGGATTGTTATTAGGTCCACCGCCGTTTAATGTTTGGATGAATGACATGCGTGTCCGGGATTAGTTTTGTAAACGAATCCTCTCACCTACAACCATTCAACGGCGAATGTGTGACTTATATCTTTTTCAACGGCAATGAACTTCGTGAAAATCCATTCATATGCGCGTTTATTTTGCGGAAAATAAATTATTTAAAAAATATTTTCCTAAAAACGATCGCTCACGTCGCTTACAAAAATAAATGGTTGAAGAATATATTTACCGTCCACGAAAATATTTGGACGTAAAATTGTCGTCGATACCGAAAACATCTTATCTTTCGTCGACCAATTATAGTGAGCGATACGAGCGTTCATTTTAAGGGAAGCATTTTTTAAATTATTCATCATTCCTCCCCTTAAGTTGTAATTATACATAATCCGAAAAATGCCCGCCTTTTTTTTTTTCCAGAAAAATACGCAAAGCTCACCACCGTGTCCATGCACGAAGCAACCCTTTTCACAAACCCAGAAAAACATTTTCTCAAAACTAAAAGATGGTGGTCGTGTCTCTGAGAATATGACACCAAACACACCAGAAAATGAAAAAAGAAAGAAGAAAAAACAGATCCTCTGGCTCGCTCAGTCACTGACTCATCCACGAGGAGCTTGCAAGTAGCGATGAAGAAGATGGCCACATGCATGTGACCACCGCAAACTTTGCTCTCCTCCTTTCTATTTCTGCCACTATCTTTTTAATTTAATCATAACGTACGAAATAGATTATCTCGAGCAATTTATTTAATATGATTATCATAGCAATGACACAGTAATCTCAGCAGCATCTTTATCTTGCTCAAAACTTTGCAGCCAGCCACTGCCTTCTCCCTGACGGATTCCATGGCGATTTCATTCTATTTTTCATCCTGCCATTTCCGAAGGGGAAGATGACGAGTGCATGCGATCTTTTGCAGAGAAAAATGGTTGTCTCTGACTTTATAGTATTTAAAATGAACAAAGAGAGAGGTGTTAAACAATTAGGGCAACAGAGGCATCTGGATCAGCGTTGCATGGGATCGTGCATATACTGTCGAGTGTCGACCTTTGATTATATAATCAAGAAAATGAAAAAGAAAAAAGAAAACTTCCTCTGTCTGCTGCATTTATCAATGAATAAATAAGATTAGGCTGGTGGAAATGGAATCCAAAGATACCCGATGGGAGACCATGGTGGTACAATATTACTGGAACCAGAGGGATGCTGTGAAGTGTCATAAGAGGTTTCACTAGTGAAATTGGTACATAAGGAAGTATAAGTATCACATTAACAAATGTGATTGGCTTCCGGTATGCTAGATGAATTAAACTTTTTTTTTTATAAAATATCGACACCCGAATTTCGGGCAAGACTAATCTTTTTGAGTGCATGTAAATTATATCGGTAGGGCGTCGTCCGTATAAGGACGAGCATCGGCCCTCGAGATGATTACTCTGAATGAGAGACGTTATGATTCGAATGTGAAATCTACAAGTGCAATGGCCTTGTTGGCATTTTGCGATAGAATTGGTCGGATTACAATCAAAATGCATCAATTACCCAAAAGAAGTTAGCGTGCAGAAATGATGGAAATCAAATTTCACTTATGTCATTGTAAAGTTCAACAGAGATAGTGCGAGGAAATAAACTTAAAAAGGACAATTGCAAAAACCGTCTTAAACCTAAAGTTAGCACACACATTTTCGAAACCATCTTGACTCTTAAAAACTTCTAATTTGCATCTCCTCCTTCAAACTCAAAAGACATTTACCCCAAAACCCTACCCCCATCGCTTTCCCCTCCCTCCCTCTTCCTCTACCCTTCTACTCAGTCAGGCTCACCTCACAGCATAGTCTCTCTCTCTCCACCCCTTGCCGTCTCTACCGCCTCTGCCCGCCACCGCCACTGGTGCCTCTCGTCACTGCGATTTGGGTTGCCCAACCTCAATCTAGACCATATCCGAGGCAGCAACCTTCACCACCCTCGGTCCGAGGTCGGCAACTGCCGGGGGGCTAGGGCGGGGCCGGCAAGAGATTGTGGAGGAGAGAAAAGTGTATGTTAGGGCTTGTGAGTTTTTTTTTTTTAGGAGGAAAAAAACGACGATTTCTATAGATAAGTGGGGTCTTAACGGTACAAATTAATATTAGCAATTCCAAATTACGCACTCATTATCGGATGCTATGGAATACACGCTACTGCAGGATTGTGCGAAAATATAGAACAAGCAAAATACAAAAACTCGTTCTAGGTTCTCCAATTTTTGAAACCTGAAACCTACCCTGCATATCTTAGAAACTAAAACTGGATATGTTTCACCGGTCCGGTTCTCCGGTTCTCAGTTCAAGTCTGAAATCATGTTCACCCCAATATTACATTTGCGGGTGCAAATTTAACAGGAGGAGCAGTAAGTAAACAACACGCGCCGAGAGCGGAACTAGCCGGGGATCACGTGAACAAAAAGAGCCACGCCCCTCCGGAAGAAACGAAGCGTCGAAGCCCAACCGGAAACCGTCCCAACCGAGGAACACCAGAAACCGCAAGCCGATGACCCGACTGACCGCTCGCTCTCCCTCCTGAACATTCTTTGCACCCGTGGCGAATCCCCGCCACCGGTTATCGCAGGTCACCCCGTCACTAAATCCCATGTAGATTTCTAAGGGTGTGCACGGCAACGATTCTGTGCTCGGGAACTGATTCTGCTAAAAAATGATTCTTTTTTATTCTGTGGCCGGGAACAATTTCTAAGCATTTGAAGGCGTTTGGTAACTGCCTAAAATTTCTATTCTTAGGATAGAAAAAGAACAGAAATGCGTTTGGTAACTACACAAAATTTCTTTTTATTAATAATATTTTGAATTTTTTAATATTTGTTTCTTTTTTTTCCTTTTTTTTATTTTTTTCCTTAGCCATGGTCGGCGAGGGCCACGATGCCCTCGCCGCCGCCCTCGCCGGTCGCGATGGCGAGGTCGACTTCACCTTGGCCGGGTAAGGCCAACCTCGCCGTCGCTGAGGGCTGGCGAGGCCGACCTCGCCTAGATCTGGCGAGGCCAACCTCGCCGTCGTCGGGGCCGACGAGGGCCGCCCTCACCTGCCTTGGCCGGTCGCCGGTGGCAGACCGGGCAGGAGATGAAGAACAAATAAAAAAGGTAGAAGAAAACCAAGAAGAATCAGAAATGGACAAATTGTTCCAGAATCAAGAAGCTACTTTTTTTTGCTTCTTGATTCTGTTCCAAAACTGATTCTGGGAATAATTTTTTCCAAATTTGTGCTCGGGCACAAAAATTTTAAATTTCTGTTCCCAAACTGATTCTGAGAACAAAAGAACAAAAATTATCACTATTTAGCAAGTTGCCAAACGCCCCCTAAGATTAGCACCACCGGCAACTCCACGACGAGCCCCCACGTGGCCGAGCGTCAGTCACGCGCTTGTCAGCGTCGCGTCCGCGCGTTCATTTCATGTGATCACGTGCCTCGGAGACGGGCGAAACGTGACCGGCAGCTGAATACGGCGTCGTCCGTGCTTTTCTGAGTAAATGGCTCGGTGCCCAGACACGTGACTGCGCCTCCCCCCTCCTTCTTCTATCGGTGGTGGCCGCCAACGCTACTAGAGAGGAAAGGGTTGAGAGAGATTGAAAATGCGAAAGTCTCACAACAACTCAACCTAAAATATCAGTCTAATTTTATTTTTCCCGAAAAAATTATTGCCTAAGAATGATGACGGGATTGAAAAGAATAACTCGGATTTCAATTCCTGATATATAACGTGGCGAAATTTAATGAACTCTCGATATAGCTCCTAAAAGCAGGCACGGAATTTCACGAACCCTAGACGTTCACTTGAGCTATGGCATCATCGTGGACGCCGTACGACAATCACACCACGTGTGGTGTCGTTTCCCCCGAAGATTTCGCCAATGAAATATGGCTTTTGGGGGTAGAAAAATGCTGTGAAAGACCGGACAATCTAGCTTGACATATTGCATGGAAAAATCAATTATGGTGAAAGCAGTTCCGTGTATATTTATAGCATCGTTACCCGTCCGGGAAAAATGACTCGTTTTAATTTTTAAAAAAACGAGAGAAAATTGCACATTTAATGTATAGCTGTGTGTAAAAGAAAAGATTAATTCTCTCAACAAGCTCCGAACAGACCTAGCAATTGCCCATGACACATTTGCAATTCATGCATTGTTGTCCAACAGCGCCATGCTTGCAATGCATGGCATGTTTCCTCCCCTACTTTACGGCAAAGAGATAATGCAATGTCCCGCGAGGTGTTCCCGACGTACGTTTCCAACACCACAGCACACATATAATGCATAAATAAATAAATACAATTTCAAAAATAAAATAAAAAGCATAGCCTATTTTTTCTGCGACGATTTTGATTTCTCGTTACGAATTTCCCTTCAACCATTTCAGTAGCGCAATCATAGCGCTAAACCAAAGGGGCAAAAGAGAGTCGACTTCTTCTTTTTTCCTTTTTATCGTTATTTGGGGGGTTGACCTCTCTTTAGCAATGATCAGATGCTATATCCATTAACTACCAATGAAATTCATTATGGTAGGCTCCTTTAGCCATTAATGAAACTTTTGACCCAGAAAATTGTATTTTATTTTTCTCATTATTATTGTGACTATGAATTGCTTGAGGACCCATTTGAATAATGTGCATATAACTCCTTCCCTAATTATGCTTTCTTGTAGGGGAACTGAAATGAGAGCCAACTTTGAATTGATGCATACCCACAAAGAGGGCAATACAACATCGAGTGCTGTCCTTCTTGGAGGCCATACAATGTTCAGTCCACACTCAAAAGAGCAATGAAGATGAAAGTATATATCAAGAAAAAACGAATAATGTAGACATATAGTAATTAACTTATGGGTTGACAAAATTTCTCGTGTTCGCGCGTGTTCTTCATGGTGCTTATACATCTACATGAATGTTCATGCAATGAAGAAGATGCAGTTCATTGCGCGCGTAAGGAAAGTCAAATTAGGGCGTGTTTGTTCGAGTTTTATGGGCTTTCGCACGTTTGGCTTTCTGAGAATGATTGATCAACAGAAAACCATTTACGATCAAAAGAAAAATATGCACGCTTAAAGTTAGGAAAATGGATGCCTTAACCTGCAAAAGGGGAAAACATTTTCTTTCATCACGAAATTTTCCCCGAAACAGATACATCCTTAGCTTCGATTTGAATTGCTCATGTTTAACCTAACCGGGGATGTGGACATAATTGCGCATACATAAAAGAATGTCAAATTTTTTGCATGGATTCTTTATAGCTCCTAATTCAGCAGCAAGTGATCGTTCCTGTGGAACAAAAGAGAAAAAGTGTTGATTTCGTGCAATCTAATGCACTTTACACGCAATCCTTCGTGTGTCCCCAACAACAAAAAGCAAGAAATTCAAATTAAAAATTACTTGAATTTATCAAAAGAAAAAAAAAAGTGGGTTTGCAGAGTAATTGCTAGCTTAGCAAAAAGCTACTCCTCGAGAGCATGAAGCCAAAAAGTTTATAAAAAAAAATAAGAAAAAAAAAGTTCTGCAATTCGAGAAAAATCAAAGTTAGGAACTAAATGAACTTAGCAACTTAAAAAAAGAAAAAAATCCTTCAAACTCGGCTTGTTTCGTTCACTTCACTACACTCGCTCTAAGGTTATCCTTGCTACATCAGCTGCCGGAAGTCGGGCCCCACGTGTTGGTGGATCAAGTAATCCTCGCCGTTGGATACGTCGAAGACCATGTTCTGGTGGTGATGGTTCTGAAGGAACTGCTGCTGCTGCTGCTGGTGCAGCTGCTGAGCCCTCTGGAGCTCCTTCTGGCGCCGCAGCTCCAGCACCTTGCGGTGCGAGTTGGAGTGCTTGGTGAGCATGAAGGTCGGGCTCGCCGCGGGCCGGTACTCGGGCACGAGGCGGCCCGACTTGTACCGCACCCCGCACGCGTTGCACAGGGTCTTCGGGCCCATGGGCCCGGTGCGCCACTGCGGCGTCTTGTCGGTCTGGCAGTGCAGGCACTTCCGAGCCTCCCCGCCGGGCCCGTCCGGCCCGTCGAGCCCCCCCTGCTGCGGCGGCTTCTTCTTCGGCGCCGCCCGGACGGTCTTCTTGCCGGCGACGGGCCGCGGGGCTCCCGGGAGGCCGCCAATGCCGCCGCCGACGGCGGCCACCTCGTCCTCGGGCGAGGGGTCGGCCTGGGAGAGCACGAGCAGGCGCGAGGCCCAGCTGCCCGGGGCGGCCCGCGAGCGCTTGCTCCGGGCCTTGCCCGGCACCGACACGTCGGGGTGGAATATCGTCGGGGCACCCCGGTTGGGCTCGGGCTGGAACTCACGGGTCGTCTCGTAGGCCGCCTCCGGCCGGGCTTTCATTCCGGATATCAGCTGGAGCTTCTGGAGGTCCTCGCTGGAGAACGATTCCTCCGCGAAGTTTGAGAGCCATTCGAGCTCAGCTAAATCATCATACTGCAAAACAAATGAACGAACACAAATCAATAAAACTATAATCATTATCAATAAAAATCACTCTTTTTCATCTCCTAGCAGATACACATAATCTAAGAAAAAACAAGAAATTCTTCAACATTCAACAGCCCCTTCTTTACGTAAACTTTGAACACCATTTCAGCTCCTTTTTCAAGCTGCAGCATTCCCTTTTCCTTGGCAATCTAAATGGAGTTGATCAAAAGCAATTTAAATAAGATTATTTCCTTATAATAATTACGTTTAACCTAGTTTTTCTTTTTTATATCCCGGTGCTTGAAAAGTTTCACGTGAATTGAATTAACGCTCCCGCAGTTTTTCAATATTATCGACTAAAAAAATTCAAAGCACGAGAACACTAGCAGAGGACGTACAAGTAACGTATCATATAAAGCGAATTAAAATATATAAAAAAAAGGTGATCTTTTTTTCGCGAGAATTAACGTGAGCTGTAATTTCGAAGGGATGATAATTTACCGGAACGCACAGGTCACTGGAGAAGTGACCCTCGGCGAAGCCGCGGCAGCTGCCGCCCATGCCGTCGGCGAAATTCGGGTCGTAGCCCGAGAAGGAGGAGTTGCAGCTGTCCACGGCGGTGACGTTGGAGTCGGTGGAGCTCCCCGTGACGTTATCGAACGCCCCGTCGCCGCAGCCGCCCCCGCCGCCGCCCCCGCATCCGCCGCCGCCGCCCCCGCCGAGGGCGTCGTCGGTGGTGGAGAAGTCCAGGAGGTCGTCGACCGTGAAGGGGTCGCCGCAGCCGCCGGCGGCCTTGCCGTCGAGGGAATGGCGCCTCTCGGGGGCGAATTGCGGGGAGCAGAAGCCGGGCTGGAAGAATTCCGGTGCCTCCATTTTGATCTCCGGCGCTTCCATCCTCGGGAATGGCCCCTCCTCCTCCGAACTCAGATGCCAAGAAATAGAGAGAGAGACAGTGTGGCTGGCGTGCGAGTGTTCGCGAGGAGAGAGAGAGAGGGGGAGGGAGAGGAGGAGGTAGAGAGAGAAAGTTGTGGTTCTGAGGAGAGAGAGAGAGAGAGAGAGAGAGAGGGAGGTTTTATTTGCGTTTGAAGGGGACAGGCGGACAGCTGAAATGGTGGAGTTTTGACGAGAGAAAAACGAAAGTTAAAAGGGCAAGAAAAAAAACAAAAGGTGAGGAAAATAAGGTGCGGTGGGGGGGAAGGAGTGGAATCAAGAAGCCGCAAAAAAAAAGAAAAAAAATCTCAGAGAATTTTTTTAATTTCGCTTTTTTTTTTTCGATTTTCCCCAAAAAGAAATGGAGGAAAAAAAAAGGGGGTAAATTGAAAATTAATTTTTCAGTTACATCGATGCCCTTTTGCTTTGGGGGACCTCCTCCTCCTCCCTTTTTTTTTTTTTTTGCCTTTGGTCCTCCCCCCTCTGGCTTGGAGACACTTTCTTCTAATTTTTTTCGTTTTTATTTTTATTTTCGCGTAGAATAATATATCGAGGGTGATTATTATTATTATTGTTATGGATTAAGTTTTTTTTTCTCTCCATGCGAATGGCGATAGAGAATTGTATCACGTGCTGCCGATTCCGCGAATATATACGCGTAAAAGGGTACACAGATGGCTTCGCCTTATAAGGTATTGAATCTCGAGAGATTCGCTCTGGACTTGCCATATTTTCGTGGGGACGGATTTTTGGATATGGTTTGCGACATCATGTCGAGAGATAGATGGCACCATCTACCAAAGATGGTGTAAACGTGATTGCTCTTGGATAGGGCCACTCGCATTCTAAGTAAGGTGGTGGAGATACGTTGAGCACCTACCAAAAAGAGAATTTTAACATTTTTTTGCCTTTTTTTTCTATTTTTTATTTTATCGGGACATTTATTTTGCTGCCGAAATTATGTAGCCCCCTCTTCCGACAATAATATATTAACTCTTTTTTCAGATGGCTGGCTGAAGATAGAGCGGATAACATTGAATTGCAACCAAACTTGAATTGAGCGAGGAGATAAAATCCATTTTTTCTGCACTTATAAAAAAAAAACCCTAGCATAATTTCCCAAAAAAGAAAAAAAAGAATTCGGTTGAGTAAACCAAAGAAATGCTAAAAGTTCAGCCCGACCCAAAGGGCTCTCTAATTGTGTTTACGTTCGACGGTCCATGTTATCGAATCATAATCACCCTTGCAATCCATTTCGATTCACATCTGTGATGAAACGACCCAATTTGTGCTAGCCAGGTAAAAAATCGAATAAAATCAAAACAAGGGTTTAATTTATTTTGGCAAGTACATATTCTGGCTATATATTTTTTTTTATTTTTATTTTTTATTTTTTGATAACCGAGGTGTCCGGGCCAGCTTGCACGCACCTCGACTATTCCTCGGGGGGAGACTAGCACAGCAACCCACTACCATTGCCCCCCCACTTAAATCACAAGTCTTCGGTGGAGAATCGAACCTGGGAATAGGTCGCTAACCACACAATTTCAAGTACGCCCTAACCAACTGAGCTACCCATGAATGAGTATATTCTGGCTATATTGTGTCGTGTTGTGTTCTATTATCTCGTATACAAATTGAATGACCGATCGAGTCGAGTATAGTAGATATCGGGAAATCGGGGGCACGTGCACGGGGTGATGACGTTGATGATCACGCCGTTGTACAACCATAATCACTGCACGTACCCGCACACAATCATTTGATCCCAATGCGGCCCCCCGGCAATCAAGTACACATTGCTTAATCTTGCAGCCACTGGGCAATTCCGTAATTTTAAACAACTAATCTTTTTCCCCCACCCCACGAAGCCCAGGGTCAAAATGGCGAATCCCCCCCCATTTTTCGCGGAGCAAATCAAAATCAATAATTTAAAATCTAAAAATCGAAAATCTCATTAATTAATTTCCCAATTAATTAATTAATTAAAACGTTCAAAATTCAACCCCCCCCTCCTCCTCCCTCGCGAACCGATCTAGCAGGTTTGTCGCTACCGTCCAAGTCCACACTCCAGCCCGATTCCTCTGCTTCTTCTTCTTCTTTTTTTTTAAAAAAATTTCGGGAACCGTGCTCTAATTTTTGCGGATTTTTCTTTTATTATTGTTTCCTTATTTTTCTCTGATTTTCGGACAATTTTTTTAAGGTTAAAATCCGGGGATTATTATTGTTAATTTAATCTAAGCACCCGTTCGTTTCGACACTTTATTCTACGGGTGGGCGGGGCCCCCACTTGTCAGCACGACGGTTACAGCTCGGCCCACCGTCGAGATGGACGGCCGGGATCTCGCCCACGTGTCTCGCCCTGCGGGGGAGCCTGCCAATTCGGTGTTCACTTTTCCTGCCCGCATCGCCACGTCGGACCGGGGGGGAGGAGCGAGGAGCGATTCTACTGTTTCGAAATTCGGGAGCAGGGGCAACGTGGTTCCAAGATCCGGCTCTAAAAGAAGATATTGAAATGATTTTCCCGTAATTTTTAGAAAATATTTCCGTGGTGATTTTTTTATTGAAAAATTTAGCTGAAAAACAATGCAAATATTGCAGTGATGTTGACATCGGTCGTATTATTATGATATAAAGTACTTAGATGGATCTGAAGTACGTAATCGGAATGTCGTTTTTCTCGATAAGATAGAGCGATTTGTAAGATTGGAATATCAAAATGCGATTGAAAAAGAAAACGACTTCTCAAGTTCGCATTATTATTATTGTAGTGTTGTAGCGCGATATCATTGGTCAGTTTCCGTGCGCAAATTATGATAATTCTCGCACGTTTCTTTGGAGGTTTATGGGTTTTTAAATAGTACGAGGTACCCGAATCTTCCATTTGACCGATTCCAACAAATATACACGAGAAGTTTATGTTCGCCCACATGCATCGGATTAAAAAGCTCTACTATAGGGGAGACGGAGTTGGCATTTGTTGAGTTGGAGAACGACGTTCTGAACGGGGAGAAAAAGTGTTTCGAACATGAAATTTGTTTGCACATTTTCGAAATCAAACGTTCGATTGCTCGGCTAACCCTTTTCGAGCGTTCGGACCTCTTATTTTTCGTGCCCTATTGGTGAAGAAAGAGGGAAAGTCGTGCTCTCCATGTGATTTTTAAAGGTCGATCTACAAATCGAACTAAAGAGAGGAGGAGGAGGAGGAGGAGGGAGAGAGAGTCAAATGCCCGAGTTATTTGAGTCAACTCGAAACGTGCATGCTTTAAACTTCGATATCACGATTCCCGTGCATATTGTATCGAAGCAAAGCGATGGCGAGATGCCATACATTTTTATAAACCAACATATTGACTTTGGTGTAATAATAACATTGATAGAAAACTTTCATATTTACCCATGCTAGAATCTCCAACGTCTAGCCAAGCTATCAAAAGATATCCGTCGATTTAATAAAGGGAAGAAGCCACTGAAAATTACGAATTACGCCTATTGTGATACACATTACCGTAAATCCCAAACTTGTACCTGTGTGACGCATTTACCCTCCGTTAATGAATACAGTTGAAAATCTGCTTACACGGACGCCGGAAAGCAAACGGTGTGACACGGCGCCCCATGTGACTTAAGTGAAATAAAGACGACGTTGTTATGGCTGGAAGATCATCTGACGGAACCTTGACGGAGGGTGAATGAGTCATATAGGTACAATGTTGGGGCTTTTTACATACCAGAAAAAAGCTTAGGATAAACGTATCACAGTGGGTATAGCTCGAGATTTCCGATGTTATTAAAAAAGAGTTCGAGATAAATGTGCGACAGTAACCCTAATTTAAAATTTTTGATGGTTTTTGTCCCTTTAATCAATACAATAAAAAAAGAGCATTTAACCTCGTGATTGTGAATACTCCAAAGTAAATTCCTTGAGCATAACAAGCACCGATCCCCATGAACATTGAAACTACGTACTAGAGCCCGGTCACGATAAAGGATAAGATATTATCATCTTTCGTATTTATTGCCTTGCTTGTTCCATACTTTGCCACCTTTTTTCATTTCTTATTATTTTCACATGCTTCGATTTATCAGCTTTTTTTTTTTTTTTACTTTTTTCCCACTTTTTTGCTTGAATTAAAAGGAAAGGCTGAAAAAGAGAGGGCACCCAGGCCGTTGCTTGGCCAGGAGGTTTCATCTACCAGGAGAGACGAGGACCCCCCTTTTTATAATTTTTTTAATTTCGATTTATTCCGCTTTTTTTTTAAGCGAGATATTTATTTATTATCGGCGTTCCTTTGTTTTTTCTTTTTGCGATAAATGTTAAAAAAAAAAATAGGGGCGAGGCGGTACGGCGGTGGGGTCCCCAAAGTGCACGTGACGGAGCTGGAGGAGGGAGGGGCGGTGTCAGCGACCCCACGTGAATCCAGAACCGACGGTGGTCAATGCCACGTGGCGATGCTGACGTCAAGCCACCCCCGCCCCCCCTCTTTCATCCTGAGGGGCCGTATTCATTTTTCCAAGGCGCGAGGGCACGTGCCGGGGTCACGTGCGTCCCACGGGCGACGGAGCGGGCGCGTGTCCCCGCCGGTGGCCGGTCACGTGGGAGTGGACGTCCGGCTTTAAGTGGTTTCACCTTCGAAGCTCCATGGTGAGTTGGTCTCCTTTTTTACCGAGGAAAACGATACAAACGATCCCCAAATTTTAACTAAATGTGTAATGTGATTATTGAATTTTTAATTTGTTTGATGTGATCTATAAACTTTAACCAATTTGCAATGCGGTTTACGAACTTTTAATTTGTTTAATTGAAAAATAACATTAAACATTTTCGTATAGTTCATGGATTAAGTTGAATGTATACCAAAAATTCAGGGATTACATTGAATAAATTGAAAGTTCGTGGACCACATTGCACATTGAGCTAAAGTTCATGAACCATATTAAATAAATTAAAATTTCAAGGATCACATCACATATTTTATCAAAGTTCAGGGATCATTTATGTCATTATACCTTTTTACCTAGGTTAAAGTTGGTTATCACTTGTTAAGTATTTTTTTTTTTGCCTGGAATGATATATCACTCGGGTTTGACCAAAGTCTACCTCATTAAAATTTCGATTCAATGGTACAATTGAATCAGGCTTCTGAGCTCTTTCCAAAGGTATCTAATTTGATCAAATCGGATGATAGATCACGAGGGCTACAAATGATAATCATTTTGTTTCTATTTTTTTGTTCTAGAAACAAGTTTGGAACAGAAATCCGTTTGGTAATGCATTTTCATTTTTCGATTTCTAGAACAAATTTTGATTTCAGAATTAGGTTTGGAATAGAAATGAGAAGTAAAAATTTTCTACTTTTCTATTTCTGGAACAAAAATGAGAAATTCTTCTCATCGCTCGCCCTCGCTACTAACCGGTCGCCTATCCACCGTCCATCGCTGCCCACTTGCTGGCCGCCGCCTCTCGCTGTTCGCAGTCTCCCCCCCTAGCGTCGGCCGGCCACCGTCTCCCACCACCGGCCACCCTCCTTCCGCCGCCGCCCTCCTCCCACCGTTGCCCACTGTGGGCCGCCACCCACTGTTCGCCGCCCACCATCTCCCACCCTCCTCTAGCCGCCCTCCTCCTGCCGCCGCCCCCCTCTCGCCACCGGTCGTCGCCGGCCTCTTGCCGTTACCTGACGCCGACCGCCTCCAGCCGCCGTTCTTCGCACTGGCCCCGTCGCCTTCTGCCGCCCCTTCGCCCCACCGTCTGCCGCTCGCCATTCGCTGCCACCATTCGCCCTCCTCCCACCCTCGCCCTCCTCTCGTCGCCCGCTTCCCACCGTTGCCAGATGCCGGCCACCTCTAGCCGCCGTCCTCCGCACTCGCTGCGTCGCCTTCCGCAGCTACCTCCCCCCACTGTCCGCCCTCCTCCCGCCGCCGCCCCCCTCCCATCATCTGCTTTCCGCCGCTACCCGACATCGGCCACCTCCAACCGCCATCCTCCACATTGGCCGTGTTGCCGTCCGTTGTCGCCTCCCCCCACCGTCTGTAGCCCGCTGTTCGCTACCACTGTCCGCCCCCCCTCTCGCCACCGGCTGTCGCTTGCTTCCTGCTGCTTCTCGACGCTAGCCACCTCCAGTCGCCGTCCTCCGCACTGGTCGCGTCGTCGTTCGGCACTGCCTCCCCCTGCCATCCGCCACTCGCCGTTCGCGGCCCAGCGTCCGCCGCCATCTACCCATCGTCCACTTGCCGGTCACCCGAGAGGGAAAAATTTTGTACCGTTATCAAACAAATTTTTGTTTCGGGAATAGAAATTTTGCGTCGTTATCAAACGTGTTTTTTTCTCAGAAACTCGTCTAGGAACAAAAATAAAAATGCTAGAAATTGATTTTTAAAATAGAATGGTTATTATTCATAGCCTAGATGTAACTTTAAATTTTAACCCTCAAATTTTGAAAGAATCGAGAAAGCTACATTTACCACAGATGAAATGACAATATCACGAAAATCTGGTCTTGAATTTTTTCAAATGGCTCAAGAATCACTTACATTGGCATTTTTTTCAAGCGAGATATTGTAAATTTATATCCGAGCCTTTGGTTCAGCCCATTCTATGGGAATCCACGATCCTGATACTTATTCAGAAATTCAAATTGTTCATTTGGAACTTAAAGTCGTGATCTTTCTACACGCACGAAAATCGAGTTTATTAGATGCAGATAAGAGAAGAACGAGCAATCAAATGTGCCTCCCTAAAAATGGTCGTTTCCATCGCTTGAAGTAATTAGTCGATAAAAAATATTTTTATTATCGGCAATATTTTACGCTCAAATATTTTTGTAAACGATGAAAGTATCTCTCATCTGTTCATTTCGTAAAAGATAAATGTTATTATTTTAAGGAAGATATTTTTCAAATCATTCATTTTCCGTGAAACAAACGGAGCCTTTAACAAAATTACTTCGGACTGGAATTTGATATTGCCAAAGGGGAAAGAGCAAGGCCTATTACGTTGGCGACACGCTTCCCATTCCAAAGCCCATTTGCTAATTGCAATCCTTCTTCCCCCAAAAAGAAATTGGAAATCTCTCGTTTTCGAAGTAATGTCTCACCCTCTTTTCAATCGATGGAGATCACCTCCTCCTTCCTTTCAAGCTAACCAGCTATTACATTTTTTGCTTCTCCCAAGAATCCATCTTTGAGTAACGTCGGATTGTAGGAAAAATCAATCTATCACTAGAGTGGGAAATACTTGGGCTTCAATGTATGATCCAATTCGCCGAATGGGCCCATCCTTGTACGCCCGACTCGTGCCGGCCCAATAAGTTTCCGTCATTAGATCAAGTGGGATTGGGCTCACATGCGACGATAATTTTTGTCTCGTTCACAATTTTTGTCATCCATTTTTCTAGGGGCGTTTCTTTCTTTTTTCTTTTTTGCGTAAAACGAAAAGCGTACACTATGCAATTGCGTGAAGAATTTTCTGAATTCTCCTTTGCTCGGATTAGAGCATCTCCCAACCAAAAACAGATAACCTACTGCGGAACTAAACATAAACAGGACAAAATGACGAAGCATGTGCATAACGAATTTCATTTGATCGAGTAACTCAAAACGACTTGATAACTTAATTGTAGAAAACTTAGTAAACTACGCAAGATGGTTATTAATTCCATTAAAGGGTCAGTAAGAATGTAAATAACAACTAGCGAAATACGAGAGAAATTTTTATTTTTTTGGTCAAAGATACGAGGAATTGGTGTTTTAAGATAATCAAATGATTATTGGTAATTAACTTAAAACAAATAATTGATAAATTTAAACCGGAGGACTGTTAAAAGAGTTTGTTCACGGGAGGGGTCGGAGGAGAGAGAGAAGATCGCCGGCACCGTCGTTGGCCTTTCTTCTTCATTGCCACCGGCCCTAAGAGAAACCGACACCGATCCAGTTCCAGCGCCACGCGAGGCACGCGCCGCACCGCCGGGGAAATGGAGTGGCTGAGCGCGGCGGTGGCGGAGCCGTACTACCTCTTCCACCTCCTCGCCTTCTTCTCCTACATCCCGATCCGCTGCTCCGCCGCGCTCGTCCTCTCTCCCGACATCGCTCACCTCCTCCTTCGCCGAGTACCTCTCGATCTCTCCCCGTCTCTCTCCCCCTCGCATTTCGGTGACGGTCATCGGCGTTTTTTGAGCTCGGCAGCGATCGGTGCTTTGACCTGATGCGTTTGAGGTTTTCGATACGGTGCAGGAAATCCAGGCGGTCCTGGCGTTTCTGGCATTGGCTGCTGTCAAGGTATGGGGTTGCCTCGAGGAGTTCTCGCTTTTTCGGGATTCTCTCGTCGGCGTTGCGTTGCCTCGAATTAAATTACTCTTTGTTTGGCCTTAATGATTGCTTGCCTAGCGTGTAGATTGACTGTTGACTCTCTTTCTAGTGGAAACCGCGAAAAAAATGCGGTTTTTGGGGGAATGCGAGTGAAATTATCTGGGAGGAACTTGGGTGGCATTTGCCTGTTGTTGGGATGAAAAGCTCGGGGTAGATAATGATGAGTGCTTGTTGCTAGAGAGTGCGGGTTCATTCGCCTGATTGGGCAAAGATTTTGGATTGAAGATGCTTAGACATGGCATTAGAGCTGGAACATACTTCATTCAGTTCAATTATGTATTCTGCACGTGGTATATGTTCTTCTTTGTCCGAAGCCCCCCCTATGGGTGTTCTGGGTGCAAGATACTTTCGTCGTTGATCCAGTTCCTGTCTGTCTTGCCTCCGCCCGAGCCCTGCAGAACTTCTTATTGTGGTGTAAGTAGGGTTTTATGAAACCCGTCGCTTCATCCACCTAATAGCTTAAGCCACCTTTAGGATTTGATATATCATCAAGAAAAGGCAAATGGTTACAGGTACTTCTGACTTCAAGATATTGGTGGAATGAGTTGTGTCGTTTTTTTAAGCCCTAATTGAGGAGCTTTTGGACTTTTGCTGTTATGATCTAGTGTTTAGTCCCCTGAAGATTGCAATCTACGACTGGCTCTTTATTCTAGCTGTTTCTCTCTGGCATAGCTTGTGCGTGAAGAAACATGGGAGGCCTTCGTAGCTGATTCTTTGTTTTTCTCAAAGGTACCCCTGATGTTGCTTCTGATTCCTGATGCTGCTAAAGCAAAGTTCTTTACTTTTATCGTTTTATGCAAGCTTGTTATAGCATGTGAGTTTCCATATATCTTTTTTCTGGCCATACCTTTATATTAATCTTGAAGATCGAAACAGTTAAACTGCACACAATTATTCTTTATGACACCAAGTGAACATTTTCGAACTTGAGGCCCAAAACAAACAAGTTGGATTTTAGTGAGCATTCATCGTCAGTTTTCATGTGACAGTCCAGTTACGTTCATTGTCTTCATTATTATTTCTCATAATTAACTTTTTTCTGGAATTTATGTAACTTTTCAGGTTTTCCTTGTTGTTGTAACATTAGTGATTGATTACCACCTGGCTCTCTGGTACATTCTGATATTCCTGGGTACGCCATACAGAGTTGTTAACTCTGCTTTTCGTTTCTGGAATCCTTGAATGATCTACGAACCTATTTTGCAACCCAAGCATTGATGATTCCACTAATTTCTCTGATGCAGTATTTTGCATAAAATAACCATGCATTGAAATACTGTTGGAAGCGGTTAGCCCCTTTAATGTTGTCTTTATCTGGCTCTCTTTTGCAGTGATATTTACATTAACCCAGCAACCTGCGTCTCAATTCTTAGGTATGGGAATGCTTGATTTTCCTTACCCAGAAATATTTGATTTTCCTGTGCTATAGTTCCCTCCCAGTTCTCTGTACTGCAATCAAAAGTGGCTATCTGTTGATATGGAGCGCACTAGAAATATATATCTGACTTGTCTCTATTATGATTTTGCTGATTCCTTCTTTACCATTTGGTTGTTCTGTAGGTACGGCAAGCAAGTTAACTCCACTGCAATTAGAAACAGTACTGAGCGATGGGGGCACATCAAGATTCTGGCTGGTTTGTTCCAAAAAATTGTCATAATTTGCTTTTTGAGAATTTCCCTTTTCTCAGATTCCTTAGATGCTCAAGAGCAGACTGCATTTTTGCTGAATGATTATAATTGAATGTAACATTGAATGTCTTGCGTTTCATGATGTAAATTGGCTTGAATCAGCCCATTTTGGGAAGTAGCACTGAGTAATGGACTTAGACTTTTAAGAAGTAATATGTCAATTGTTGGCTCATTTATATTCTTTTGAACCTTTGCAAATATTTTTGGTACTTGCACTTAACTTATAATAATGGAAGAGCCAAACTATTGCTGGCAGGTAGAGTTTCGCTCTTCGTGTTCCTCTTCGTGCATTCGAGCAAGTCGATGCTTTGCTGAGCTCTCAATAACGTATGTTTCTTATCTAATCCTAGACCTGCCATGTTTCAATTGCGAGCTTTATTATTAGCCTTTTACGTCATATTATTATATGGCTTCCATAATTGACATTCTTACAATGTTGCTACTTGGATTTCCATTACAGATACTCGAACAAAAATTTGTCCTTTGCGATAGTGGATCTTGGACTCTTTCCTGTTGTTGCAGAAAAATTTGGAATATCTCTTGGTAGTTTTATTTTTTAGTTCAATATTCTATTTCTCTTGAGAAGGTAGGCTGGTTTTAATTTGATCTTTTTTTTTGCTTATGTGGGTAAACTTTGTTCTCGTAGGGAACATGGCCCAGCTTCCCACATACATATTATTTGAAAACGCAACAGAAATAGCACGCCTTCCAGATATTGATCTTGGAGTCAAAATTTTTTATCCTCCCATTACTAAGGTATATTTTGTATTAGTTATCTCCTAGTATTTAATTTGCAACTGTTTATTTCTGATGACGAACATAATTTCCGTGAATAATACTCTCCATCTAATGTCATTTCTGATGACGAACATAATTTCTGTGAATAATACCTTGGCTGACTAACCATATGCTTGAACTATGTGCAACTGTTAATTTCCGTGCTCAAACTGCTTAGTATTACCTGTGTATGCTCTCTATGATGATGATTGGTGTCTTTTTCTTGCTCAATTTATCTTTTAGGTCATTTATTGCTCATCTGTTTTATATCACAGTTGTACCATTGTTCGGACTATTTTCATCTTTTTTCTCCTATTTTTTCTTTGCTGCAGACACTTCTTTCCCGGCATTTTGAGCTTGATCGTCTCCTTCTTGAATATGTGAATGGCAAATAGGTAATTAGAAGTGAATGATCTTTCTTTTAATTCACAACTCTCTCTCTCTCTCTCTCTCTCTCTCTCTCTCTCTCTCTGTTTTCCATGTGCATTTGTAGTTTCTTTGAAGTAGTGACACTATAATATGAACGTGAAAATGCAATTATTTAGTCGAGATTCTAAAAAGACAGCAAGATCGCAAAAGTTGTGTATAATGTGTCGTCAAGATTTCTAGAAACCAGACATCAGCAATTTATCACTTCAATATCATCTGTATCTGCAGCTACTGCATCCACTTCACAACAGCCAGCCCTGATATTGCCTTGAATTTGGTTATAGTAACTAGGAGTTGGTCATTGTGTGAACTTGCAAGAGGGTAATCAAAGGCAGCCATCCTTTGGCATGTGTTTTGGATGAGCATGTGGGCTAAATTAGCCATTCCCAATGGTGAAAAGCATCTATCATGCGTGCCCTTTGTTGCTCAGGATATGCACAAATGGTACACAAAGAAATTCTACCTGGTGGTCTTCACAAAAACAATTGAATGAATAAGTTAGACAATGAGGCATTGTTGCTCTTTAGTATACAATCAAAGTCGTTGTTTATCCTTGTTTTACATGAAAGAGCAAATGGTAATTTCTAGGTTGAAGAGGATGTAAAATGGGCTCTTTGGAGGTAGTCGTGAACTTAGGTTTGAGTAGAAGTTGGACACTGGGCCATCTCATTACTTGTGCTGTTACTATGTTTATGAACCCTGTATTCTTGATGCGAAATCATTACCAGACTGAGTATGAAGTGATTTCCTTATCAAATGAAATTGTCATCTATCAGCCAGGACACAACAAAATTATGGGCATGTTTGGTGCTCTGTTTTATCACCTTTTTGGTTGGTAAATGTACTGTTTCCCACCATTAAGTGGGCCTCTAGGAGACTAGGATGGGGTCAAATTGGGATTCCCTTTGGATTCTTGTTAAGCTCTAAGGTCCTACATGCATCAATGCTGTCTCATAGTTCTTATTTATTTTCAGGTGTTGCACGTTTGAGTAGGCTGTGCACTGTTTGAATGGCATCCGGGCTTAACCGATCTATCTCTTTCATTCACTGCATAGGTCCGGAGACACTGCAAGGAAAGAAGAATTGCTGCTATTAAATCTAAGCATGCTGTTTCGCACTAACGATTGCCGGTTGGTCTTTGACAGTCTTGAACCTGGTAAGAAAGTGGTGGCGCAAAAAGAACAAAAAACCTGGTAAGAAAGGGACGCCAACTAAGAAAAAGAGCTATTACTTTACCAGATTTTTCCCACATGAATAGGGATGAACCTGGCAGTAATATGAGATGACGACTTCTAAAAATTGCTAGCAAATGGTTCTTCTTTTTCCCTCTCTCTTCTTCTTCTACAGTTTTTTTTTTGGCTCTGGATGTTTCTATGTTTTATCTTAGCACAGCGAGCATGAGGGGACACTACTGTATCCGGTAAAATTGAGAGCTCTCTTTAGTTTTTTAACTATTATCTTCTTGTTAGGACAATGTTCTTACGATATTCTTAGGCTTCTGGTATAGTTTACTTCAGTTGCCACTGCACAGCAACTCTTGTAGCTTTAGATGCTCTCACCTCTTAATTGTAACTGCTGGAAACGATTGGAACTTAGAAAGTTATGCATGTAATTGTTTCTTTCTTATGGCGCGTTAGTCCGAGACTCTTGAGAGTTTAATATGGTGGCCGTTCCTTCTCGCACAATTACACTCGCGATATCTGCATAGAGAACCACACCCCAATCGCTAGTCCGAGACTCTTGAGAGTTTAATATGGTGGCCACACTCCAATTACACTCGCGATATCTGCATAGAGAACCACACCCCAATCGCCGGTTGACTACGCCAAGCTGAACTAGCTGCGGCTCTACTGATTGGTCAGCTTAACAAAGTCTTGCTGTTGCACGTGCTTAGTTTATGTTTTGAGAATTTGGTAAAGAAAAGGATCGTGTTTGGAGCTCCGAGTAAGCGCATGGGACTGCAATTGTACGGTGCGAGATACGGATGGATATATATCGCCATTTCCTGATTTGAATATGGTCCTGCCTCTCGGATCATCATGAAAACTCGAACGGCTTGAAATCAGGTCTAAATCCAAGTGCCTCATTGAGCATCACTCTCTCTCTCTGTCTCTCTTTCAAGTTGAGCTCCAAGTGTTACTGGTTTGTCGCCCGACATTGAGTAGGTTGCTGTCGATGACCATTTTAAGAAGAGGTCGCAAGGTGCAAATGATTTGATGAGCCGTACAAACATAAAAAATAGCACCAACTGATTTGAGTTGGTGCAACTTGAGTATCGGATAATTACTATAAAAGTCATAGAATCTATCGTGATAATGCACTCGAGTCCTAGAATTTTCGTCTCCCCTATAATAATCCTACTAAAATTTGTAACTTCAATACACCCACGTCCTCCCATCGATTCCGTTCACTAAAATCTAATAAAGCTAACAAAGGATCAAAGCGGACGACCGTGACAAGGTGTAGAGTTCAAACACATGAAACGAAAGTTTTACAACTCAAGCGTATTGCAACAAATTTCGCGACATCTATCGCAATAGCCCCGCGCATCTTTTCGGGCGTTCCTAAAACGGGCAATGTTGCCGTAACGTGCATTCGATGTGTGCTTCCGAAGCACTTGCCAGGTATTTTCGATAACGAGTTGTTCGATTATCAAACTGTTAATCATACATAACACGAAAACGATGTACAGCTTACGCTGACTCTTGCCGATGCTTTTTCATTATCATTATCATGGACCCCCGAAGACGCCCCCCCCCCTGGGGTCGATGGGTAGAACGAGGGTCGCACTAGGCTCATGTTGACCACGGGCTTTGCTTCCAAACGCAGCGTCAAAAGTCCAATGGAAAAGGCTAGCTTGTAGTGCAAACCACGGCCCCACCTCCACCTCCACCTCCACCTCCACCACCACCACCACCACCACCACCTCCCCCAAAGAGCGCCATTAGCGTAAACAAAAGGGCTTAACCAAAAAGGGTCGAATCCATTGCTGTCTGTCATTGACATCCCGCGCAAGTAGAAGGGGGCCCTTCCAAATCACGCTGCCGACACCCGTTTCCGTCTCTCGCGCGAGCCAGCCAGCCAGCTTACGAAGCAAGATGCATCAGCCGTCGTGCTTACGGCTCGAGACATGCCGACCGAGATGTCGATCTTTCGATTAGGGATTTGATTCATGAACACGCTGTCGAACGGAACCATTATCCCTGACGACGATTCAACGGGATTGGTCCCGCCACGTCAAGGACACGCGGCGGCCCCCCACGTGGATCATGCTCCCAGGAGGCGGAGGGGGCGGGCGGGTCCGAGGCTCGCGTCCCGAGAAAGTCGCCCCCCCCGCCGCCGAATATTCTCTCTCCTTTTCCTTTCTGTCGATGCAAAACTGGAAAAAGAATTCGATGGAGTGGGGAAAAAAGAAGAAGGGGGGGGGGGGGAATGAAGGTGACGGCGACAGTAGCTCATATCATATCATTGCCAGCAAAGCATCGAGGATCGGGTCGGGTATGGATCGGGTCGGTTCGGTCCGGGGCCCGCTGGGCCCCCAACTCCCCTATCCCTACGCCGCTCGGTGGGCCCCCCCGGTCTCGCCTGTCGTGTCGGCCCACTCCCGCACTTCTCCTTCTTCTTTTCCTTTTTCCTTTTCCTTTTTTTTTATTTTTTATTTTTATTTTCGCCCAAAATTTCTTGGCACTCCCCACCATTAACTTGTGCTTGGCGTTGGCGTGCCTTTCGTTTAAAAGTATTGTCGCGTTGGGGCGCTCTCTCCTTTTTCCTCCCTTTTCCCTATCTTCTAGTTAGTGCGAGACATCGGAAGATCTTCGGACAACCCCCGTTAATCTTCGGCGGCAAAAAAGGGGCAAAAAAGGGGCGATCGTTAAGGATTCGAAATCGCCCATCGGGGAGGACTTTTTCCCGCCCCCGCATTCGTTGCGCGCGTATTTTCCGAGGGCGTATACGACGTACAGTGGTTCCGCCGGTTCCACTTGACGTGTTGTGGATCCTGTCGATCGGAAGACTTCTGAAACCCCGAGCGCCTCGTGATGTATGGATCGATGACGGTTAATGACCGGAGACGGTCCCTTTGAAAGGGCCGTGCCATGGGATAACAACCTTTAGGATGGTCACCGGTCCATGCCGTGGCGCCCACGAATCACGAGCCGCGTCACGGGTCGGATCAGGGGAATCGCACGGGTTCGGGACTCGGCCTTCAATGTATGACCCGGTCTTTCGTTATTTTTTAGACAAATTGAATTATGCTCTGCATAGTGATTCTTGGGTGGTCACGTTTTGATTTATAAAAGCACTCGTCAAAGTAAATGGTGCGTTGGTAAACAACCACGGAAAAAATATAAAAAAGTCTAGATCGACGTGTAGAATGCTTAGACCAGACCATTCGAACCGTATTTTCGTCATATCATATCAATTAAAATTCAAAGTAATAATAACAATAATACTATATAATCGGGTTCATAAATTAATTTTTTTTTTCCCTCGATTTTTTAAGGGGGGACGAGCCTGCGATCTCAAAGCTGAGCGCGCGTGGGGTGGCGGAGGAGAATCTCGTGCTCCTTTTGAGGAGGAGATTATAAGGCAAAAAGAAAAAGAAATCGTATATATTATTTTTTAAAAAATAAATCAATTTCGTAATTAAAAGATGAAATATGTAATAATAAAAAAAATCCAGGAGGAAATATATTATATAGTGGCGAAAAATAGTTTTAAAAAAATACTACGGGGTACACGACGCAGCCCACCTGACGACTGTAAAGCTTAAAGGGCCGCGCGTGCCGCGCGTGCGGGCCCCGCGCGCGTGGGTCCCGAGATCCACCACCCCCCCACCACCAACGACACGCGCACCACCGAAGGTATGTTTCGAGCTGGCGTCCAGAACACTTCGCCAAGCACCGCCCCGACACGTGTCGCCCCCCCACTCGCCGGGAGACCACGGAAAAGTTTTACCGTCGAGCTAATTCCACGCTTTCGATCCAAAAAAAAGAAAAAAAAAACTAATTCCATGTTATCTCCGTCCCCTCCACTAACCCCCCCCACCCCCAAAAAAAATTAATAAAATTTATAAAAAAAGTCAAAAATAAAATTCAAAAATAAAATAAAATATTAAAAATTTGAAAAGAATTAGGGCGCACCAATTCCTAAGTTTACTGGCGAGAGTGGCGGGGCGTGTTGCCACTTTTACCGGCCAATCCCAATTTCGTCACGCCCGTTGACACAAAAAACATCTTGCGATCCTTTTTCCTTCTTTTGTCCGAAAAAGGGCGAAAAAAAAGGGGAGAGGAAATAATGATAATAAGAAAGATGGGCAAAAAAAAAAGGGAAGGGACATCGCGGAAAAGGGCCTTTTGTCTTTCGAGTTGAGCCATCGATGTTGCTCGCGACCTTATTATCTTCCCGAGCTTAGGGGGGTTAGGGCTTAGGGCGAATCCGATTTTTCCCGATAAGCGCCTCGCCAATTGTTTGGAACGGGTTACGGATCGGCATCGACGGTCCGAGCGCGACACGACGTGGACGTTCCGCTTATTCGATTGGGTTCGTTCTCTGTTTTGTTTATCATCGTCTCGTGTTTAACTATTGTCCTCTTTATATATATATATATATATATATATATATATATAATTCGAGCGAGAAGTTTGGTACTTGTGTGTGGAAAAAAAAACTTAAGGTGAAAAAGCATGGGCCAATCTTCATATGGACGCCACAATTTGGAGGATCGAACCCCACTTCAATTTGTCTGCCATTGTCTCCCCCTTTTTCATCCTAAAATTGTCAAACTCACCCCCCAAAAAAAAAAATTTAAAAAATTTTAATATAATTTTTGTCAAGAGTGCTCCTTCGAAAAATTTTCAACGATGGATACCATTGAGGAGGGAGAAAAACGCCGAGGTTGTGGTTTGAAATATGACATCCTTGACGCGACTTGCCATTGACTCTTACTTTGGTAAAAATGTGTATGACTTGCTTGGAGTTCTCCCTAGGGGTGAGCAACTTGGACCGTCCAAATCGGGACCGGACCAGACCGACGAGTTTGGTCCGGTTCTCGAGACTATCGGTCCGGTTTCCGGTTCCTAAAAGCGGAACCGGTTTCCGGGCGGTCCGATTCCCGATTCCAAGGGGGAACCGGACCGGACCGACCGGACCGGACCGACTATTTAATATATATTTATTTTTATTTTTTTCTTTAAAAAAATTAATAAAATGTGAACTAAATTCTAAGTGAACTTCATTATCATAAATTCATTGATAAAAAAATAGTAAAATGTGAATTAAACCCTAAGTGAACTTCATTGACAAAAATTAGTAAAATGTGAACCAAACCTTAAGTGTTTGACAAAAAAAAACCCTAAACTCTAAGTAACCGGTTCCATTGGATCGGACCGAAACCGCACCGGACCGACGGTCCGGTCCGGTTCGACGGTCCGGTCCGGTCCGCGGTTCCCAAAATTGGGAACCGGTTCTCTCGATCCGGTTCCCGGTTCCACTTTGGAACCGGACCAGACCGGGAACTGCTCACCCCTAGTTCTCCCTCCCCTTTTAGAACAATTCTATGAGGCATGGTGTTTTCATTTCCACGGAATACCCAAAGAGTTTTCAAAGTAGTGAGCAACGTCAATACTCAGATTCATGCGATTTCGTCGAAAATGCCGCGTCGAGGACCGAAACAGTGAAACCTTACTGGTGGTCAATATGTTCGTCTGCTTAGCCCGTAGCGCGAAAAAAGGTTTTTTATGTTTTTCTTTTATCTATGTCTTCACGTGATCCTGTGGTATTCCGTGATTTCCGATGATGAGTGTATGATTTGGGACCACTAGTCCGAGCTTCCATTTTACGACTAAACTTTTATTTCGTTAATGTTTCATATTCTTCGTATGTCTAAATATAAGTCGTGGTCAGTGGATTATGGTCAGTGGATTATAGAAGCAAGTGGTGGTCATTGAAGCTGATGATTCACTGCAATCGTTCAATTAATAATACATATGGAACTTAAGTTAGACCCTGAAACTTGTAGTGGGTTATATTCCAAAAACTTATGAATATGTTCCAACGAGTAGATTTTAGATTTTAGGTAGAACATGTACGGAACTTGGAACCGCTCACCCCTAGCTCAAACCGTACCCCTTGCGATCATGTCTTGGTACAAGAAAATGGAAACTCGCACGCTATCCCCCTTATTCGGAAGGAATTGATATGGAAGCGAAATAAGGAAAGCGAAGAGAGCGAAAAGCTCAGGTCAATTTTCCCAACCATTTTCACGGCTATCAAAGGCGCGTCCCTAATTCCTACTTCGCGGTGTCGCGAACGAAGAATCGTGTACGACCGGGGCGATTCGAGTCGTGCCGGAAAGATCGATTTTCTCGCCCCCTCTTTCCTTCCTCGGCAGAACGAAAATTCGAATCCCTAAAACCGTACGAGGAAATTTACAAACACCCCAAAAAAAAAAAAAGAGGAAGAGGAGGAATTTGTGCCTAACAACAGTGTACGTTGGTCTCCCGAGTTAGTGAACTGTCTACGCAAAGTCGAATGTTACGGTTTCGCCTCTTATGAAGGGGAAGAAGGGCATACACAAAAACAGGGGGGGGGAATGATGGGGGCACGAGAAGTCGAGACGCATGCAAATCGCCCCTCATTATTTTGTCCCTTTGACACAGGACTCATGCACAAAACATTCCCCTTCCTCTCTTTTCGTAGGGCCACACGCGCATCATGATATCATTATATCCACCTCTGTCCCTCTCGTTGTAAAACAGCTCATGCTTTGCTTAAATCTCACGATACATGTATAATTTAACCTCGGTATCCTCGTGAATTCGCGTCGCGTCTGGATATTCATCCGCCCCCGCGCGCTCCGGAGAATTTACGTGGAGAAAAATTGCGTACGTAACTGATAAAGCGAATCGCCCGTAGGGTATGCGATACTCATCCTGTCGATTCATGAACGTGCCGTTTTAGGTTAAGGGCTTACAAGCTTTTTGAGGAAAAGAATGTGCCGACTATAAGCATTGGATATTGAATCGGTTTTCGAAAGTGATGTACAGTTGCACCGGGTTAAAAACAGGTCGAAACGGGAAAACAGATGGCTGAACAACGGCGCCGGAGATCGGCAAGTCACCCGGATGAACCATTTTCATAAACTCCGGATTCAACACGGGTCGGTTTAATCGAAAGAGATTTGCGTAAACATATTAAGGAAGGGGGCCGGGAGGGAACGCAGTAGGAGCTCGCGCGCGCCGTACGCGCGCGCGAGCTCCTAATTCACATGCACCGTCGGATGAGATGGGCATGCGTATCGAGCTCGCATGTACACCGAGGCTATGTAATGATGACGTTGGGGGTGGTGGTGGTGAGGGGAAAAAGAGAAGAGGAGGAGGTGGGGGAAAAAACCAAAGGCTCTTCGGAGGCAACGAAAACAACAACATCATCAACAGCGACAAAAGGGGGAGAAGAAACAAAAACAAAAGCGAAAGTGGAGGGGGAGGAGAGAGAGAGGAAAAGAGAGGTGATGTGAAAACAAACCAAACGCTCCTTTTCTTCACCTCTCGTTGTCTGTCTGGTATATGGGGGTTTCACTCTCTCTCTCTCTCTTTTAGGCGTCCCCAGGGATCCCCGATCCCAATATCATTCTCCCCCCGGCCCCCCCGCCCCGCCCCACTCTTTTGTTGCCATATACATACAAGAACGAAGCTTGAAAGCGCCTCTGTCTACTCGTGAGTTGGGTCACTTCTCGCGTGACACGACAACCTCCTCCATGGCTCCAAAAGCTTCCACCACTTGACAGACAGAGGAGAGTTGTCCGCGGCGAGAGCTCACTCGGGGCAGCTGCTCGTTTTTGGCTCCTTCGAAGTAGGACGGTCGCACGACGTGAAGAGGAGAAGAGGGTGTGTGGTCCTGACGGGGGGGGGCTCTCTCTCTCTAGAAAGACTCGTTTTTTTCTCGTTTAAAATGAAGCGGGGGTCTTTCTAGCTTCTGGGTTTTGAGGAGGGCCATCTTTTTGCCGATTCAGTTGGTTGGCAACCCGGTAAGATCTTCGCTGCGAGTGCTCCTTACGCGGTTCTTGGTCAGTTGGAACTTGATTCAAACAGTGGAAAAAATGAATCTTTGATGGAAAGATCATAGTATACGCGTGTCTGTAGAGCTGTGTTCGCGAGTGGTTAGTGGGCTTTTTTACTGATTCACTGATCATATAGGGAAATGTTTCTTTCAGTCTTAGTTTGTGGATGTTTTGTTTTGGAATTTTTGGGTGGGGACTTTTGCATGCTCTCTCTTCAGGTTCTTCTATGTTTGCGTATTTGAGATATCTTTGTTTAATTTTTTGCGCCTTTGGGTAAATATGAAGTGATGATGGCGGTGACATCGGCCTGTAAGGACAAGATGGGGATCGACAACGGGAAATATGTGCGGTACACGCCCGAACAGGTTGAAGCTCTCGAGAGGCTGTATCATGAGTGCCCAAAGCCAAGTTCTTTGCGGCGACAACAGCTGATTAGAGAATGCCCGATTCTCTCCAATATCGAGCCGAAGCAGATCAAAGTTTGGTTTCAGAATCGAAGGTATGTCGTCTTAAATGTGCTACTCTCGTCGAGTCAAGCTTGGATTTATATAGCTGGATCATCTTTTCATCTGCAAATTTGTACAAAACATCGATGGGAGTTATCAAGTAGGGAGTCTGGGCCAGGTGGGTATTGGATTCTTATTCTCGGTGCAATGAAAGGTGAAAGAACTAATCGGCAAAGGGTCTTGTCAGTTTCAAATCTATGTTAGCTTATCTTGTTTTGAATATCCGTCAGAAATTCTGTCGACGAGTAATCTAATGTATCTTATGGATTGAAATCTCTCGCTGCCATCGGAGATGGTGGTTGTCTACGCTACAGGAGAGATGGTCTAGCTCCATAAGTGGCTGAGAAATTCATTCCTACCTTAAGATCTCTACTGTTTTTTAGCTCCCTATTTAGTTGGTACTTACTAATTTTTATTGTTTGCTATGAGCCTTGAGCGATTTGATCCTTTGATCTTGCAGGTGTAGAGAGAAGCAGAGAAAAGAAGCATCACGCCTTCAAGCGGTGAATAGGAAGCTGACTGCAATGAACAAGCTTTTAATGGAGGAGAATGATAGGCTGCAAAAGCAAGTGTCACAGCTGGTGTATGAGAACAGTTATTTCCGCCAGCAGACTCAAAATGTGAGGGAACTTCGCCACCTCTTTTCATTCCTTTCTCTTTTATTGCTTAGTGAAGCGGATACGGTGACACTACAAGAAACTGAACTTTTTTTGATTCTAATGATTTTTTGCGACGAACTAACCTTTCCCTATATTCAAGTCATTTAAACGATGTGTTTTGCTCCCACAGGTTAAGAGCAACCAAGATAGATAAGCGTGCTACATTTTGTTTTTTTCCCCTTTCTAGTGAAAAAAAAAAAACATTATAATGTGTGTCAGTGAAGCATTCTTTAGCTTATTTCTATGTCTTGCAGGCAACCCTCGCCACCACTGACACGAGTTGTGAATCGGTGGTGACCAGTGGTCAGCACCATTTGACTCCTCAGCATCCACCAAGGGATGCCAGCCCTGCAGGGTTAGTGGTGTAGCTTTTATCGAGTCTTTTCGTGCTTTATAATTGTCATCTGGCTTGGCTTATGACATTGTGCTCGTGTCTTTTGCAGACTTTTGTCCATTGCAGAGGAAACTTTAACAGAGTTTCTATCGAAGGCCACTGGAACCGCTGTGGAGTGGGTCCAATTGCCTGGGATGAAGGTAATGCTACAACGGTGTAAAATCACTTGGTATAGGTTGTGATTTAGATATGAGGATGCTTGACCTGAATCTGCGAAGCAACACCGTAATGATTGGCCTCGTTAGACCTGCTTCATTAACCAGATTTTACTTACCCTCTACGCAGCCTGGTCCGGATTCCATTGGAATCATTGCTATTTCTCATGGTTGCACTGGTGTGGCAGCACGTGCATGCGGCCTCGTGGGTCTAGAACCTTCAAGAGTGAGTCCTTCACTATCATTGCATATGGAATTTTAAAATTTTCAATTGAAGGGTCGTAGAATTCAATGTGCCACCTTCTCCACAGGTTGCTGATATCCTCAAAGATCGGCCTTCGTGGTATCGTGATTGCCGAGCTGTGGATATTGCAAATGTGCTGTCGTCTGGAAACGGTGGGACTGTCGAATTGCTGTACATGCAGGTGGGTTTGAAATGTAACTTTTGGGCTGTGATTCTGCTGAAGAATTGCTGGTAGAATTGCTTACTAAAATTATTGATTTCCTGTTGTCTCTGATTAGCTCTATGCGCCTACCACTCTGGCACCGGCCCGTGATTTCTGGTTGCTGCGCTACACGTCTGTAATGGAGGATGGGAGTCTTGTGGTATGCTCTTTATGAATTCTCTGATAAAATAATATCTTTTGTTTTTCTAATGTCATAATCAGTTATTTCTTTTCTATATCTTTTCTTGGTTGTCTGATATGTTTTTTTCATCTCTGTGTGCCTTAGGTATGTGAAAGATCGATTAACAACACCCAAAATGGTCCTAGTATGCCTCCTGTGCAGCATTTTGTGAGAGCTGAAATATTGCCCAGTGGATATCTGATCCGGCCCTGTGAAGGGGGTGGATCGATAATTCATATCGTTGATCACGTGGATTTAGAGGTATGTAATGGTCACCTGCTTTCATTGGTGAAGAAGTCCATCTTTCATTGTGAATTTTTAAAGTTGCTTAATTTCTGATAGCCATGGAGCGTGCCTGAAGTATTGCGCCCACTTTACGAGTCGTCAACTTTGCTCGCACAAAGGACAACAATGGCGGTAAGCTTTTCTTGTTGACTTTGATTTTGCCAATTTGAAAGAGTACTTGTAAGTTTTTAGTTCCTGCTCTAAAGACATTGATGTCGATGTGAACTAACTTCTTTTCAACAAGAATTTTGATAGATAAGAAAGTTAAAGCAGCTAGTGAGGGCAAAAAATATCACTGGACGTTCTAACAACTCTCCTATATTTACCCAGGCTTTACGCCATCTGAGGCAGATTTCTCAAGAAGTTTCCCAGCCGAATGTCACTGGTTGGGGAAGAAGACCTGCGGCACTGCGTGCTTTAGGTCAGCGATTGAGCAAGTACGTTGGCATGCTCTCATTACAATATTCCGATGTGCAAAATTTTCCTTTATTCAGTCTAAGAACTCATGGGTCTAAAGTAAGCTATCTATTTGGACAGGGGTTTTAACGAAGCTGTCAATGGATTTATGGACGATGGTTGGTCTATGTTGGAAAGTGATGGTGTCGATGATGTTACTCTTCTCATCAACTCATCGCCGGCCAAGATGGCAGGCGTGAACCTTTCTTATGCAAGTGGTTTTCCTTCTATGACTAGTGCGGTCTTGTGTGCAAAAGCATCCATGCTGCTGCAAGTAAGAACTGCTTATATTTCATATTCCAAAATTTTAAATTTGATAACACATTTCATTCGATCCTAACTCCTTTTCCTTCCTTTTGTTGATTCTTTTCTTTTTTTCGTTTTCATCTCAGAATGTGCCTCCAGCAATTCTCTTACGGTTTTTGCGAGAGCATCGATCAGAGTGGGCAGACAGCAGTATTGAGGCGTATTCTGCCGCGGCAATTAAAGCTAGTCCATGCAACATGCCGGGGACACGAATTGGAGGCTTCGGGAGTCAGGTTATTCTTCCGCTCGCTCACACAATTGAGCATGAAGAGGCAAGTAAAATTTGCTTTTGTTTCCTGCCATCGGTGGCCTATGCTACTTCTATCTTCCAATAAGATTGCTAATATTCCGAGATCGATTGTCTTAACAGTTTATGGAGGTTGTTAAACTTGAAAACATGGGCCACTATCGGGACGACATGATTATACCCAGTGACATCTTTCTCTTGCAAGTAAGTCTTGTCCTTCCTTTCCATATTGAACGCTCAGACCAACTCCTCTCTTTGACACGTTATTGATGTTTTTTTTCCCTGCTCCTTCCTGGTTGAACTTGTTCTAGCTTTGCAATGGAGTGGATGAAAACGCTGTTGGCACATGTGCTGAACTTATTTTCGCTCCAATTGATGCATCCTTTTCTGACGATGCACCCATTATTCCTTCGGGATTCCGCATCATTCCTCTTGATCCAGGAGCGGTAAGAGTTCATAATCTTGCCTTCTATTTTCTTTCCTTTTCCTTTTATCCTTTCTTGTTCTTTTGGTTGCACTTTAACATAAATTCAACAAATATACAGGATGCCTCCAGCCCAAACCGGACACTCGATCTTGCCTCAGCTCTTGATGTTGGGCCTACGGGCAACAAAGCAGTCGGCGAAAATTCTGGTCATAGTGGAAGCACCAAATCTGTGATGACTATAGCCTTCCAATTCGCATTTGAATTACACCTTCAAGATAATGTGGCATCCATGGCTCGTCAATACCTCAGAAGTATTATAGCATCTGTTCAGAGAGTGGCGTTAGCACTCTCACCCACGAATTTGGGCTGTAATGCAAGTCTTCGCCCGCCACCCGGCTCTCCTGAAGCGCATACGCTTGCCCGTTGGATATGCCAAAGCTACAGGTGCGTATGCTTTAATGCTCTTTAATATTACTATTCGATGTTGGTCTTGCTAGTATGGATTTTTATGTGTGCTTTTCATTTATGAGCCATCTACCTACCATAAGAACTGTAGAAATTGGCGAGTGAAAATGTCCTGCTTAGTACACAAGCAAACGAGAATATTCCCGTTTCATTTATCTTCAGAAACCGTGATTTTAGTCTACTTTGTAAAATTGATTGCATGTTTGAAACTGACCAAAGTGAAATGATTCCAGGTCCTATCTCGGCGTGGCATTACTCAAGAATGAGGGTGGTGATTCTTTGCTAAAAAATCTATGGCATCACTCCGATGCAATCCTATGCTGCTCTCTCAGAGTAATATTTTCCCACCGACGCTTCGTCATTTCTAGTGAATATTTCTTTGTCTGCCTATTGATGGAATTTGTTTCTGCATTCTCTTTAGAAAAATCTAAGATCAATCAGTTCATTGAACCATTACCGAGTTTTCTTTCTCCTTGTTTATAATCTATTTTTCCATAGCCTTTTTTCATCTCATATGAGTTGCTATTCCTTCTCGTTTGCAGGCAGCACCGGTTTTCACATTTTCTAACCAAGCAGGACTTGACATGCTGGAAACGACCTTGATTGCGCTGCAAGACATTACCCTGGAAAAGATTTTTGACGACAATGGAAGAAAGACTCTCTGCTCGGAATTCCCCCAGATAATGCAGCAGGTAAATCCCCAGGAATCTGAAATAGCACGTTTGATACATGAATAAGCATACGATAGTTTATTTGACTTTTATCTTTTGGAGGCTTTAGAAGTGCGACTGCAACCCCTAGGAATGATAATACTTCTTTACCTGAGATTCGGGCCATTTCACCGGCACTTTTGTCTCCTTCATTCACTTAACAGGTTGCTTTCTTTTTACAGGGTTTCATGTGTCTCCAAGGTGGTATTTGCCTGTCAAGTATGGGGAGGCCGGTTTCCTACGAAAGAGCGGTAGCTTGGAAGGTGTTGAATGAAGAAGAGAATGCTCACTGCATCTGCTTCATGTTTGTCAATTGGTCTTTTGTCTGAAACTAAGCTATGTTGAAGATCTAGTGCGAATGGCTCTCTTCTTTTGTCCTCTTTTTAGGCGATAGAGAAATCACGAACACGGTTAGTTTTATGGTATTAGAAGCGACACTGGTCTAGAAATTTTTGTCCTCCTTTCTTATACTTTGTTCGGTGCCCTGTTTATGTATTATTATGCCTGTGCTTAATTATATTTTTTCTTCGTCGGGATCACGGTATGCCATTTCATCCTGCAATTGTGCGTGCCCTCACCAATTTGCGCTTCACCGATTGTGCTTAACGACGTTGTTCATCTGATGAACAATAGAGATGAGGTTTAAGTTTGCCCTTTCCGTGACGACGTGAGTCGTATACGTGAAGAGAGATTTGTTGATGCATTGCTAAAAACGGATGGTTAGTTGGTGTTTGGTAACTCAACCGAGAGTGAGTGATCTTGGCGGGTCTTGTTCTCTCTCCCCCGCCATGACCTTGATATGTCAAGAAGCTCGACACGGCCATCGAAGGCTTCCCCGGCAACTACTGCTACCAGCCATCGCTCGCCTCATGCGGGGAGGGAGCAGCTTGCCTCGCCGTTAGGCAGCAGAGGGAGAGAGACTGCCAACCACTGTGCATGCGACGCAGATTGGACCGATATAACGATGCATTGCGAGGCTGAACCTTTCATGACGGGCCCTTCCATCCTCGTTATGACCTGATTGAATAGGTGATCTGAGAATTTGTCCCGGTCCTGTTCTTGATTGCTTCTCTCTTGATTTCATCTTCTCACATTTAGAGACTCAAGTCATTGGTCCTGTAATCGAAAAAAACACGAGCGAAAAGTATTCTATGGCCGAGACGATATAACTCGAGATGGAGGCTTAGGTAACCAAAATATTAATTAGCAGTCTAAACTTGTGGCACTGCACGCTCCCTAAAGAGGAAACTGATTTAATTTCTGTGCGCGCTGCCGAAGATTTCAGAGACGATAATCATTGCGCGAGGCGGGTGCGGAACATGTGGACGATCGGTTCATTCTGTGAACACGAAATCGGCTATAATCACCAAAGTCCATGAATTGTTTCATAAATGTATAGGGCGGGGAACAATCTTCCATTGCAACCGAATCCATGCATGGTTATATGTTCTTCCCTACAAATATATATTGATCGGTGTTTTCTAAAGATCAGCTTAAAGGTGACACAAGGGATAATTGTCAAAATAGTCTTAAACTTATTGTACAACAGCCAATTCTATCCTAAACTTTTCAATTGTGCTAATGTAGTTCAAAATTTTTTGACGATTTACCAATATAGTCTTAAACCTTTATTTATGTCAATTTAATCCTGGACCTATTATTTGGATATTTGGCTAGAAAGACTACACCAGCAAATGGTCAAAAGGTTTAGAACTAAAATGACAAAAATATCAGAGGGTTTAAGATTAAATTGGCACAATTGAAAGGTTCACGACTAAATAGACATAAAAAGCCTCATTCTCATTGTAAAGCCTGGCTTTCCTGCATTCTTCTCGACAAACGCTGTCCCGTAAGCATCTGTGGTCACTTGATTTTTAAGAAGGTTTGTTTCGTTACATGATGAAGGTGCCAAATTAGTTTGAATTGCAGTACACTTCGGTTTATTATATCTTCTTTTTGCTTATTTTTTGGTATTCGTAATAAGCCCGTTCTAATCATTTCGCTTAGATTTAGAACTGAAGTTCTTTCATTATGTCCTATTATCTCGCGCAACGCGCTCAAGTTGATGTGTAGTTATAGGTTCTTTACGGCGAAATTTATGGATCATGGCGAGATAATAAGAGACTCAACTTTTCTTGCGACTCGAGTACACTCAAATCTCCTTAATATCTTAGCCAAAAAAGAGAACACAACTGATAGCTCTGATGCTCATGCTTGAATCCGCTTGCGCTTCTGCAACTGAAGCGACCCTTTTTAAGTAATTATATACATCCGTGGATGTATAAGATCCTAAAATATATTGGTCGCGCACACATGACTAACCATCGATCATAACCCTCGTCTCTCCTAATTGAACTCGCCCAACTTCTTTGTTAAAAGATACAGAAAATCAGAGGAAATATCTTAAATATCTCTAGAAGATATCTAAACATCTCTAACATTCTTCAATCAAAGATGAGGCTTGTATATATAGACCGATGCATGCGATATATAGATCCATGGCGAGGCCTACTATCATATTCGCTATGGTATCAGGCTCATCAACGATGAACCTGATCTACGTGAGTATTTGGCCCGCTTCAATTGACCGTCGTTCTGTCGTAGTTTCTCTCGTGATAGCCGGAATGCAGCTCGAGCTCCTCGCGATGGCCGCTTTCTTCGGTGTGCCTTTGCCTCTGGGGCTAACGGAGTTGGCCCTAGAACCGCCAACACTGGAGCTCTTCTTCAAGATCTCCCTCATGGCCTCCGCTTGGTAGAGCACCGGGTACGCCCGCCCGAGTCGGTTGAACCGCATGCATGCGTTCATGTGTGCGTTGAGCGCCTCCTCCCAACTCTTCCCCCCATTCCTCTCCATCTCCACGCGCACCGCCTCCGCGCACAGCCCGCACACCAGCTTCCCTGAGAACTTCTCACGGACGCGGCTCGCGTACTCCGGCGTGCACTCCTCGCACATCCCACAGCACTCGCATTTGGCATCTTCCAGCTCATAGATCGGCAGCAGCGGTGGCCTCGCCTCACCGTCGGCTCCGCGGATGGCTTCTTTGCTAAGCTCGGAGGTGATGTCAGAGACAGATCTCTGAAGGGTCTCCATGGAAAGCCTCGGAGGGTTGTCCCGGATGTCGTCGTTAGCTTTAGGGTACGATCCGATGGGGGTCTCTCTATTTGGCGCCATTGGAGTTGAACTTCGAAGCAAGCTTTGTGATCAAGGTAAAGCAAACGCAGCAAGCTAAGGTTAACGTGAGAAATGAAATAAGAAAGGAAGGTACCATGTGTGCGAATATATAGGCAGATTACATTACTATTTCTCTAGGGGAAAATAGAAGAGTGAACTGAATGTGGACCGTCGGCAGAGTCTTGCGAGACTGGGTTTTTCATGAAGATAACCTTCCAATGTCTCTTTTGTGGGTAACTTTTTCTGTGTGGGGGCCGATGATCTAGTTCAGTTACCTCATTCTCAAGTCACACGGACATGGAAGGGTTTCATTGGTTCGCTTTTGCTTAGTCGCTGAGTTTTCTGCATTTTTTTGTGGTCAGCTTTAATTGGATTCTCATATTATCAATCTGTAAGATCAACAAAGGATAAATGCACCTCTCTTTCGGCCAAGCTTTAAATTCACTTCTCAGCAGTTTCCATCTCATATATCAAATTATCTACTCGCGATTAGAACGATTTCGTTCGGCAATAAAACGACGGTGGTGGTTTCGTAGTGTTTAGGGTAAACAAGACTCTTAGTTTAAACGTTCTTGCTTTGTCCTTTACTGAACTTATGTGCATGAACTCAGCTCGAGTCAATGCTTGTAAGTATACTAATCTTCCTTGGATAACTACATCTAATTAAGTTTAAGAATCGAGGTTTTGTTTTCTGTTCTAAGCACGATCGACTTTGCGTCAGCTACAAGATAAAGAACGTGGGTGGCTTCAGCTCTCGAATCTTAACGTTATCCTCTGCGGTATGCTTTATTTCTACATGGTGTCGCTCATACAGAAAGCGCAGAAGGATTAAAGAACAAAAAAAAGGAAATTGTGGGGTGTTCACGAGATGTTCTCAGTTCCTCCCCAACCATGCACATGCATGTCCGAAGAGATTAGGTTAAACGAAGGGACCCAGGCGTTCCAAACGAGTCTTGTCTGTCCCAAAACGAGCAGAAGCTGACGAACAGAGCAGACACACGCAAAGATTCGGAGCATTTCACGAGAAGCATAGCAAGACATGTGAGGGAGAGTTGGAGGTATCCGAAAGAAGACGAAGTTGGAGAGCTCTTTCAATGTTGAGCAATTAATTCGCAGGTGACTCGAGGAAAAGGAAAAGGGCTGCAACGGCGTTTTGGCTTGGCGAGGGTATGAATCGCATTTTTGGTGCCGAACTCGTTACCAAAAGTGGCCTTGACGGGGCGAGATTCGTTTGATCGAAGAGGCAAAAACGCTTTTTGGAACCTTTTCGGGGCAGCAAAAGTGACCTCCATTTGCCTCACCGACAGGGAAGAAATTAACTTTTTTAAGTAGTATTATGTCCCTTTATGCGTTCATGATGACCCATCGTTGATGTGTGATTTGCACTGAATATTGGAGAGCTTGTTTGTGCAAGGTGTGAAGATCGTACTTAGAAAGAGTATTGTGTTCTCTCGATCACGAAATATGTCGAGAGAACTAATATAGAGTATTGTGTTCGCTTTACCGGCTGCTCAATGAAACTCTGACTAAGATAGTTTGTGAGGTTCGATTTTCGATTCAAGCCGCTTAAAATGGAGGAAAAAACCTCCTCGTGTTACTCCCCTAGTTTACGGGACAGAAATGGCGGCAATTTTCTAAAAGCTGTTCCAGTTTTGGATGTGCCGCAGTTACGAGATGTTTAGTAAATGAAATTGGCTATAGAAAGGCGTTATCAAACAATCTCAGCAATTATAACTTCTCAAAACATGACATCGGTATAAATTATAACGTGCTATTATCTTCTAATTCACGCATCCGAGACGTACCTCTGTCTTTACACCTAATGATTACCGAAACACTTGTTAAATCACGCCAAAAGGACGAGAAAAAGAGACGAGTAGCTTGGCGCTTGTGTGATTTTGTCATCCTTTTGTAGCCTCGTGTGTAAAAAGTTCCTTTGGCAGTCCATGAAACATGGAAGTTGGTCATCCTCAATGCGGCAGCATTCTCTCGGCCCAGCCCATATTCACGTCCATCATCTATTTGCCATCAACCCTCCCAAATTTTGCATTATCATGTTCTCTATTCCTTCCATCAAATCCCCGTAATTAATTGCGTATTACCGCCGCCTGCTCGGGGCGGGTCCCACGGCGCTCGGTGGGCGGCCCATCGGCGCCACGTGTCTTAAGAAAGTAAATAAAAGAAAACACCACGTCTCCGTCAAAACAAAATAGGCAAAATTAGAATAATAACTTGACTGCACCTTTTGAAAATTTTAGGATTTCGCTATATTTTCGCTACGAGTTTTAAACCTTCCGGTGTACTTATCCCATGTAAGTATAGATTGCCACGAATCAATCCCCTTAGTTATGAAACCATTCGTGATATATCGGCTTTTACTCTGCCAATTTCACTTCTCTCAAACTCAAACCAACTCGAGCATCGGATGGTCCCAAAAGAATCCATGCGCGGGGACATTTTTACATGTGGCGGACCGAGAATCTGGTGGTCAAGGAACTAATGCGAGAGAGGGATCGGGTGTCGGCCCGGTTCGCATTCCGGCCACTATACGAAGAGGATAGCCTCTCTTCTCGTCATTTCAGCAGGAATCATCTTTTCCCACAATAGCAACTGGTCGTCTCAATGTATTACAAAATGGGATTATAAAAAGAAAAAGGGCAAATTTGTGCCTTTTTCTATGCTCGTTTTCGTTTCATTATTCACGCAGGAGCGAATTGCGAGAGAATATGGAATGGAATATGCAGCGTTGTTGGCGCAGACGAAAGATCTGGTTTATTTCGGGTGGCGTGGGCTGGTCTCGGCCGCACGATGAAGAACCCAACCGTCCGATTGGGCTTTCTTGGATCGGGCGGTCCAACGTTAGATGATGTGTAAACGCTAAACGAGGTTATCTAACTAAATTAAGGTGGATCTTTTGGGTACGCCACGCCTAACGAAGATTTTGTTTTAAATAGTGGAATTAGAAAAATACTTATCTTCCGTCTTTCCGTGGCCAACCACTTTCGGGCACGTGTTCGCGAATTTAGAAGGATTCCAAGGAGGTTTTGTTGATAAGGATTAATACCAAAGGAAACCATAAATTATGCCCACCATGACATAAATACCATAAATTTTTTTTTGTCTCTAAACTTATCTATTATGGCACAAATACCAAAAAAAAAATTGTGTCCATAGATTTATCCTGAATTGAACTTAATAGATGGTAACTATGTCACACATGTTTAGGTTTGGGTTTTTCGTGACATAAAAAGTTAGGGATATCCGTGTCATGATGGACAAATTTAGGGTTTTTGATAATAAAAAAAATGCAGTACATTTTTGTCGAGTATAGTTTTTGGTTTTTTGTAGTATTTATCCTATTGTTAATTTTACGGTATTGTTAGTTCTATGGATTGAGTCTACCACACGCACGAAGAAACGTGTGGAAAGAGTCTTGCTTTTTTTGGCGAGGACTCAACATGACATCGATAGTTGATTCAATTTGGATTAAGGTCGCCTCGGCTACGCGGCAAATCCTCGTTTTTTTATTTATTTATTTTTCCTTTTAAATATGAACGATGAAGATCTCGCGATAGGAGCCTTACGTTGTAAACTTCCCCAATAAGAAAAACAGGACGCCTTAGTCGTGACCTGCACGTTCGTGTGGCTCTTGCCTGGCCATTTATAGCGACCAAATCAATGCCACGTGAGCGGGTTCTCAGACAAGACAAACGAGTTGGCGTGGCGAGTACAGTTCATATTTATCAATAGCATCGGAAATTTAAATGCTATTCTATGTTTAGCATCATGCTTACCAAGTATCACACGGTTTTATAAACCGAAAAAAGAAAGAAAGGGAAAACTGAATTTATTAATTATCATATCGCGACATTTTCGTAGCTTATTAATTTTTTGGGATAATGACATAAATGATCTATGTAACTTTGGCCCAATGTGATGTGATCCATGAACTTTTCATTTGTTCAATGTGGTTCCTCGATTTTAGTTCAATGTGCAATATGGTCGTTGGACTTTTAATTTGTTTAATGTGATCCCTTGACTATTTGAAAATGTTCAATATTGTTCCTAAACTTAAATTAATGGAAGGATAACATTGAAAATTTCCATATATTCCAAGGTCTAGTTTGAACGTGTACCAAAAGTTCAGAGATCACATTAAAGAAATTAAAAGTTTAGGGACCACATTGCATATTGAACTAAAGTTTAAGAATAATATTGAATAAATTAAAAGTTTATAAATCACAATATTTATTAGGTCAAAATTCACGTACTATTTGTGTTATTTTTATATTTTTTTTATTGATGCCCTAAGAACGTTTGTCAATATTTTATTGTCTTAAATTGACCTATGAATTAGCTTAGTTCAACGGACAAGCTGTCTCATCTCTAATCATTTTTGCAATTAAATTTTCAATAATTTCTTGCTAAGTTCCGTCAGCTTTCCTCCTGCTTTCTTTGAAGGAGCGGTCATAACATAGACTAGACTAGCTTGTCCCGGAAACCACAAGCAATAAAAGAATCAGTTGACCGGCGCCGATCCCGTGCTTCGCGGCTCCCCCTGTTCTCCCGTCGCGCGACACGCGGTCGCCCAATCACCGCCTCCCGTCTCCTCCCGCGGCCGCTTTTCAGCGCCACGTCATCGCTCTCCGCTGCGCCCGCGCCGCACCCACGCTCACCTCGACCTCGCTCCCCCGTCGCGACCGTACGAACGTTCGCGCCACGTGGAGGAAGGACCGCCCACGATCTCGACGGTCCGAATCACGGGGGGGCCCACCTCCCCTCGAATTTTCCACGTTCCGACAAGGAAAATCGGTACCTCCGGAGTTCGACGGAGGAAATGACGTGCGCCCATTGCCAAGTCAAAGGATCATGTTTGGTGGACGTGGAAAATAAGGTTTGAATTTCGTGTGAACTAACAAATAAATATGCTCGATTCGTACACGATAGAAATAGTTTTCTAGTATGCCCTCTTGCTTCTCTTCTTGTTTCCTTCTCTAATTTTTAATTTTTGTTTTTCAAGTTTTCTAGCTCATTCGATATGCATAATATAATTCTTTTACTAACATAACAATTTACATTCTCTGTCAAAATCTCGACCCGACATTTTCAATGTGCCGCCTCTTTGCATAATTTATATAGGGAAATAAAAAGACGCAAACCCATTAAAGACACAAGAAGGAAGGGAGCAAGGGCAGCTTCAAAGATTGGCTAAGCATCTCGAGAGAATAAGTAATGTCGAACGGTAAAAAGATCTCGTCATACAATTCAAGCGAAGACCAGATTGCACAAAAGACTTTCAAGCTAAATCCATTCAAATTATAAGATCAATATGTGTTACGAGTAATATATACTTGTACCAAACACGGCAATTATTATTAATATAATCGGAAAAAATGAAAGTGCTAATTTAACATTTGACTAATCCCCTCAGATAACACTCACGACATCCATAGGTTTGAAGGAAAATTTCCACCGTAGAATGGCGAAATCAAACTCAACCTACGAACGAACGAGGTTCCACGGTAAGCCCCCATAGGCCCGTCCTCGCCGGATCGGAGCCCTCAGCTGGGGGGCCGGTCGTACGGTTCCCAAGGTAGTACCGGCCTCACATGATTGCCCTTTTGTCATCTTCCTTCTCCTTTCATCGGTCCCGTCGTAAAGCAGAGAGAATTGAATGCGCGCATCAAATCCTCGCCCGTAAACTCTCTCTCTCTCTGTTTCTCTCTCTAACCTCCGCTTCGTTTCCTTCTTCGATCTCTCTCCTCCGCGCGTGTGGTGCGGTCGCAACCCGGCGTTCCCCCGCCCGAGCTCCCTCCTCCGCCGCGCGGCGGGAACGTCAGCCGCGGCGATGGCGGCGGAGATGGAGGTGGATCAGCTGACCTCGGGCGCCAGCAATCGCATCATCCCGATCCTCCGGGCGCTGAAGGTCTCCCTCGCGTTCGTCTACGGCCTCCTCTTCTCCCTCCTCCTCCGCCGGCGCAACAACAACCACCAACACCACCACCACGGCCGGCTCTCCCCGCCGTCGCACTCCAAGCTCAGGCGGCGGGAGGAGGAGGAGGATACCGAGAGGAGGAGGGCGCTCGCCGAAGGGGTCGAGATGGGTTGCCAGGACGACGGCTGCGTCCGCGCGTGCCGATGGAGCACGTGCCTGTTTTACGGCGTTCGGAGGAACGCGCTCTTTAGCAGGTCGTGGTTCCCAGCGACCGGTGAAGTCAGGTGAGTTGTTTATGTCGCTTTTTTCTAAACATCGATCAGTTCGTTTAAGGTTGATGATATTGCTTTGTTTGTAGTTTAAAATGCGTGGTTTTTTCCGAGCGGTTTGAGTGTTCTTTTCATGGGCAAAGCGTAGGCAATTTTTAAATTTCGTCATGGTTTGAAAGGGGACTTGATGTCCCTGTTTGGAATGATGGCGACTGTTCTGTTCTGGTGCGCGGTAGTGGAGAATTTTGTTATTGCCAGTCTTCCATCGACAGTGGGTTTTTGAGTATGTTGATATTGAAGGACCGAATCGATGGACGATTGCGTCTGATTGTCTATGCTTAATTTTTCCGAGTGTCTCGTATAGATCACGGAATCTGTATCCTGGATTGTTGTGAATTTTTAACAGCGTCTGGATGTTATGTGTTAGCTATACCTTGAACTGGAGGAGCAAAGATGCTTTTTGGTGGGTTCTGCGGGTCCATTTCTCAAACTGCCAATGAATGTGCTTAGGTTGGTTAAGAGGGGGCGATACATCAATGTTTGCATGAATTTTGGGCCTTGTTTAAAGTATTGTCACATTGTTGATACTACTTGAAGTTGTTTCAGTTGGGGATACATCGATCTCTACGTGTTTTTCCGGCCATGTGTTTTGTCATTGATAGGTTCCAATGCCCATTGCTTGGTTGATATGTTGTAGTTCTCTTTATTTTGAACAAAAACTTTTGTTTTTGGTTCTGCGTGAATGAAGTCCCTTTCATTCTACATTTATTTTCTCTCTCCTTGTTGGGTGTCGATGCGAGAGGTTGGCGTGCTTTCTTCACTCGAACGAGGAAAATTAATGGCCAGAATATTGTCAAACTTGAATAATCCAAGTTGAATCTTTCTTCCGAGTACAAATCAGTTCTATTTTCCCCCTTTTTTCTTCATTGAAGCATCAATGTCATGTCACGCTGTAAATTGCTGAGAAAAGAATTGAATTTTAGGTTGGTTAATTTTGGAAGTTATCTTTTAAACCGTGGAAATGCCAGAGACTGCTTGGCTGGTATATACCCACCAAAAAAGAATTGTTTGGTTAGTTGGTTCTTAAGTTGTGCAGTGAAGTAGATTTACTATCGAGCCACAGGAGTGTATGCTTTTCGACTATTCTCTCCCATGATGAAGTTTGCATGGTTGAAATTTTGTCAAGAGGCCCTAGATGATTAGCTCTCGCTGTATTAAAGTTAGCAACTATGAAGCATTAACTTTGAATACTCGTGAAATGGAGAAGTTTTCTAGCTTAAGCTTCAAGCATTAAAGCTACCTTTCCTTGTTACCATGTTATGACACTTTACATCCTCTTTAAATTGCTCGCGTTGTTCATTTTGCCCACTGAGACTACTTCTTTCCTGATAACTGTCTTTGGTTAGTCTAAGGCTTCTTTAAGTGAATCTATTACCTTCTCCAATTTAACTTTGGCAGCCAGGATGATCACTATATAAAGGATTAGGTGCTGCATGGCTCCCTGATTGTTGTGGCTTTCATGCCACAGATCTGATACCTGTAGCATGTACTGTTTTGCATCATTTTCAGTTGCTTTCATGCTACTTTTCCTCCAACATTGCTTCTTATGTTGATTGTTATGTTGCTTCAGGGGGATATTGGTCATTATTCATGGGCTTAATGAGCACAGGTAAATTTATCAATGCCAAAAATTAAAGGCTCTCCCCCCAACCTCCCACCCCCCCCAACCACAGATTCATTCTTTGTTTGGAAGTTTAGCTGATTTGCCCGATTTGGGTTCTTGATTTGTTGTTTAGCGGAAGATATGCCCATTTTGCAAAACAACTAACATCCTGCAACTATGGTGTTTATGCAATGGACTGGATCGGTATTGTATTCTTAAGCTCTATCATTTTGTGCTTATCATTACATCTAAAATGACAATCTATTTTTTAAACAAAGTAAATTTGGATATGGCATCACGTAGTAATGGGAGTGTTTGAAAGTTATTGGCGAGTGCTTTTCTTGTCAGGGGTATGATTTGGGTTGGAAACTCTCCTTAAATGACTTAATGGCTAAGATGACATTATTTATTTTCGTCCCAATGACATTATCATCTTTCTTAGCCTTCTTCTTGAGATTGGGATGCATCAAGGTACTTAGCTGTCCTTTTGATGATATAGGTCATGGGGGCAGCGACGGGTTGCATGGGTATGTTCCTTCACTAGATCATGTTGTTGCTGACACCGTAAGTATTTCTCTCATACCATTGATATTTTATTCCTTTCCTCTAGCTGGAGGAAACTCTTGTTTCATTTCTTTTTGAGACAATTAATGAAATGAAATGATTTGGTTTCCCACCATCGTTGCTGTAGTCTCCATTCGTCATGAATTTTGCATTGCAGTTTAGAGGGACACTTGAAAACTAGAGATTAAGTTGTTGGAGTGAGTGTGAAGATGTTTAATTGAAATGCTCCTTTATGCTCTTGTCCGATGAAAAATTCTTGAGATTCAGTATTTTAAATCGAAAGAGAAAAAAGTAGCAAGTATTTTGATAACTGGACGGATGTTGATCAAATAAACATGAATAATAGGTTTTACTCTCGATGCTTAGTTTATCTAGCATGTGAGTCATTGTACTGGTTCAATGTGATCGTGTAAGGTTTAGTACTCATCCGCGACAGCTTAACTGGTTAATCTGCCGTTTGCTTCTTCGGCTTTTCTCTCAAATGATGAACTTGCTTCATCTAGACTAGAATTTGTTGGCCTATAGACTTGCATGCTTTATGATTCAGCTAATGCTGCAAATTTATATAATTTCTTTCAGGGGGCCTTCTTGGAAAAGATCAAATCAGACAACCCTGGTATACCATGCTTCCTTTTTGGTCACTCTACAGGAGGGGCGGTGGTTTTGAAGGTAAACATTGGGAACTAGATCATCAAGTGCATTTAGACAGTTGACATCTAATGATAATTTCTCTGTATCACTAACATCGCCTGATGAAATTAGTCTGCATGTGTCCTTGAACAGGCCGCTTCATATCCTCATATTGAAGATATGCTGGAAGGAATTATATTAACCTCACCAGCTTTACGTGTGAAACCTGCACACCCGATTGTTGGGGTATGTCTTTCCTCTCTCATATGATACATGTACTGGACTTTTAGACTGGATAGTCCTGATGCCCGAAATCATACTCCTACAAACAATCTTATTGGACACTGGATTGAAGTTTAACTTGTCATCAAGAGCTCCTTACAAACGAAACTTAGCCCGCGTAATTTGGATGCTTCTATTGGTTGTTGTTCTACCTGTGTTTGTGTAATAATCCTATTTTCCCATATTCACACAGGCTGTGGCTCCTCTATTTTCTCTAGTCGCACCAAGGTTCCAGTTTAAAGGTGCTAACAAAAGGGGAATCCCTGTGACAAGAGATCCTGTGGCTCTATTAGCCAAATACTCTGATCCATTAGTCTACACTGGACCCATCAGGGTCAGAACGGGCCACGAAATTTTAAGGATATCCTCTTATCTGATGCGGAACATTAAGTCCATTACTGTTCCATTCTTTGTTCTTCATGGAACCGCAGATAGGGTCACTGATCCACTGGCCTCCCAGGATTTGTACAATGAAGCAGCGTCCAAGTTTAAGGACATTAAGCTCTATGAAGGATTCTTGCATGATCTTCTGTTTGAGCCTGAGAGGGACGAGATCGGTCAGGACATAATTAACTGGATGGAAAGGAAATTAGGTACTGGTTCCGAGGAGATTAGAGTTTGGTAAATCTCTTGCCCACTTAAACAAGGGCCAAAATCTCAGGGTATTTGAAGCTGGTTGATTACCGTAGGTGTCTATATTCTGTCTAAGGGTCTTTTACATGTATGTATGGCATGTTTTGCCAACGAAACTGTATCTTGTAATGTATGGCATTTGAAACTGTATCTAGTACTTTAGAAATATATATGTGGCTCAGCATTGTTGAAAGAGAACATGATGCCTTTGCCTGATTTGCGTGCTGGTTTCGAATTATGGTCTTTCACAATTTATCTGGAGTTGGATTTATATGCACGAGAAAACGATGGATGGGCACCTGAGCCTATAGTCGGTTCTCATACGTTGCCTCATGGGCCAGACCGGATATTATGATGGTGGAGCGAAAGCCAGTAGATCCCCGTTTGCGAAAGTTACAGGGAATAAAGCGAGGATGAAAACAGCATACTCAGGAAGGCTTATCCTTTCGAATTGGAACTTATCTAGGTAGGGTCTTGTGACACGGATGGTTTTGATGATTTTCTTTTGCTTCTGAGGATTCTAAATTAGTTCCGATGCCTGCAAAATCACCGGACCAAATTACTCGTGTTTACCACAGGATCTAATTAAGCAAGAAAGAAGGTATTTTTTCTGGCACTGTATATTCATCAATTCTGGATCGATGGATGGATCGAAGCCGCATGTTGCGACTTGCTCGGCATCCGACTAACCTCTTTTAGAAGCTTCAACACGTTTTCCTATGGTGGCCAGATATTAAGTTAGTGTTCGGAGATCAGTTTGAGACGGTTGAGATGTTCTTTGAACCAAATATCTAGCTTGAGCAACTGAAGCATGTTATTGACAATTCTGAGGAACTGATTAAGTTCATTGATATAGTTTACATTGACTTACACACATATATATGTACAGCTTGTGAGAAGCTGTAAGAATTTAGAACATGTGAAAAGATCTCAACCAAATACAACTCGAACAATGATCATATCTCAACTGAACACAAATTGAAATGATTCGTTCTGCTGTTGTATCTTCAACCGAATATATTGATTCTGGTTGCGCTGGCTGCATGTCGCATAATTTCAGTCTCTTGAAAAATGTTCGAACTCAATAATGGACCTCCCCTTTCGTCGAGGATGAGGGCGGCCAGCCCTCACCAGGCCACCAGCAAGAGTCGCTGCCGTCATGAGCAAGCGACGGCCTGCTTGCCCTCGTTGGTAACAGGTGTTTTTAAACTAGGGTGCGTTTGGAAAAACTTTTCCAAAGGCCTTTGCCCCAAGGCAAATGGTGCCTGAAATTTTTTTTCGAGAGTTATAGGAGATGATGCAATTGTATTTCCAAATGCCTTTAAATGCTTTTAACCCAAGGCAGGTCCGAAGGTGTTTTGAGCTTTGAGCTTTGAGCTTTTAGCAATTTCGGAATGTTAATATATTTTTTTTTCGGGAAATGCATTTATCTCGCGCGATGTTGCCGTCGGAGGGCTCAAGTCGCTAGCAAGCAACTGACGGACTAGACATGACCAGAATTGGCACCGGCAGCCCTACGACCTCAGCGAGGGCTGTCTGGGGCTGCCTACCGTTGAGCTATTTGCCGGTTTTGAGATTTTTTTTTTTAAAAAAAAGAATAGCAAAAGTCATTTACAAAGTGTGATTTTTCCAAATACCATTCAGACCAAAGTTGCCACTTAATTCATTTTTAAATTACGATTTACCAAACACTACTTGTATTTCGAAAACCCTCTCCAACAAAAAATTCTTTACATTTTTGTAAATACTTTCATCAAAAGCCAAACCAAATGAACGCTTAGCCCCATCAAACAACTGATTAGGCTTTTGGTTCGCGGGTCACCGGTTCAAAGGTTGAACGAGGGTTGAGCATTTGCATAATTTACTACAAAATCATGTAATATATATTTATTAAAGTCGTTGAACAAATAATAATGCCTAGCTTAGTTGGTTCGGGTCTTAAGCATGTGTCACGGTCCGGAGGTTCCCCATGCATTAAGGACCGTAAACCATCTAAAGAAAATAGGCAAAACTTCTATAGTATTCTTGAGAATATTCTAGGGGCGGGCAATATTGTAAATATACCATATTTTAATTCCTACGCGGGTGATTGGTCAATAAGGAGGTGGCGTCTAGATAGGGAGGCGACATCTTCACTGTTAAATCGAGAAGAAATCTACGGTTCTGGTTAAGCTTATACTTGTATATAAATGTGTCTCCTCCCCTCATTTGGATCATGCGTTGTGTAACTTACAGACTTGCATGGCGAAGATGGAGATCATCGTCGTGGACATCCAAGAAACAATTGAGGAATTGTCCATAAGCATCGAAGGAGGCGAAATTGGAACGGTGAACTCGAGGTCGCGGTGCAAGAGCTCAAATTCGGCATGAGAGAACTTCGTGGGAGATGCTGGGCATCCTGACCACTCAAACGAAGGGTCCAAAGCCCTTGGGCTAAATTTTGGGTGTCTTGGGAAAGTTGAAAGCTTAACGCAAGTCTTGGGCTTTCAGCTTTCTCGGCATGCTTGTCCCTAGGGTTAGTAAGTTTTTTTTCCTCCAAAACTACCCTCACCAATTTTTTTGGTTTTTCGATTTTGCCCTCATTATAAATATTCATTTTCTCTGCGTGAGAGCAGCCGACGATGGACCCGCGAGGTCATGTGACCTTGGCCGCCCTCGCCGAGGGATGCCAGGGGCCGCTTGAGGTTCGAACACAGACAACGGCTACCAGCGCCAGATTGGGATCGCTGGCGGCCCTTTGTTGGCTCCGGCGAAAGGTTTGATTTTTTTTTTCATTTTTTTAATAAAAAATAAGAAAAGTCCTTTGCAAAAATAATTTTTCCAAACATTTTTTTTTACCAAAGTTGCTTTATGCACTTTTAAATTATAATTTAACAAACACAATTTGCATTTTGGAAAATTCCTTTCTCTGCATTTTTCCAAAGATTTTCCCTAAAAATCCAACCAAATGCGGTCTAAAGCAAACCGGTCAAGTACTTTCTTGTATGCCATTTGAGGGATTTAGGGTTATGGTGGTTCTTATACCAAAATGCCCCTCAGAAAGGGCACATGTAACCAACGCAGGTTCGCCTGCAAGCCAATATCTTCATCAACGTTTATGAGGTCAGAGTGATGAAGCTCAAGAGGTTATTGGGTTGAAGCAATCAAGCTCGTGGAGGTTATTTTGGAACAAGTCAAATATGGAAACTTTCAGAAATGGATACCAGGTATTTTGAAACCAAGTCAAGTCAAATTGAAACCTCAAAAATTGAATGCCACTTCATTATCCAGGTCTAAATAACTCTACCAGTCAAAGCATCAAGTTCAGCTCGCGTTCGTCTCTATTGCTTAGTCAAATGTCCTACCTTGTCTTGTAAAAGAAGAAGAATGGCCACTAGGTTCAATGCCCGAGTTATATTACAACACATTCATGTCGAACGAGTTTTAAGTTAACGCCAAGCAATCCTTACATTTTTGCTTGAAAATCAAAATTGTTCATGTACTCTTTTTTCTTTAAAACCATTTTTTATTTTCCAAAGAGTGTCACCGACTATTTTTAGGTTGGCTTAATAATGGAATTTGCCGATGTTTAAGATTTATGTGGACATTCTTTCTTTGTTCATATGTGAATTTTCTCTCTTTCGTGTGGACTCTCTTCTCCCTCTCCCTCTCCCCGGGGATTCTTCTTCTTTTTCTTCTTTCTTCTTCGTACCATTCCAAATAAATAAAAATCCCACAAAATATAACATTCGCAACAATGCAAAAATATTTGTACTCATTGGCTATCAGCAATCGAGCAGCCATGTTTGAGCTGGCTGCCGCAACCTCCAAGCTCACGCAGACATGGCCGATGCGAGCACGTAGCTCGAGAGGCCAAGGCCTCGAACTTTACATTTGGAAACTCGCGCGACCATGATTGCTATGAGCTTAAGATTTGGCCATGGTGGTCGCGAGCTATATCAGTAAGAAAAAGAAAAGAAAAGATACAATGGAAGAACTAATGATGACACTTTTTAAAAGGTAGAACAACATTTCTAGAAAACATGTAAAGGAACAATTCTGGTATACGATCAAAAAAACAACGAGATTGAAGCATTTGGCCAAACGAAAAGATGAACGGATGCGATCAACAAAATGTAAATTCGCCGAAAAGTCATAAAAAAAAAAGCTCGAAAATGATATGAAAAGGAAAAGAGCAAAGGGAAGCGCACACAACAATCTTGTTCTCTTTCTCTCTCTTTTTTATTTTTGGGAAAAAGTTCGTAAAGACGAAAAGAAAAATAGAAAAAAAAAATCAATCTTGGACCGGAAAATTCAAAATTCCTTTCAATTTCTGCTCGGATCTCCCAACTTTCCCTCCCACCAAGCCCTAATTTTGTTCAATTTTCTTTTTTCTTTTTTCTTTTTTTTTTCATCGGCCGACGTTGTCCCCCTCCTCTTTCTGGAAGCGTATATAGTTCCCCTTCCTCACTCTCTCTCTCTGTCTTCTTGTTCGCATGCTCGAAAATACCCACAAATCCGCTCCAAAGCGCGACCCCAAGGCCATTGCAGAACCTTCCCGAACCTTGTACGCGGACGACCCGTCGCCGCCTCGGGCCGCCTGAAGCTGGGCTCCGCCGCCGCCGCCGACTGCGGGGGTCCACGGCGTCGCGTGGCTCATCCGGGAGGGGCCTTGCCGGGGAACCCCGATAAGCCCGCCGTACGGACAGGCGGGCGGGAGCTTACGACATTGACGGCGGGCCGCGGGAAGGAGGGTGGGTTTTGGAGTCCGGCGAGCGGCGGCAATGGCCGAGAGAGATAGCGGGGGCCGGAGCTGCGACAAGGGCGTCGGAGCTGAAGACGAGGGGAGTACGGCTCCTCTTCCCGAAAAGGTGAAGATTGTTTTTGGGTCTTTGTGGTTTGCGTGATCGGAAATTTTGGTGGGTTGCTGGAGAACGTAGGAGCAGTTCGATGTTTCTGTAATCAACGGTTGAATTTTTCGGAGTTTCGGGTGTTGTTAGGCCACTGAGGAGCATTATGACCCTCCATTTGAAGAGCTGCAACAAAAGATTTACTTTCCTTTTGGATCTTTTAGAGCAGCTTATGGGTCTTTTTGTTTGCCTTAATGACTTTGATTGCGGGCGATTCTGTGTCCTTCTGATTATGCGTATCTGTATCTTCGGGCAGATTGGTACAAGTGAAAATGCTGTCTGATAGTAAAAGTTTTCTGTCTATGCAGGTTCAGGTCGGTGGTTCGCCGTTATACAGGATAGATAGAAAATTGGGAAAGGGTGGTTTTGGTCAAGTATACGTTGGGCGAAGAGTTGGTCCAACTTCGAACGAGCGAACTGGCCCAGGGGCTATTGAGGTTCGGAATTATTGATTTTTATCATGAATTTTGTGTCAGGCTTACGTTTTCAATTGTCAAAGTAAAGACTGTCTGTTCTTTTAAACTGTCCGTTATGATACTTAATTATTAGGTTGCGCTGAAGTTTGAGCATAGAAGCAGTAAAGGATGTAATTATGGACCGCCCCACGAGTGGCAAGTATACAAGTATGTTTCCAAAGACGTCTTTTGATTTAGATTTAACTTACAAAGGCAATTTATGGACTGACTTTTTTGTTTCCACATTTGCCTTCTATTGGTTAAACAGTGCTCTTGGCGGAAGTCACGGAGTACCGCGAGTACATTACAAGGGGAGGCAGGGTGACTATTATGTCATGGTATGTTTGTGACTCTTAAATTGCGGTTTAGCAAATTCGGTAATTCTAGCTAACTTCACGTTGTGAACAGGTTATGGATATGCTTGGGCCTAGTCTATGGGACGTATGGAATAACAACTCTCACTCGTATGTTTCTTTATCGGATTAGTTGCTAAAAGGTGTTGCAAATTCTCCTTTTCTTGTGTCCTAAAGATTTTTTGCATGTATTGCAATGCAGCATGTCAACTGAAATGGTTGCCTGTATTGCGATCGAAGCAATCTCCATACTTGAGAAGATGCACTTCCGAGGGTAAATTCCTATTTTTTCTAGTTTTCATGCTTCTTGATTGTGTTTTGAAGTGACAGTTTTATATTTCACGCCTATATCGTCCAAAACAAGATCAAGTAAAAGAGTAACCGCTTAGGTTGTTTGTCGTGCAAGTGCATGTAAAAACAATATAGTTGAAGCGGGTCGTCATAATTGTACTCTTGATTGTGCTGCCCGTCATTTGATTGCGCTGTTGTTGAACATATCAGGTTTTTATATTGCTGGTGACTTTTTTGCAGATATGTGCATGGTGATGTAAAACCTGAGAATTTTCTGCTTGGTCCCCCAGGAACACCTGAAGAGAAAAAGCTGTTTCTGGTTGATCTTGGCTTAGGTGTGCTAGCTGTTTTTAGTCCTCTTTCATGCCACAAGTCATTGGTGCATTACTTAAATGTCAATATTATTTTCTCTTTGGCCTTGCAGCCACCAGGTGGAGGGATAGTTCGACAGGCCTACACGTTGAATATGACCAACGTCCAGATGTTTTTAGGTTAGCTTGATACTTCAATGCAATGCTTTATAGAAGAGTTAGAATTTCATGGTTTTTTGTCTGGATACCTTACTGATTGTTCTGTGTTGTTGCTTCTTTTGTATTTTTTCAGAGGGACAGTTCGGTATGCCAGTGTGCATGCTCATCTTGGTAGAGTTGGCAGCAGGAGAGATGACTTAGAATCACTTGCTTACACTCTCATTTTTCTTTTGCGTGGACGTTTACCTTGGCAAGGATATCAGGTTTAAGTCATCAAAATTTAAAAAGAGTAAAATTGCTGCTTTTACCTAAATCACCCATTGACCCTTACCTATGGGTTTCCTTAGGGAGACAATAAAGGGTTCCTTGTCTGCAAAAAGAAGATGGCGACTTCCCCAGAAACACTCTGTTGCTTCTGCCCTCAGCCTTTCCGACAATTTGTTGAGTATGTGGTGAACTTAAAATTCGATGAGGAACCCAACTATGCTAAATATATCTCTCTCTTCGATGGAATCATTGGCCCTAATCCGGATATTAGGCCGATCAATACTGATGGTGCTCAGAAGGTACTTACGTTTTTTTACGAACATATTGCAGCTTGTTGGTTAACAAGCAGAGCAAACAACTTGCGTTTTTGTGACATGTATTACTTTGCTTTGTGCTCTGAAGCTTGTCTGTCAGGTTGGACATAAAAGAGGACGATTGACACTGGAAGACGAAGAAGATGAACAGCCAAAAAAGAAGGTTCGAATGGGGATGCCTGCTACACAATGGATAAGTGTCTATAGTGCTCGTCGACCAATGAAGCAAAGGTTTTCTGCATATCTCATTTTCCCTCGAATTCTTTGTATTCCAAAGGAAAGTTTTTTCATCGTTTTTTCTCTGCATATGGTTAGGTATCACTACAATGTGGCAGATATGCGGTTATCGCAACATATCGAGAAGGGAAATGAGGATGGGTTATTTATCAGCAGTGTGGCTTCTTGCTCTAACCTTTGGGCCTTAATAATGGATGCTGGCACCGGCTTCTCTGCTCAAGTTTATGAACTCTCACCCTGCTTTCTTCACAAGGTTCCTCTTACTATCAAGACTATGGACATCGATTTTTGAATTTGTTTTTGTTATGTATGTGTTAGTTTCATTGGATCTTTGACTTGCTATGCACTGATGTGAAACAGTTCATACTTTTTTCAGTAGTTTGTGGTGTGACGAGTCGCTTCTTCTTGGTTTGTTACTCTTTAAAGGATTCCTATCGATTGCTTCTGGCATTGCCCCGTGCTCTTTCAGTGGTTACATGTGGGCGCTTAGGATGGTGTGATAGTATAAGCATGCAACTCCACCCATTTAAATTCTTGAGGCAGTTGCATATAGTACTTATTGTTATGGTATTGAATCACTGAGTATTTGCTCATTGCTGTATGGAACATTAGGACTGTTATCTAATACTATGTTTTAGCAGAAGAGATTATTGATGCCTTTTGCATTTTTCTTCTAGGAGTGGATCATGGAGCAGTGGGAGAAGAACTACTATATTACTGCAGTTGCAGGAGCTAACAATGGCAGCTCATTAGTTGTTATGTCTAAGGGTTAGTTATTGGATCTAAAGACGATGACATTCTGAAATGATCATAGATTTGTTTCTCTGACTTCTGTTATACCCTAAATGGTAGGAACTCCATATCTGCAGCAGTCATATAAAGTAAGCGATTCATTTCCCTTCAAGTGGATTAATAAAAAATGGAGGGAAGGCTTTTTTGTCACATCGATGGCTACTGCTGGGACCAGATGGGCTGTCATCATGTCCCGTGGTGCAGGGTTTTCTGATCAGGTTTTGTTGTTATTTTGCCTTAATATTTGATTGCTTTTTTTGAGACTAAAACCAGTTCTTAAGGTTGGAGTGTTTATTTGACAACATTAGGTTGTGGAGCTAGATTTTCTCTATCCTAGTGAAGGCATTCATAGAAGGTGGGACGGTGGCTACCGCATCACATCAACGGCTGCTACTTTAGATCAGGCTGCTTTTATCCTCAGCATTCCTCGAAGAAAGCCAGCAGATGAAACCCAAGAGACCTTACGAACTTCTGCTTTTCCTAGTACACATGTCAAGGTGATTTCTTTCTTCTTTTGTCAGGCATCAATCTGTGCTGGTTTCTTGGATATTTTAATGAGCATATGCTTTTCCCTGATTCTTTCTTTTCAGGAAAAATGGGCAAAGAATCTCTACATTGCTTCAGTATGCTATGGTCGGACTGTTTCATGAGCTACCAAATTTTGTCCTCACCGTTGGAATATCGATGAATCATTTGGATGATCGGCATTCGGCTTTTACCATCTACCACCCACTTACGAAACGGCAAAACAAATCCAAACCATATGGATAGTTTATGAGTGCCAAAAGTATATTTCATTATTCATCGCAACACTTCTAATAGAAAAGACTCTGCACTGTCTCAATCATATTAAAATGCTTATTAGAAAATGCCGTCATTGTTCTATCATGAGGCGAATATTTTGATGCTCCCCGACTAGAATTTGTATATGTGGAAGATATAACTTGGTTGATGATGCAGTGCAGGTCGGGTCTTGATTGTAAGTGGTACTTTTCAAGTGTTCAGTTGTGATGCTTCAGTGAAGCTGCAACTTTCTAAGCTAGACGCTATGTATTTGCCTCTGTAGGACTCAAGCGTCTGTGATCTTCATCCTTTTTCTGAGCTCAGTGATTTTGAGTTACCCATCAGAGAAAACCTACATATAGGCTGTCATTTGTATTACCATCAAATCTTTTTGTTCGGCTTCTCTTTAATTTTGAAGCGGTTATTCTGCGATAATATTAAGCAGCATCTAAATTACTTCTTTATCTTCATTAGCTAGATATGATAACTGTGTATTTGGTCTCTCACAATCTGCTACTATGTTGCTTGGTTGGTGGATCTGGAAAATTCGTTATTGTGAATATGACAGGAAGTGTGTGTTTCCGAGGATTTCCTTTTAGTCAGGGTTGTCGGTCATGGTAACAGGTCCTTGGCAGTTCTGTTTCCCATGTAAGATCATTTGTCTGAGCTGAAAAAGTAACTTATGTTTTTTTCGTTTTCATGTGGTCTAGTTTTTATACTTAAAATGAACATAGATTCGTATTTAGATTTTGCGTTGGAACACCTTATCATGTCGTGTGAAGGGGATCATGTCGATCCATCAATAAGACAATCACAGTTTGTGTTTGGTTTCTCACGTCCTAGTTTTAAAAACTTCCAAATGCTACAGTCTAAAACTTCTTAGCATTTCTGTAGCTATCTGGTCTCTGTTTTGACTATAGAGTACATGGGTATCTTGTGGTCATTGTGATTGCAAATTTTGAACCTTTGGCTTCCTATGCAGCTCGAATCGATCATTGCTAAGAGCTTGCAGCATGGCAGATATATATAGCAAGCAGTATCTTTAGTTGCATGTGTGGACTTTGTCATAGCAATCTCATAGACTTGGTGATCAGGCCAATGGGAAACTAATTTGCAAGATAAACTTTTCCGCTGAGCTTGAGGCAAATTTCTATCCCAGTTGATGGCTAGCTTGTGAATATATAGTGGATATAAGAGAAATTTTTGGTTTCTAGATATCAGGCCAATTTGACATGTGTTTATCTTGTTCAAGTTGATACATTGTTCTTGATAGAAGTGGGAAAGATTTATTCTTTCCTCACTCAGTATTTTGTATGTATGATTTCAATATCTCATTCTTGTGTTCCATTTTCATCTTGATTTTTCTAGAAATAGGGAAGCAATACACAAGAACGACTATCTGCATGTACACTACATAGTGGATCCTGCATCAGCTCTAAATGGCTTGAGGGTCATATGATTGTTATGTTCAAACTCTTTTTTCAAGTTTGTGGTTCTAAGTTACTGGCGAAGAACATGGAGATCTTGAGTACAGCCCAAGGCACAAAGAAGGAGAAATATCGTATGTTTTCATCTTTTTAATAATTATTTGAGGCATTGTCAGTTTTCTAAATTGTTATTTTATTTTTCCATCCCTATTAGTTTAAATTGCTATTACGGAATGCCATTAAAAATGAGCTTTTTTTATTTTCTGGAGAGATGAGTAAATAAATGAGGGCTCGCGAATATTTGTCGGCTATTGTTCAATTTAATTACCAAGGAATATTGTTGCTATCAGTAGCATAAGGAAATGTAGTATTTTAATTTGTTGACTTCATTGATGTCATTTCAGGGCTTGCGATGGGCCTAATATGTGCAGGACACGGGATGACGATTATGACCTGATCTTCTAGTGGCTTTAAGTGCAGATTGGGGGTTCAACGATCTGCTGATCTATTGAGGCATAAAGAAATGGTCATCTTTGTTATTGGGTACTACCTGAAGTTCCTCATTGACATATTGTGTGGTGATTCACTTCTTTTTAATTCCCTGCTTATTTGCCCATTGTAGTGACTGTTTTCTCTCCCCTGTTTTATCTCATTTTTAGGTCTCCTGAAGTTGTTCTAGCTTACCTGCCAGAAATTAAGCTGTTGCAGGTGTTAAATTGCTATTTGGGATGTGTAGACACCAATTTTAATACAAGTGACAGAAATAGCACCGATTTGCTCCTTCTGTTGCATGAATTTAGTAAAGAACGGCAGAAGTCCAATGTCTGTTTTTATGTGTGGAGTATTCGATGACAAGTATCACCAAAATTTCTGATGAAGTAATGAAAACCAAAAACACAGTACTGAAGATCAGTGTTGCTACTTGCTAGAAGCATGCACCGGCTTATTGTCTCGGATTAAAGTGTGAGAGTACTTGTTAGCCCGTGGTATGGTAAATCTAGGAACTTCCAATAGTGCATCATTTCAAAGGTGTGCTGCTTGGAGATTGATTAAGCTGGACCAGATGACTTCCTCGGATGTTTTACTTGGATTATTTGAGAAGATGAATCTGGTGTCTGGCATTTCTTGTTCACACAAGCAAACAGTTGTGTTTTTGGGCTCTCTTCCCAGAATAATCATGCTTTAACCTGTGTTGTATTATCCTGTTTCAGCTCGGTGCGTTGTTGAGCGTATTTAGGCCATGGAAGTCATAGAAGAGCAAGCATGCTTTCATTCAGTAATGAACTAGTAGTACCAATGGTTGGTGGCAAATGGATATTAATCTGGTATTTCAAGTCATGCGATGCCTTGAAACAGGAGCTCATGAGCATCAAGACCTGTTTTGCTTCAGCAAGAGTTTGTTTGCACAGATATAGTGCATGGAAGATGATGGATTGTTGCACATAACCATTTCATTTCGAACTTCTAAAGCTGTCGCGATGTCTTGTACTCGTGCATGTGGTGAGGCGCCTTTGCTGAATCACCTTTCACTGAACAGTTCCCAACATCGTGTGGTGTTGCCGACAGCGAGCCGGAGGTTTCTATCAGACAGTAATCGATCGCATGACCTTTCAAGAGGTATTGTTCTAAGGCTTCATTAGCATTGAGGTGATGTTACGATGACTCAAGATCACAAAGGAATGTATTGATACCCAATCCACGTCTAAATTACGAGAACCTGAAATGACGAGTAAATGCCATCTGATTTGGGTTTTCCATTCAGAGCGGATCAGTTTTCCTTGCCATCATGTTCCTTGCCGATGGTACCAAACTCAACTAGTTGCGCGTAAGAAAACTACTCCATGTTGACTAGAGCAACTCTTGGTTGTGCGCAAATGCAATATAAACGGGCACTTGTGATATCAACTGTTGTCGCCCTACGGCTCTTTCGTTCTTTCTTTATTTCTTTAAAGTAAAAGGTACGTTTTGTCTTAAGAGGACGAACCCGTTGAAAGAGAGGCAAGCCGCCTGGTTGGAAACATTGGGAGCAGATTCAGAACGTCTGGTGACGTTATTGACGATGACCATATTCGGCGATATTCTATTTGTTGAAGTCTGAGCCATGCACCAAAAAAGAAGAAGTCTAAGCCATGCACCAAGCTCGTTCTTACTAAGATACCGTCAAGATCTGCCCAATTTCCATATTCATATATGGTGAGTCCAAGCTTGGTTAGGTGCCTTTGGTAGAATGCCAGGAGTCCACGAGTTGAAACTTAGTTTCAAAGAGCAATGAGGTTTCACCAGTCACCAAGCCCTTGGAGAGCTCGTGCTTTGACCCTACCAAAACGTGTGTGAAAGAGGAGAGATCCCCTACCATCTTAGTCTTACTAAGTCTGATCTCCTCAACAAACAAAACCCCATTTAGGAGCACGATATATTTGACAAAATCTTGTCCAACTGTAACTGTGAAAAGCTATGCTTTTTTGACTGATATTCTTCGCACAATAAATTGAATATTACAAATAAAAGTAAAGGAGAACGAATGTAAACTTGTGCTTGGACAAGATTTTGAGCATCCGTTCAGCCTTCTCACATTAACTGTGAAAAGCATCGCCTTTGATTTCCATCTTTGTTTTTTCCACGCATAATATTTATGGCTGAGGTATGACAGTCACACTATTTCACGGTCATGCAAGCATTTCTCCGGTCAAAAGCTATTCTCAGCTCGAAGTATGCGGTTTTCCAACTGCTTTGGTCCATTTCGGCCGTTTTGTCCCGATGAGAACAAATAACAGGCCAATAGCGACCAGATTTCCCTTGGAATTTCTGCGCAAAATACAAGGGTCGCCTAAGACGCCGTGCGATTGGTTTTACAGGAACAGAGATGAGAGATTGGCGGCCCCTTTAGCCATTACGACTTGTCCACGTCTATTTTGTAAATTTGATTTGAGTGACCCATGTTGTAAGTTGACCCTAATCTTAGCAATAGAAAAACAAACGCTTGGTACCGCAGGACTGCTGTCACAGAGAGAGAGAGAGAGAGAGAGAGAGAGAGAGAGAGAGAGAGAGAGAGAGAGATAAAAAAAATGATTTGGCAGAGAGCAATGAGCATCGTCTCCGTCCAACTTAATGTGAAAAGGCCGAACGGATGCGACGAACGAGATCGAATTTCCAATACCTTGGACGCATCAAGAAGCAAAGAGTCACCCAATCATCCTTTCCTTCGACTCACGGCAACGGCGAAGCAAGCATTTCAACGTGATACCCAGGTTTTACCGAAGAGTCAACTCGTTCACCGGCAAGCTTTGAACCTGTCACGCAGCGAACATTGGGAAAGGAATGAGTGCATGACTTGATCTCCGAAATCTTGCCAACTCAAGTTGAGAAGGCAAAGGATAAACCAAGAGAGGCTCTCTCTCTCTCTCTCTCTCTCTCTCTCTCTCTCTCTCTCTCTCTCTCTCTCTCTCTCTCTATGGAATTGAATTGAAATATGACTTGAAGAATGAACCGGGGAAAATTGTCCGGAAAATTCTAAACCTATTGCATTTTGGCTGGTCCGGCGACCAGCCTGAGGGAAGAAGGAAAAAAAAAAAGGAGGAGAAAGAAAAGAAAAGAAATAAAATAAATCCAAAAAAATATAAGAATATTATTAAAAATTGTTCATATTAGTGCCGGTGACGCCACATAAGATGACTAGTGTTTACGTCAGTGATCTCTGATCAAAATTTGCCAAATGAACTCAATTGACAAAAAAGTTAAAAGGTTTAGGACTCAATTGAAAAAATTAAAAAGTTTATAACTGAATAGGCAAAAATGGAATAGATCTAGAACTTTTTGGACAATTTTCCTAAATGAACTGGTCCTTGGCCTAAACTAACCTATTTATCATAAGGAGACTTCTTGCTGAACATGTAACTACAGCTCAAGATATTAAAGTGAAATAAAAGGAAACTAAACCCCTAGCTAAATACGTAAAATTGAACTATTCTCCATCCCAATAGAACAACTAAATACTCGGCGATTGAGAAACTGGCGCGAATCATGAATTCTTACGCCGATCGGTCTGGTCTTGGAAATCTTTCGTAACTTGTCCCACATCATTGCCCCTAGCTAAAGAAGAACCTGACCTCGAGCTAATATCAACATAAGACAAAACCATCACCGGGCGTATAGGTCGGCAACATTGGATGTGTACGAGATTTCGAGATTCATAGATAAGTCGATCACATTGTAATTGATGCGGGTGCGGGGCGAGCGAATGTGCTTTGAGTGATAAGGGGATAATGTATGATAGATGAATGATTGATTACAATCACCACCGAGGCCTAAAGGACATGCCACTAGCCGAGGATAAAGATCGGGATTGATGAAGTTCACCACCAAGGCTTAAAGGACGAAACACCTGCTTAGGATAAATGACTTTGGAATAGGAAAAGCTCACCACCAAGGCCTAAAAGAAAATCTACTAGTTAAGGATAAATGGCTTCTTGGCTTATCGCCAAGAAAGAATCCACATTCCAGGTATAAAGAACCAGAATAGATATTCGCTCCCACAGTGGTAAATATCATATATTCTTAATATTCAGCTCTTTATCTTTTTACATTTGAGAATTCGCCTCTTTTTATAGAGGAACTACTACATAGGAAATAGACCAAGCATTAAAGACATGAGAACTACCCAACTAATAAAGACATAGGAACTAGAGAGCACAACAAACTCCTAAGAACTGGAAAATGCATTTAAAATTCATGGAAACTTGAAATTTGACTCTTGAAACCTATAACACACTTAAGACTCGTAAAATTAAGACTAAAGACATTTGACCTGATGCAAAGTAAACAATTATAGACTCTAAATTCGTTCACCAGCCTGGACAGCCCAATAGACATCTTGAAAGATTGACAAATAGTAAAGGAAATCGTTTAGAACAGCTTCTAGTTGCTAGATAGTTGATTAGTAGTCTCGGAGTTGGTAATGAACTTGTAAATCGACAACTAGGTAGTCAATTGACAACCATGAAATGGACAACTTGTCTACTAAGTCAACAACTCTCTTGTGGAATCGACATCTTCAACTTGAATCCATCGAGTCAAAGTGCAACCGAAATCAGCCTTTCTTGTAGGAATGATGATCAATTGAGGAGTTCGAAGTTGAGCATGACAATTGATCGATGGAACTCGATGCTCCCGCATCAGCAATCTCGAAGGATATTTTGTCCCGTGACTTTACGTACCTCAATGAAAAAGCTCGACTCCGGTTAGTTCCGCACCCCGCATGATTACGGCTCGATCGGAAAAGACACGGCCTCGGATTTTGAAATGCGGAGTAGGTAAGCTCGTGATTCTGTATTTGAATGGTTTTAACGCTCTTCCTTGCGCGGTGCGAAAGGCTAAACTGGCAAAGAAAGATGGATTAATGCAAAGAAAGAAGAAGAACAAGAAGAAGTTGTTCTCACATACATACAGACCGTGTGAGCTATGTTGATTGCAAGTGAAGAAATTGAGCATTCATACATAAACATCGACCTTTTCTCTTACTGTCTTAATTTCTGGATATGGCTTTTAAGGTCGAGAGTGCTTTTCTTCTAGCTTATATTATACGGCAGCCAAGGGCCACCTTTTCAATTTTTTCTGTACTTTTTTTTTATTTATAAAAATCTGGTATTGTGTTATATCTATGGATTACAGAGGATTGCGAAGGAAGATAGGATAGGGCATTGGATTTTCTTTCTTGGGGTTAGCTTTACCAGACAACAGGTTCTCATAGCCACGTTAAAACTGTTGGAAATGTCCTCGAATCTGCGCTTAAGTGCTAACGCCCACCAAAACTGCAGCACACTGAACTTCAAGAAAGTTTGATAAGATGGGACTGGGGACCCTTCATAAACCCCCGATCCAATCACAGAAATAGTTCTTTTTTTTTCCTTCAAAATCACCAAACGTGTTGTAATTACTTCACGTCACGTCACTATCCTCCTCACGTCTAAGTCGACACTTAATGCGAAACAGATGCGGCATAACCATAAACTAAGTGGGAACTAAGGATCACCGCCCCTCGAATGGGGGGGGTTCAGGCTCGGAAGGCTTCGGACGGAAATGCCCCCTGGCCATGACGGCGAGAGAAACGGGCGCGTCGCGAGACATGCGTGCTGATCGACCGGAGGCTAAGATTCCAGCGCCGCCGGTGAGTTTGGGGGGGGGGGGGGGGGTGAATGGAGACGAAATCACCAATCCCAAGGGCTTCTTCGAGACGACAAGCAGGCACCACTGTGGTAGTTGCTTTTGTGAAAAACGGCCCCCCGCCTCAGGGGGTTTCTTTGGAATTTCCCCATTATTCTTAATCACCATACACTCAACTAATTTGCTTTCAGTACGAGGTTTGCCCCGGGAGAGGTGGGAAGTTCGATTCCTCACTTTCTCAGGGGATTAAGGGCAGGGACGTTTAGTTTCAGATGTAAGTTTCGACTCCACGCCACGCTCTGTAAAGAGACAGGGTGAAAGTATAAATTAGGACGGATATAAAAAAGAATAATACTAATTTGCTTCCTACCAAAACAAAAAATGAAAAATGAAAAACAATTTAAAAGGCGCGGAGCTAATTTCTGTCCGTCATCTGCGAACGCGGCGAAATCGTACCGTTTCGATTCAATCTCTCTCTCTCTGTCTGTGCTGTGTGGGGGAAAAGCAAATGATTTCACTGCGGGGGCGCCATCTTCTGGTAACCACTCCTTCTTCCACGCACCAAACTCCCATCATCATCATCATCATCATCATTTTCTTCTCCATGTTTTTGAAGAATCGATGCACGTTCTCGCTCGCACTATTTATTCAACAAAACAAAAAAAGATAGAAGAAGAAACCATCCGCGGATTCAACCATTTCCACCTCGCAGCATCACCCTCCCCGGTCAACATCCCCCCGGTCGACTCCCCACCCTCATAACTCGCCTCTCCCTCCTCCTATAAATACCGCTGCTCCTCTCCCGCTCTCTCCCTCTCTCTCCGTGTGGCTCATTCGAGGAGCGATCCGTTCGCCAGCTGTAACCGCATTTCCCGTTCCCGCGATTTCTCCCTCGCTTGCTTCGTTTTTCCTCCCTCCCTTTGCGCTCTCGTCGTCGTCGGTCGTCGGAGTGTACCTTGTTTTGTCGGTTGCAGAGGCTCGTGTTCGGCTGCGGCGGAGGTTGGCGGAGGCGGAGAGCGGCGGAGAGCGCGGCGTCGTCGTCGGCGGCTGCCATGGGCGGCGGAGGAGGTGATTCGGCGGTGTCGGCGGGGTGTAACGGCAAGGCTGGGCCCGGTGGAGGCACGGGGGACGCTTATGGCGAGGATCGCGCCACGGAGGATCAGCTTATCACTCCCTGGACCGTCTCCGTCGCTAGGTGAGTCTCGCGCGCACCTACCGTCATTGTGGCTTTAAATGCTGTTTTCCACGGCCCGACGGTACCGTACCGTACGCCGTGTTTTTTGATTTCCGGCGACATCTGGAATCTGATGATCTTGCCGTAACTTTGCGTTTTGTGGCGCTTTGCTTTGATCGAGATGCTTCGTCTCGATAGTGTAAATACGTTCTTCTGGACGACTGGACAGGATCTTGTCATGCTATCGATGATAATTCAGCATGCATATGTCATTTCTCTCTCTCTTTTTCCCGTTTCCCGAATTATTGAGCTGAAATTGTTGCTTCTTGTGTTTCGTTTGAGTTTCCATTTGCAAAATTACGTGGACCGCAAGTTTACGATGCAAAGGATCGGAGTGTTCTTCGTTCGTAAATCCTTCCTTCCTTCCTTCGATGAACGGGGTTTTTGCACGAGTAGGCTTTAGAAATGATGTCCGTTTTGTCTCAATCTAAGTGGCTTCGGATTTTGCTTCTTGAAATTACGCTTTTCCGGCATCGTGCTGTGAGTTTTGGAATGGGATTGTTACATCCGGTGTGGAATATTCTCTCTCCATGCTCGTAAGTAAATGACGATCTCGCCTTTTTCGTGAAGTTGCGCTTTAAATTCGAGCCTGTATGTAAGCTTTTGAGTAAGATCACATGCAAGGAATTTGTTCTTTTGGTGGAGTTTTTTTTCCCGGTAAAAAAAATAAAAATACAACGCTGTAGATTTGTTTGTTCTCCTCGAGGTGATCATTTCCTCCATATCTATTGAGGAAATAGTACTACCTCTGTTTTCAATTGCTTGCCATCAGAGCTTCTGGTGGTGCAGTGACGAGCTCGACCGAAGAAGCTGAGATTTAATTAGAAATTCAAAACGTTGCGGTTTCACTAATTAAGTATTAGTAGTTTGAAGTTCGTAAAGATTGTTATTCCAACTTTGATTTAGTTCGTTCCATAGTTAGTCCGGTACGTTTGATTGAAGAATCAGAGCCTTATTTATTCCTTCCTACTGTTATAGCGGTTATAATTTGTTGCGGGATCCACACCACAACAAAGGGTCAGCCTTCAACGAAAAAGAGAGAGATGCTCATTATCTGCGCGGCCTTCTGCCCCCAGCTATACTCAGCCAGGAGCTACAGGTAACCTTAATGAAATTGGTCCTATTTTGTTCAGTATTGTTCTGGCGATCATTTCGATTGGCTAGAATCCGTTACTCAATTTCAACTTTGGGCTTCTTTTGCTTAGTCATTTGTGAATTTCATTATCAGGAGAAGAGACTTATGCACACACTTCGCCAATATGAAGTTCCACTGCAGAGATACATGGCCTTGATGGACCTTCAGGTAAGATTTCCTTGGCATAAGGCATGACTTGGATGTAACAGAAATCCCAGAAAGTAACGATATCCATGTCAAGTGCGATAATCGATATCTTTTCTCTCTGTTTTGGCGAAAGATGGACAATCAGCTGTAGACTGATGACAACCAAGTGTCGCCATGCTACAATTGCTGATGAGAAATTTTTAGTTGTTGGTTGACATTTCCAACTGGTTATGTCTTCCAGGAAAGGAATGAAAAGCTGTTTTACAAGCTTCTCATTGACCATGTTGAGGAGTTGCTCCCTGTGGTCTACACTCCAACAGTTGGTGAGGCTTGCCAGAAATATGGCAGCATATATAGGCGCCCTCAGGGTCTCTTTATCAGCTTAAAAGACAAGTATTAACACCTGGAGGCCTGTTGTGTTGGTGTTTTGAATATGTCTGGTACCAGAGTAGTGTATACTGACTTGTGTGATTTTCGTTATTCAGGGGAAAGATACTTGAGATATTGAAAAATTGGCCTGAGAGGAACATTCAAGTTATTGTGGTGACTGATGGCGAGCGTATACTGGGTCTTGGTGATCTTGGTTGCCAGGTAACCGACTCTAGTTTGTTTGATCACATTAGGAAAGACCATTGACTGAAACCTCGTCATCTCAGATGCATACAATTACCGAGTGGATGGACACTAACAGTATTATATTCTTTTCAGGGTATGGGGATACCTGTGGGTAAATTATCTTTATATACAGCACTAGGAGGACTTCGTCCTTCAGCGGTAAGCCTTTTCTTGTCACTGGTCTATGTTTATGTATGCTCTCATGTTGAGCTTTTAAGGGATGTACAGTCAGAAAAAATGTATTAACTGCTTCCATAAGTCAGAACTAGAAGGAATATTGGAGGATTGCTAGAAGTAGAAGCACTAATTTGTAATTCATGTTATGACCCTCACTATCATGAGATCCGCACCTAGGAAAGTGCTAGGATAGCACAAGATAACAGGTAGACACGACCACCGGTATCTGTTTCTAATAGCCAAATCACACGTAATTAATTTGCAGGATGGACATGGTAACTATATACTTACTGATGTATCTTCAATTTAAGCCTATCCAACAGATATTAAGATGCATATGACGATTCGATAATTGATTAACCAGAATATTGTCTAAATGCATCTGCGTATTCAGTAAGAGCTAAAATGCGAGTCTAAATTTGTTTTTGCATGTCTCTATACAAATTGAAAAATGAAAATTATTATTCTGAAAGTTTATGTACCAAATAATTTGCGTGATTGCTACTTGAGAAGCACCTCAAACTTCCTAAGCAGGCTGTGAAAACTTGGAGTTGCTATTTATGTCTTGCAGTGCTTGCCTATAACCATTGATGTTGGCACAAACAATGAAGAGTTGTTGAAGGATGAGTTCTATATCGGTCTCAGGCACAAAAGGGCAACCGGGCAGGTTTATCAGTTTTTCTTCCTTACTCCCCCCTTCCCTCTTCCCTTTAATAATTGCTTCTTATTTCCACCTACTGTAAAGTATTGACCGAGGATAAACACTGTTAATTTTGTTTCAGTATGTCTACTTCTGTCAAATTGCTAACTTGTTCACATAATGCAGGAATATGCCGAACTTCTTGATGAGTTCATGTATGCTGTTAAACAGAATTATGGAGAGAAAGTCCTCGTACAAGTGAGTCACACAGTTTCTTATGTTATAATATCACGTCTCTATTGACGCTAATAATCAGTGCTTATCAGTTTGAAGATTTCGGAAACCATAATGCATTTGAACTATTGGCAAAGTACAGGCATACACACCTTGCCTTCAATGATGATATACAGGTAAATTGTTGAATGAATTCTTCTCTCTGCTTGTAGAGCGTGTGCTGGATTATGCAGATGCAGTTAATATAGCTAGATGGAGTAAAGTTTTGGCTATTTTAAGTTCTGCTTTACAATCGCAGGGTACAGCCTCTGTGGTGCTTGCTGGACTTATTTCTGCTCTTCGAGCGATTGGTGGAAAGCTAGCAGAACAGAAGTTCTTATTTCTGGGTGCAGGAGAGGTTAGACTTTGAATTATTTTTCCTGAGCATTTATATTTCCCGCCAAATGTACTCAGTCTGAAAAACGTGTGTTTAAGTTATCTTGTCCTAATAATAACTGCAGCTGCGCATTTTCTTGCTTCTCTTTGCAAATTTGCTCTTTTTTTTTTTTTTCCTTTTGCCAAATAATTATCTCTCTCTCCCCTACAACAAGAATTGCCTTTTTAAAAAATGGAAGTTTCTCCTGGGCTGTAACAATCTGTTCTTGAGCTCGCAGTTGGGAAAAATTATTCATATACATGAGTAAAGAAGTCGGTTCCTTTTTCATTCATTCATTTTCTTAGTCCTAGCTCACATATTGTTTACACATTTACAGTTCTATGCTGATCCCATGTATCTAACTCTTGTGCTGCATCTTGGCTCACCTTTCTTCTTTGGTCATTGAAGGCCGGAACTGGCATCGCCGAGCTTATCGCCCTAGAGATGTCGAAACAGGTGAACAGATGCTACCTTATGTGTTTTTAATCTTTTAAAAATATGTGCGGTAAGCCTTCCTAAATTTTACACGTTGCTATTGCAGACAAAAGCTCCAGTTGTGGAGACACGCAAGAAGATATGGCTTGTGGACTCCAAGGTACATGGAGCTCCTGGTTCGGATTTCCTGCTTGTCAAGGAATATCTTTTGATGTATAACATCTTATACATAGCTGCTATCAAATGTTGTGACATTCGTTTGCAGGGACTGATTGTTAGATCCCGTTTGGAGTCGCTTCAGCACTTTAAGAAGCCTTGGGCTCACGAGCATGAACCTGTCAAAACCCTGTTAGACGCTGTCAAGGTGTGTAATTTTAGGAAATTGTTCCAGTGCACTAATTGGACCATGACCAATGCTATCAGTTCTTCCTGTAATCTGAATTTTGTGACTTCTGCAGGCGATCAAGCCAACAGTGTTGATAGGATCATCAGGCATGGGCAAAACCTTCACCAAGGAAGTGGTCGAGGCCATGGCTTCATTGAATGAGGTTCTCTCTCTCTCTCTCTCTCTCTCTCTCTCACACACACACACACACACACACACACACACACACAGAGGCTAACCCAACTCTATCTGCTATCAATGTTGTTCTTTGCGTACAGAAGCCTATAATTCTTGCTCTCTCAAACCCAACCTCCCAGTCTGAGTGTACAGCTGAAGAAGCTTACACATGGACTCAGGTACATTGACTTGCAATTTGTTCGGTTATTTTGTGTATCTGATTATTATTGGTGAAGAAAGATGTTCCAAGTTTACCATCAATTTTTCCCCTCCATTCTCCTTCAAATTTTCAGGGAAAAGCCATCTTTGCCAGTGGAAGCCCATTTGACCCAGTCAACTACAACGGCAAAACTTATGTACCTGGACAGGTCCTTGCTTTCTACTTCCATCGGTTATCGTCTGCAGTTTCCTCACTTTAGAACTAACTTTCACATCTATTCTGATGCTCACATGCCGCTGTTCATGTTACTCAGGCAAACAATGCATACATATTCCCTGGATTTGGATTGGGATTGATCATATCTGGCGCTATCCGTGTGGACGATGACATGCTCTTGGCTGCCTGTAAGTGCACTGAGACATAAGTATTCATTTGTTCCATCTTTCCATATGAACTACTTGGAATTCAGCATATCTCTGACTGATCTTATAATACCTAGACTCGTACTTCTCCCTCCGTCGAGTTTCCATTCCTGAGCTTAAAAATAGGTTCATCATCATCATTATTAACTCACAAAATTTTCTGGTTGGAACAGCGGAAGCTTTGGCCGCACAAGCAACACCTGAAAATTTCAAGAAGGGACTGATCTATCCCCCGTTCTCCAATATCAGAAAGATATCAGCCCGCATCGCAGCAAGCGTCGCTGCCAAAGCATATGAACTAGGTAAGTCGTTCTCTAACTCCTTCGCCTTTTTGTTTAGGCCACCGATACTATCCCCTGCCTTCGCAATCGTGCTGAGCATCGATTGGCTTTCTTAGGTTTGGCTTCCCATCTTCCTCGTCCAGACGACCTTGTCAAATACGCAGAAAGCTGCATGTACAGCCCTGTATACCGAAACTATCGTTGAAGCTGACTGGGCTGAAATTGCCGCATCCCGCTTGAAGTTCACCGTTCACATCCCATCGAGAATGACCTTAATTGTGCCTTTTCTTAGTTTTTTTTTTTTTTCCCTTATTGAGTTTAGTTAGTATTTGTGTCTGTTGTATTTTTTCATCTCAGAAGCATCAGTAATATTTGTACCCGGAACAAATCCACATCGATACAGCAATATTCAAATAAGCGATGTTTAGGATTGACATTAGTAATAGGGGCTTGCCCATCATTTGGGCAGACTGGGCAAATAGGCCCAAAATACGAAAAGAAGGCCTGGAAAGGCCCACTAATAAAATGGGCCACGCGCGAGCCAGTTTGGCATCTCTAGGCCAACTCAGCCATTGGGTGCCCAAGGCTTGGGCGCTGGCCCAATATAGGGGGGACGGCTTTTCATGTCCACGAGGCCTGGCCTAAGTGCTTTCCCAAAATCCATGTAACTTCAGTTGGACAGGTTCGAGCGGGGACTCAGCCCGTCCAACTCCGTCTCAATTTTAGGAGCTGCGAGGAATTTGAATGGCTGCTCGTTCAGTGTCCAAAGTTAGGCCCGCCCGAAACTGTTCGTTTTTTCTTTGGGTCCAACCAAAACTGATCGATCACTAGGTCGAACGTACACGATTCTGTTTAAGAGAGATTAGAGTCAAGATAAATAGGTTCCAAACCTCATCCTCAAACCTTACCCTGCTAGGATCAGTTTATAGTTCAAACCTACCCTGGCCTGGAACCAAAGCGGCTGATTCCAAGGTCAACCCCTGGACCTGCAGCGGCTTTTATTTCTATTTTTTAAAATTTTATAACATGACTATAATTCTTTTGTTTGAGAATATGTCAAGCATATTCAATTTCAACAAACATTTTCTAATTTAAAAAAAGAGAGAAACCTAAAAACTCATCAGGTAAAAGCTACGTTCTAAGTTCCAGATTCTTCGGTAGAACTGACCTATTAACAATATAGAAACCGGAACTGAACCGATTAAGCTGGTTCTAAATTTTTGGAATCGAAAATCGAATAGGTCCCCTTAAGAACCGGCCTTGAAGCGGCCAAGTAAGTCTGGTTTGGGCCGATTCCCAAAATAAATCGGCCCGTATGCTCACCCCTAAATCTAATTGACCTCGTGGCATACAAGTTTCATCTAACTGTTTGTAGAAGAGTCCTCCAACTTGCCGTGATTTCTGCATTGTCACGATTGTAATCACCTGCATTAATTTCCCATCTCATGTACCCGTGTCCTTTTTTTCTCTTTCACTAAATAGGTTCTTGTCAAGAGAGAAATGAAGGCTAAACCAAGAAACGTTCTTAGCCATTATAACGGACATTGGAATCACTTTACAACATTCCACTACTATACGCTCTTAATCCGACTCTCCGAGACAAACGGAGCAAAAGAAAAGGTAGGAGTAGGTGAGGAAGAAAACCGGGACTACCTGGTAGTGTTTCTTGTACCTGTACTATAGCCACATTCATCTTCTCCGCTGAAGGATATGATACGCCCTTTCAATGATTTGAATCCGCAACTTGAGAACTTCGGATTCCCCAAAACAACCTGGGCTTCAGCTTATTGTTTGTGGCTGTAAAAAGCCAACCCATATGAGTCTCGCAAGCGGCACAGTTAGTTATAGTCCAAGCATACCTGCAAAAGAGCGGCTCAAGAACTCAACTGTGCCATACGAGCTTATATAGCTTATGCATGAGACAGGGGAGCTGAATATAGCATAGGCAACACAATCTACTGTTAATCAATATAACTCAGTTGAGCCCAAGCAACCTCCTCTGCATGCAATCATTTTGCACAAGAGTTTATCAATTTAAGTGAGTTGCCTAATGGAGACGCAGTTATAAAACTGAAGTTCCTGACATTCTTTTAGCTACAGCAAAATGATGATTATTTTATCATCCGCCACAGCTTTACTTATACAAGAAAGGGATTCGGATACTATTTCTCTCAAATTGACTGAAAATAGTTGCCCCACGAGTCTCTGGGTATTTGAGTAAAGAAGAGTTCAAAATGGTCCATCAACATCTCTTTCGTTTTCACTTCCCAAAAAACTGGATTGACTGCATCTTGTTGACTCTTCTCTTCATCCCAACTTTATTCCTCTCATTTACCAGATCATCGGAAGACATCTCATCACCAGAAAAACAACAAAATCCCGACCTAACCTTGTTTCAACATACCAAACAGAAGCAAGTTTTTAAATCAATTGTTCTGTGGGAAGGCCCTAGTCTCCACATAGCCCATTTTGGTGTATTGTCAGGAGGATAAAGCATGCTCCATGTGTAAAAATAGGTGGTGTCAACTTACAAGTTAAGGACTAAGTTCAAATAAAGCATCGGCGTGGGGAGTATCTGTAGGGTAGACAATTCTCAAGTTCAATTTCCCTCTCGAGCATTTTTTTGTTGTGAAAATTCTTATTGAGGACATTAGACAACACAACCTAATCCAAAGAACTTCTGGGCACTGAACACAGTTCAGTTCTCTCTAGTCAGGTAGTCCCATCAGAGCTGTTTATCATTGCCAACAAACCCCATCTTGAAGGGACTTCCCTCAGCTTTTCAACAAGACTCAGACTAAGTGACTAATTCCTATTTTACAGTTCATTCAAAGGCGAATGTGTAAAAGAAGGCTAAGGGATGACATACCCAGGAAACCAGCTGTATTCTGTGACGGGCCTCCCTATGAGTGCTAAGCCATTTGCTTTATGGAGGGTCATTATCTCATGTACACTACCATGTAGGTTCACATAAGCACCAAGAGGACCATCACTGGACATCACCAACATATCACTTCGTCTTGCAATAACAGTCTGCAAGTAACAAGTAAGTTAAACGAATTATTTCCCATAAAATGGATAACCAGTTCAGCGACCTAATCACCAAGATATCACAATATAGTATTACCTGACAACTTTTACATTGGATGCGATCAAAACACTCCAGTAGCTCAATTTCCCGCCGCAATCTATAAGTTACCCCATCAATATCCAGAAGCTCTTGCCTAGTAGATTGGGAAACAGGAATTTTGCTGGCAATATAAAATGAAAGAAGATCTGGCTTCTTTACAAGACCATCCATTGCAGGTGCTCCAACTATCTGTTTCCACATATCTGCAACCATTGGACAAGTAGCAGAAGCCAAATAAAATGTTAAGCAGTGCTGTTGTAAACCATAAAATCCTGTTTAATGTCTTTCATCACAACATAAAATATAGCATGATAAAAGTAATGGCATAAAGAAAGAGAAACACTGCAAGTTCAGTGTTTTATGCAACCTCCTCAGTTCATATTGTCAGCGAGAATGCAAGAGACGACTATAACTTCACTAGACTAACACTAGCACTTTATACTATATAATAATAAACTTATTCCACATCTGTTCCTACAAATGATTATACTAAAATGGTTAAACTACTTATTTTGTTAGAGTACAATATAACATATAGAATGGGGCAAATGCACCTCCTGCTTGCCCCACTTGGCTCAGTAGTATTGCCAAATAGTAGCCAATTTACCAAATCTTCCAAATTTCTCACATGGAAATGAATGAATCTCCCATTCGCAAGTTCAAATCATCAAGTTGTAACAATGTCCGGTAACAATTTGGACATATCAACAAGAGAGGTAGTACTTCACCGGATATTTCAACTTCCAGACTTAATCAAAGCAATATGTGAAAAGACGTAAGTACAGCTGTGAATGGTAGTAATGTCTTGTTTAAAATAAAAGACCTTGGAGAGATCAGATTGGAAGAACAGAAGCCAGTACCTGCTACCCTTTGAGCAAGGCTATATGAGTCATACATGCGATACACCCAGTGCGGCCAGAATGCTCTAGGAATACCATAATTGCTAGTAGCAGCCTTTCGTTGGGTCCAACCCCACGACGCTTTGTGAGATTGCCCCCCAGATCCATTAGCATTTCCAGAAATCTTTTCATCTGAATGATGATGAGAATGAGATCTTCTTTCTCGGAACTCTGATTCCCAAACAAACTTCTCATCATCACTGCTTGTTGATTCATCCATGACATCATATCCATAAGAACAATCAATCGCAGATTGATGCAATCTACGTTCACGAAGCGAAAGTGCACTCTCAAAGCTATCTTCAGAATGTGCCTCTGAGTCATCGTCCCCATCAGCAAATCTTAATGATTTAGCAGGAGAGTTTTCTGGACGGTTTCTTGAAATATCATTATCTCTAAGAACACTTGGTCTGGGCAACTTCCCAAAGGCATCTCGTGGAGCCCTCAGTGGCAAATCTTCCTGAATAATCTGCACCTCTCCACATGCCTAAAGAAATGTAGGCCAGAAGATGACATCAGCAGAAATGAAAAGTTGAAGGATGATTCCATTCCACAATTTTTCTTATTCTTAACGAGGACATGAAAAGTGTTCTAAGTTCTAACCACTCCTTCTGCATCAATCCAACATCGCTTCAGGCGAAAACGTTGCTGACCGCGAGTAACTGCGTTTAGTGAACCATCTTCCAGTCTCCTGTATTGCCTAATCTGCACCAAGTTTTGCAACATAATCAAATGCATATAAAAACAGTGCCTACCACAAAACTTGAACTAGACAAAGGAGTAGATGATGAGTATGGATTCAAGAGGAGAGGCGGCATCGCTACCTCAGCAGTTGTCCCAGTTGTTGCAAACCTTAACCCATTAGTTTCAGGATAGCTGTAAATATGAACCTGAAAATCCTTTTCAAATTAGAAGGAAATCCACAACACAAGTACAGTATTCACAGAAGTCAAATTTTAACATACGACACCGATCATAAGAGGAGTATTGCAATCAATTGGGCTTAATGCCCTCTCAATAGTAGCTATGAAGCTAGGCTGAATAACTCTTAAAGGAAGGGTGGCTTCAGGGAACAGCACAACTCCTGACATCAAAGAAAAGCCGTGTCTTAGAGATTTTAAACAGAACAGAAGGTGTGCATGTGCATCTGAAAGAACGAGTGAGTTGAGATGGTGGACCAAAACCATCAAAGGGAAACATGGACAGATAGAAGAGACGTGACTTTTACTTCTTCCCGGTGCTTGACAGCTTCATGCATTCAAAGCAGGCAAAGGTCTTTGATTATCATGGAAAAAAGTATCAGAATTCCTACAGATTCTGACCGTAGAAACTAGCTAACCTGCTTTTACTTAGAGGGATTTCTTCACCCTGAATGGAAAATCTCTCTCTGGTTCACAGAGATAGTTTGACAAGCTGGACCATAGCAATCGTTCCACTTAAGTTATTTGCCAGGGAAGGAAGTTCAATTTGGATTAGTTGTTCTGCTGTGACTATATAAGTCGCCCATCAGCTACCTCAATCAGAGTGAATTTAAGCTCATGTTCCACGATCATCATTGTGCAGAATACTGCTAAAATAAGTAGAGCATCTAAATACATGAACTAATAAATATTTGAATTGTGTCTTTCAGCCTCTGAATCCACTTTAACATGGACATGAACAACACAATATAAGTAGTTCACTTATAAGTCAAGGTAAAGGACTACCTTCAAGATAGAGCAAGGGTAACTGATGGATGGCACCACCATCCAAGAAAGCCAGTCTGTGGTGGGTGTCTTCAACCTCTGTTAAGACACAACTAACATCAGTATTCCTTATCGTACTGCATAGGTACTACAAGCAACAAGAACCACCGGATTCTCAATTCCTACCGCCAAGATACGTATGCAACGAAGCCAAACTGGGGTTGAAGGTAAATTCACTAGGTACACTTGCCCCATCACGACCCCGAGCGCTGTAGTCCATTAAATTATGAATAATCAAGTCAAGGATACAAAAATGAGTGGACCAGAGAAAATAACTCAAATCAACGGCAAGTGAAGGCAGCAGAATTTCCTAAAATTTCTCTCGATTCCCAAATCAATGTGAAGTGACAAAGAGGCAGTACTTCGTATAGAGGTCTAATCACTAGATTCTAGCCAACGTGTATATATCATAAATTTGACACTATTATCTTCAAGGCGACTACCAATTGCCGCTATACGTGAATGAAAGCAAAAAAATTGCAACGAATGAAACGTACGATTCAGCTCCTAACCAAGACACATGAATATACTGAAGCTACATACTGCTTCGCAGCAGCATCTCAATTATAATTAAGTTCACACACCAAAAACCTCGCATGATCAGCATACAGTCGAACACGAACGGACACAAAAACTCGACACACCGGAAAGCACCGCGAGCGAACCGCAAAAACAGCCTCGTGCACTGATTCGAAAACCTCACTGAAACAGCACGACACGAGAGGAGGTGCCGATTGCTTACGCGGTGCGCCGATCGTCGTCCGACGAGTCGTGAGCGTCCTCGACTTCCTCGACCTGCAGCTCCTCGAAATCGAGCTCCCGAATCTGCTCGATTTGATGCCTCTCCCTCTCGATTATGCTGCGATCCTCCATTTCCGGATTCTACAAATCTCTCTCCCTCCCTCCCGAGCGCGCGAAGAAGAGAGGCTCGCTCCTTCGTCAATCGCCGATCGCGGTGAAAGCGCTCGTCGTTCGCCGATCCTCCGTCGCCGCGAACGGCGAAGATCGCCGGCGAAAAGAGCGGACAGGTTTCTCGCGTGCTACTCTCTCGTTTCGAGTTTGTTTCCCTCTCGTAGCGAGCGCTTGTCCCCCATCGACTCGTATCTTCCGGATAAATGAGTCCGCCTCTCTTATATCCGATTTTCCGATGAAAAATATTTTGCAATTCGACCCCATGAAATTTCTTCACTTTTCGTTTTGCCCCCTGGGCTTAAGCTTGTTTGCAATTTTGGTGAGAAATCTTGTTTTTTTTTTTTTTTGGGGGTCAGATAGAAAGCTTGTTTGATTCGTTGATTTTGCTTAAGAAAATGTCTTGCTTCTTTTCTAGATGTGCCGAGGAAATTAGTATATTTTTTAGTTTTAAAGAACCATAAATGAAAGTGTAAGCAAACCTTTTCCATGGACAATTATATGTATCGATGAATTTTAGGCATGTCATCCTCAACAAAAATCAAAATACAACAATTGCAAACGATAAAACAGGTAAAGTGAACAAAGTGTCATCTACTATTAACATGATCAAAACGAGATGGGTGTCCTAAATCGCGAATCACCGATTAGTATCACAAGGAACCCGTGATGCGACACGTCTTGGATTAGAAGAAAAGCATCTCTTGATATCGGCAATTCACGGATGAATACGCCACTTGTCAAAATCCGCCACTTGTCCGGTGATGATTTTTCCCAAAGAACCAAGCAGTCGCCTTCAATAAGGACGTAATGTAGACCCTTGTTCTATGCAAATTACGCAGGCCTCCCGGGCAGCTTGTGCCTCCGCTTGGAACGGCGTTTCGTCATGGAGACTCCTAATCCAAGAGCCTAAAGCCTGTCCTTCACGGTTGTGAGCTGCCACAACAAGATGTCGCCTTCTATTTTATCATGCAGCATCGGAATTTAGTTTAACGTTGGGGAGGTTCGGGAGGGCGCCATGACGCCGCCGCCAGATTCGCTCGACACTTATAAGTTTGGGCCCTTGTTCTTGCGCTCAAAGAAGAAGTTGAAACGAGCCGAGATCAATTCAACAAACTCTGTATGATCAGTCGCAATGTTATTGTGGATTCTAGAGGCACAACCTTGCCAGGCCTCTTTTCATGATGTCGGCATGGCACGGGACAACATGGGAAGGCAATTTCCCGAACCAGATTTTATGTCGTTCACGGATTGGTGCCATCCAAATGAGTTGCTAAAGTATCTTGGTCCCAGTAATGAAGCCGCGCCCCACGACATCCCTACTCAACACCAACTTGGTTGAAAAGTGCGTCGAGCTCGAAGGCCACAGGATGAGTCTGTCCTCGATTGGATATATAGAGGGATAGTAACTGGAGCAGCGCATCAATGTAAGCCAAATTAGACTCATAACTCCTAACAACTCTCACCTCCAATTCATGCTCACGAGGGGCGAGCAATTTTAGAGTCGGACGCACTTGAAATCTAAGGCTTACCTTGTCAATCAGCTTTGAATCTATTCGAGAACTGGCCAAATTTTTTTTGCTGCATTCTCAATTGAGCAAAATGAAAGTGAACACAGCAAACAAATGTACACATTTATCAATAACAACAATTTATAAAAAATGAACACGCGAAATAACATAGAATGATAAAATGTTCAAACCCAATCAACATCAATTCAAAGCGAACAAAGGTGAAAAAGCCCGCACGACCCGTTTCCCCAAAGTTCCCCCCCGTCCACGCTTATGCTCGCTCGTTGCTCCTCCCCCCTCCGCGTCCTCCGCCCTCGCGACCCCGAGATGGCGCGCGCCCTGCTGCGCGCCGCCCTCCCCTTCGCCTCCTCCGCCGCCGCCCTGCACCCCCAGACCGTCCGCCTCGGCGGCGGCGCGGCGTCGCCCCCGCCGCCGTCTCCGTTGGGAACTTCGCTGCTTGGGAGTAAAGTCGGGGTTTTTGGGGCGGGGAATGAGAAGCGGTTGGTGGGTGTTTGTGGCAGGGTTTGGGCGTCGCAGAGGGAGTACAGGAAGGTGAGGAGGAGGGCTGCGAGGAGCAAGGAGAGGGAGCTCGAGCTCAACGTCGGCATTTGCATCGAAGGGGACTTACCCGATGATCCTGAAATTCTGGTACTCTTGCATATACCAATGTTGCTTTTGAAGAGTTCAATTGCCTTTTAGTTCCTGAAGCTTGACCCTCATTTAAAGATTGGAACTTCAATTACTCGAGCCAGACGCTGATTGGTTATGATGCACATAATGTCGTTTAGAAGTTCAGTTGGCTTACTTTCTCTATCCAACAGACGAAGAAGTAGAATTGTAGGGGGAAAAACAGAGGAAGTGGTAGAACTAATATGTTTAGTTAGTAGAGCTCGAGGGTAAGTCCGATATCGGATACCGGCCGAAGTGATGCATTATTTCTTTACTTATTGTTGCTTTTATCATTGATGTAACATGACTAATTCTTTGTTTTGAGGGACAATCTTCTTTCACATTGCACTGTAGCAGTCTATTATGATTTTCCAGAGAAGCAGTTTTATCCTTTTCTATATGCATTTTTCCAGAGTATTGCAGAACTACTACGTCTAAATGTTCCGATGGCAATGAAACTAGCATTTGATGGCTTGAAGGATGCAACTTACCAAACAAGAGACACTGCTATAGACGATGTCGGTGGATTTCAATGTGTGGAGTTGTCTGTACTTCTTTGCAATGACGACTTTATTCGGAAGTTGAACAAGGAGTGGAGGGACGAGGACCATGCCACTGATGTTCTCTCTATGTCACAACACGTCCCGGAGCTTAAGCTCCCTATAGTAAGAGTGCTGCTTTATTTGCCAGATAAGCTGCCTCGATGAATGGATACTTGACATATTTCCATCAATTACAGCTTATGCTTGGTGACATTGTAATTTCTGTTGAGACTGCTGCAAGGCAAGCCGAGGAAAGAGGCCACACTCTTCTCGATGAGATACGCATCCTAATGGTTAGTATGGACTCTTTAACCCATATTTTTTTCTGCTCTTTCCTTCTTGGGTTAGATCATAGATGAGGTGGGGAGGGCTAGAAGAAATGAATGGTGATGAGACTCGATCCGAGCTACTGGTGAATGTCAGCATCTATCAATTAGACCATCTCCCATTCTCTCTGAACCCATTCTTTTTTTTTTTCCTCCCTGGATGGACGTCTTTCTTGTTCATAAATCAGTTATTCGAGCTACCTTGCTTCAAGATAGCATAACTTCAGTTTTATTGCGAATGGACTACCTTAGATCGGCCAAAGTCCAAGGTTTCACTAGGTTAGTAATTTCAAGTTTTAGCCTTGATTCTGTATGGAGAGGAGTGTATGATGAAAACCGCCTTGCCATAAGAATGCTTTTCAATGAACTGGATAAAAGTGATGCATTTTTTCCATTTCCCTTGTTCCTTCTTTTAGTTGGGCAGTGATTTGGGAGAGTGTTAGCATGGGGTGACTATCTACTGTGTTCACTTGTTGAAACTTTTTAGGAAAATAAGACGTACGTGGACAACATATACAGATCCTCTCAACCCGGTGAATTGGGGGAAAAGAGTGCACCAATAAAAGGGGAGATGTGTTAAATATAGACCTTGCAATTTTGCAGGTTCACGGACTGTTACATCTTTTGGGTTTTGATCATGAGCTGAGCGAAGAGGCAGAAGCAGAAATGGAGAAGGAAGAGGAACTTCTTCTGAAAAGCCTCGGTTGGAAAGGAAAAGGATTAATTCAAAGTGCATATGACTCTAAGACAGACATAGATCCCCATGCTGAGAATCCAGATGGTAATTTAACTGCTTGATTATTTGACAACCTAGTTACTTATCTTAAGATGTTGCATTGGGATGTAAATTGGTCTTGCTTCCCATGTTAGTTTAAGGAAAAGGCAATCTTACAGCTGATTTGCCAAAAGACAGGAAAAGAGAAGGCAGTCTTCGCTTTTACAAACCAAAATTCAGCTATATCTTCTGCGACATGGATGGTGAGACAGCCCTTCTGTGTTTCTCTACTTCTCTCTTCTTCCATGAACTTAGCTTGTGACGGTATCTTTGACAAATTTTGCTAGGCACACTGCTCAACAGTGAAAGTCGGATCTCTTTAACAAATGCAAAAGCTCTGAAGGAGGCCTTGTCAAGGGGTGTCAAAGTGGTTATTGCTACTGGAAAGGTGCGAACGCGATAGAGTTTGACATTTTCTTTTATCATTTGTTTGAAATAACCACAGTACCTACACCATAGCCCTTTTCTACTAAGATGATACATCTTCCTTCATTTTATAATTCCAAGACACTATTTAAAATTGATTCATTTTTTTGTGAGTTTGGAAACCCCTCCCAGCGTTTTGTTGGTCATTGGATCTCAATCTGTCTTTTGTGATCAGGCACGTCCGGCGGTCATTAATATCCTGAAGACGGTAGATTTAGCTGGTAAAGATGGGGTCATTTCTCAGTTTACTCCTGGTGTCTTCGTACAGGTTAACATCTATTTGTGTTTTGGCCTTTCAGTCCTAGCTTTACAGATAGGTATAAATAGGTTTTTTATGAAGAATGGTTTCTTTTTGCTGACACTTTCACATATCTTGTTTCCTTGTCTTTCTTCAATTGCAGGGATTGCTTGTTTATGGTAGGCAGGGACGAGAAATTTATAGAAGAAATTTAGATCCTGATGTGTGCCGAGAGGTATCTCTTTTGGTGCTTCATTTTTTCTTTGAAAAGATGTCTCTGTCATTGACAATATAAAAGCATCAGATTACTAATATACAGAACTGGAATATAGGAGAAATCAATTAGGTTGGAGCAGAACTGGTGCTAATATTCTACTCGATTTTTTCGTTCCCTAGAATTTGTTGACTATAATGTTTCGTCAATTTTAGTCTCTGACCACTTGCATCATCTTGTTATTGTTTGTTAATCTACTATAGAGATGTCACTCCCAGTAAAATTGCAGGCGTTTATATACTCTCGAGAGCATGGAATTCCACTTATTGCATTCTGTGAGGATCGTTGCTTGACGCTATTTGAACACCCTCTTGTGGACTCATTGCATACAATATACCGTGAGCCAAAGGTAATGTCTTTGAGATTCTTTTTCATCATACCTGAAGATTGGCTGTCCCAGCATATGATAAATCTTATGTCTGCAGGCGGAGATCATGCCCTCCATTGAGGATCTCCTGGGTGCTGCAGTTATACAGGTACAGTGGTACGCTTAGAAAGATAGCAACTGGCAAATATGATCTGACCATTTTACCGATGCACTAAGATCAATACAACTTCGAAATCCCCTTATTACATCTCCAATACTCAGCCGAAACTGCTCTACAAACTCTAATCAAATTTCTGTGTCCATTTATCAAATTTTAGCCCCTTCACAAGTACTATTCTCAGCCAGAACCAAACTTGCAGACCTGTTTACCATCCTAACATGCTGTCCTAGGCCACCTCGTCTCTTGCTTGTCTACCTGAGATGCATCTTTTATCTGCCTATTTTACGGTATTTTGCAGAAAATGATTTTTTTGGACACCGCTGAGGGAGTGGCAACAAATTTGCGGCCATATTGGTCAGAAGCTACTGGAGCTCGTGCTAATGTGGTTCAATCTGTGCCTGATATGCTGGAGATTGTCCCCCCTGGAACCTCTAAAGGGAGTGGGGTCAGAATGCTGCTTGATCATTTAGGGGTTGCTCCAAAAGAGGTAGATTTCCACTCAAAATCTATCTCATTGGATTATTCTACTCCCTTTCTTCGGAGTTTTTGGTTGCTACCCTAGTCGTTTACTAAAGATAATGTGGTGGTAAATAATTTATAGATTTGATCTGTGGCCTAGAGTTCTCAAACTTTTTCAGGATGAAGCTTTTGCCTTTTGCTTCTTTATTACAACTACCAGATGTACAAGGAGGAAGCTAATTGTCAAAGAGGAAAAAAGTCTATAAATTCTACAAGCAAAATTTAAGTAGCACAAATTTTTGTAATTGGAAGTTAGTTTAGATCCATGTGAAGTGGAGAAAGACCTGAAAGTGGCTATCAAGAAGCTTACGGAACATAAAGCATAGTTCGATTGCCAAACTTGTTTTTGTCTTATTGAGTCACTGAAAAAAAGAACTGTTTTCATCTTGCCTGGGCAATGAGATTGCAAATAGGTCATCATGTAGCCTTCTTATCATTCCATTGACAATGCTCTCTCTCTCTCAGGTAATGGCTATTGGTGATGGGGAAAACGACATAGAGATGCTTGAGTTGGCATCTCTTGGCATTGCTCTCAGTAATGGATCAGAGAAGACCAAGGCCGTGGCGAATATAATTGGTGTTAGCAACGATGAAGATGGCGTGGCCGATGCAATCTATCGCTATGCTTTCTGAGGCTCAAACAGAAGTTATTAAAGTTTGAAGACAGAAATTGACAGGTCTACATTTCATGGCTCGGGATGAGCCCCCAATTTTCCCCCATTTGATCATACGTACTACTATGCCTGAGGAACAGAGAAGTGTTCAATAGCGCACAAGATAGAATGAACATGTTCAACTAAATAAGGGTCATGGTTTTCGGTCATTTTTCAAACCAGTTCATGACTTTCCCGGGTCAAATCTATCTCGCCGGATTAGTCTACTCCCCTGTCTTCGGAGGCAACCCTAGCCATCTAGTTTGGTGTTGTCTTGGCCTGGCTCACCGGGCGCCGGGGAAGCCCGAAGTGGCTTCAAGGCTTACGGACTAAAGCATAGTTCGACTGCCACAACTTCAATAAGAGCAACACAAAAGGAAGAAAAACTGATTCTCAAATGGCTATTGGTGATGGGAAAACGACATAGAGATGCTTGAGTTGGCATCTCTTGGCTTTCTCTTCAAAAAAGGCCGTGGCGAATATAATTGGTGTTAGCATAGATGGCGGTCGCATGCTTTCTGGCTCAAACAGAAGTTATTAAAGTTTGAAGACAAAATAAATTCATAGCTAATTTTCGCATTTGATCTACGTTTCCAATGCTTGGAACAGAGAACAATAGGACAATGAAATGTTTAAATGTCAGTTTTTGGCATTTTTCAAACCGTCATGCGACCCTTAATCTGTTAGGGTTATTCACTGCAACCTGATCCTGTTGCCATTCTTTCTGGCCCTTGTTGCCTGTTGAATTCTTCAATGGACTATGAAGTTCGACAGAATAATGATAGGGCTTTTCATTATAGCGGGACAAGGATCCTCTACCCTATTTGGATGAATCATTGATACATTAGTCATAGATCTCATAACTATCCTTACTTACGTGGATGAACAGTTTGAATAAACGAGGCCTTAAATGGAGACACCGACGGGGATACAGGATCTCATCTCATTATAGCATGGGTTATTCAGACTCGTAGTCCGATGAGATTGTCGGACGAATGTTTTCACGGGAACCCAGCAGTAAGTTAAATCTTCATCACCCCTTAATTTTCAGTTGCCGCTAACTGGAAAATGGATGAAATAGAAACTAGACAATCCGTTCTGGCTTAACTCATCAAACATTAATTGAACGATCTCTTTCATGAACACAAGCTAATGTACCAGATGCCATCTACCCACTGTCACCAATTTCTATTTGATTTTTACTAGCACAAGTGTTTTACTACAGGCTTCAGGGTAAGATAAAAACAAGGAGAAGAAATCCAGGCTATAAAATTTGTTATTTTTATGAATAAAGCAAAAGTTCTAGCCTGCCACCGGACTGCAATTTTGATTCACAATTACGAGATGCAGTTGAAAGAGCTTGCGCCCGTGTGTGCACGCAAGTGCGCCCGAGAGACAGAGACAAGTAACTTCCATGCAGAAAAATGAGCTTTCGGAGTGCAAAATCAACATTCCACAGAAATTCACTGCGCATCAATTACCCAAAAAATGCTTCTTCTTCTCTTAAGTGCAGCTGCGCTATGTTATAATTATTACGGTCTGGCCAAAAGAAAACACTCCCAGTATGTACAGGAGACACTCATAAGCTTATCCAGAACAAGTTGCACCATCTTTTGATTAATGCAAGCACCAGGGGCTAAGAAATCATCCATCAGCTCTTAAGTTGTCTAGCTCTCAGGTTGTTTTGTCATAATGTGTATTTCTCCTTGCACACTCGAGGATGGTTTTATCAGCAGTGATGAAGTATGCAGCAATTGAAGCTGTCAATCCAAAAATGAGACTTTCAGTTTTTCGCAACAGAAAACATTCATTCATCCATATTTAGCTCCACATGATGGAGAGTATTTGGCACTGAACTAAGCATATTTATATATTTCAGATGCCATGGTAAATTCAGGAATACCTGCTGATATGATGAGTGCCTGTGCAGTATAATTGAGGTTCGCCTTTGCCCAAGGAACCACTCGGCAAACGACCAACTGAAAATTTGGAGGAAGGAAGCCCCACATGCATCAACACTAGTAACAATGATTAAGCCTTAACAGGAGCTGAAGAAAGGAATACACAAAAGGAGCTTAAAGCAGTTTTAGGCAATCAGCACATTCTCGACATAAATAGAGAAGGAGCATCAACACTCGAGGGATTGAATGGGCATTAACACCACATGCTTATATCTGATGATTTGATTGTTCGGCTACATAATCAATTGATGAAGCAACATGCAATATTGCAGAGTTGAGTTTCTCCTTACAGAAGCATCTTTTATTCTTAGAAAACAGGTTTTCTTTTTGGCACAAACAGAATCGTCATAGAGATAAAGGAAAGTTTAAGCTAGTACCCAATTTTCAAAATAAAAGGACAAGAGATCAGCCAAAATGAACTTTCCTGCCAACAAAGTAGTCCAATTGATAGCGCGGGTATCATTACTTACAGCAAGGATTTTTAGGAACCCAAGTTCCAGGTTCAAAAACCAAAACGAACGACCTAAAACTTGGCTTGTAAAAGCACCAATATCAGGCATTTGAAATCAAGAGACTCCACGACAGAGTATAAAGGATACGCATTTAATGATACTGAAGCAAATCTCACTGTTCCTTGCAACCATTTCGCACCACCTTTATGTTAACACAAGCTACAAAACTTAGACAATGACTCTCCTTTTCACCCGAGTTTATGCAATCCATCATAAAAGAGTTAAGTAGATCCTAAACCACTGGGGTTTGCCCCATTGGCCACCCTTCCTACTTGGGAAGGGTGAGGTGGGAAGTTTGATTCCCCACCTTCTCGGGGGAGGTTAGGGGTGGGGACGTTTAGTTTCAAATGTGAGTTTTGAGAGTTACAGTAGGACACAAAAAAAAAAAAAAATACATGCCAATTTCCATTCTTAACTACGAGTTGAGCTTAAAATTGAGAAATACGTTCAGCTTTTCTGACAAATTTTTCATAAAGAAGTCTGTCAATCGGCAACTAAAGTGTATATCATACACAAATATCCAGAAATTCGACATTCAAGGAACATCTCAGCGCTTATAACCGGCAATTAAGCTATCGAAACAACGTCCCCATTCCTAGCAACTATAGAGCACAAAAGAACTCCACAGCTTATGCCTAAAATCATAGCCGAACAGGACCTTATCCGAAACTATCTCAAGATATCTCCACATTCTACGCGTAAAAAATCACAGTCAAACAGGACATATCCCAAACTATCTCGAGATAATCGCATTCCGTACCGTAGGCACGGCGCTGGTGACGCACGCGATAGCAGCCGCCCTCGCCCCAGCACGAGCACCCTCTGCACATCAAAAGACCCAACACGATCCAAGCCACCAGATCGCATCGAGATCAAACAAACTGATCAGCAACCACACGACTCATTTCAAACACCGTTCGAATGGCAATCATAACCGAGTTCCATAACATCACCACGTCCGGCGAGCAAAAAGCAGCACTTCGAAACAAGTCAATTCCAACAGAACAAACCCAGTTCGATCGGCTTCAATTACGTCCATGGCCATGAGTTTCGCGATGATTCTCGTCATCCCAAAAAGGGATGATCGACAACAATCGATTCTCCAACCGAATTGAATCAAACCAATTCGAAAATGGAATCAGAGAGAGAGAGAGAGAGAGGGAGGGAGGGACCTTGAGTGCAATTCCGAGCGGCTTGGATCCTCCGTTCTTCAGCTGGAGAAGCGATCGGGAACGAATTCATCCTCCGGCTGTTCACCCAGAAATCTCTCATCTCCGATGGAATCCCCATTCTTCGTTTCTTCTGCTTCTTCTTCCCCGTGAACAACTCGCCGCCGCGACCGACCAGGGAAATTTAAAGAGACAGAGAGATGGACGCGAGTGGAGAAATGCAAGTGTGTTTTTGTTTTGTCTCCTCTTCTTTGCGAGGGGACAACGTCCGAAATCGTATTTATATTTATCCGAAAATCAAAATCGCCCTCTTAAACTCCCTCTTATCATTTTTTTTTTTTACGGAATTTGCCGTGGCATCAAAACGCGGTTAATTATTTTCGGAAGTGAAGTTTATAATTTTATCCGCTGATGCGATTTTTTTTTCTTCCAATTTTTTCGGAGTGTTAGACTCTACTTTCCCTCTAGCCAAGATTCATTCTTCTTTTTCCCTCTGATCTTTTTCGAAACTCGACGTGGCCAAAATCATTGCAACACAATGCCCCAATCATTGAGGGGCCATTTGTCTCGAGATTTTCTTTATCACGACTTAAAAAAAAATGGGCACAGTGAGGCGTGAATTTCGCGGCTAAAAAAGATCTAGCAGGGAGTTTCAAGGTCTAGGACCATGCTAAACGTGAGCTCAAATCGAGCGGTCATGGCCATGAATTTGAACTTGAACAACCATGATAGTTGTAAGTTTAGAACTCGAGCTTACAAATATAGCGATCGTTACGAAATGCTCTCTCTTTTTCAATTTTGCCTTTTTTATGTGTTTTGATGTGGCATCATAGCATCTATGTTAGCAATCCATGTCCGCAAAAATCGACCGACAAGAGAAGTATAATGGAAGGACTAATGGTGACCTTTTGAAAAAAAAAAAAAACAGAGGGGCATTTTTAACTTTCGAGCAAAAGTGAAAGGACCTTTTGAAAAAGTAAACAGAGGGGCGATTTTTGGCCAATTGTTAGCAAACTCTCCGCCAGGTGGTTGACCGATTGACTTTTGGTTTGAAAGTTGAAGGTAACAAGTTCGATTTTCCAATCTATCCTCCATTCAAGAAAACTTTGATTTCTCTGGAAGGACGTCCTCCAATGGACTATTGTTATTATGTTGGCATACCCAATACCGTCCGGAAACTGGGGGGAGGCTGACTTACCTTGCTCCTGACTATTTAGTCAAATTTTTTTTTATGTTTGGTGTCGGACCAGATCGAAACTTAAGCTGCAATTCAATTGCATATGAAGCTATATCATTGCAAAACAATATTTATTTATGATTGAATATGCTAAATACTCGATTGTTACTTTCGAATTTACTAACATTCGAGTTCATTCAATTGGGGTCAAATTTTTTAAAGTGACTCGATTTTTTTCCTTCAGGAGACGGGCAGAATGCCCGTGCGTAGTTAGTCTACGGCACGTCTCTTTTGGCACGTTTATGTTGTCTGCCAAAGCAAACTTTAACTTGCCCTCTTATTTTTTTTAATTAAAAGATTCTTTTTTAGCTGATAGAATTGTTCTGCGCGAATGACTTCAAATCTTCAATGAACTAAAATATCAGCCTGCGACCAAAACGAATTAAAAAATAAAATAAAATATGAGCCAACGTTCTCCATTACCGTTATTCTATTTCTATCCACTAATTTATCCCAAACTTTTTTTGTAACGCCATAAAACTTAAGTTTGTATCCGAATGACATATTTACCTCGTCACGGTTTTATTAAAAAATAGTTTGTTAAAATTATGACGTGAATCTCACTCAGCACATCAAAAAAATTAAAAAGAAAAAAAATCAAACTAAAGGAGAGAGATTGCGGATGGTGGCGTCATTGTGTTCCGGCTTTGCCGTCAAGGGCCATCGACCCCCATAGGCAATCAACGAGGTTAAGACCTTAGATCTCACGGATGTGCCTCTATTTGAGTCAAATGTGGAGTTTGCTCCTCATATTGCGAAGTTATTATTTACCGTCTTGAAAGTTATTGTTCATCGTTTTCAAGCTCGCGATCATTCAACCAAAGCTCTTCTGGCGTTGCCCACTGCCGCATGAACCTCCGACGGCGTTTGTCTGCTGTTGCTCGACCACCTGCAAGGTGGTCATCGCTTGCTCTCAAATTTGAGATTTCAAATTTGCGCAAATGAACTAGGAGGGTTGAGACAGAGAGGAGGGGCAAGTCTCTTGAAGACGATGATCTAGCTGCAGGGAGCTTCAAAGCCAGCCATGGCAGCCGCGAGCTTTAAGGTTAGAACTGGCTTTGAAGCTCGTGGCCGCTCGAGCTCACAGCATGGCTCGAGTGAAGGGTTCATCAACGAAAAACAACGCAACGGAATATTGAACCCTAGACAGGATCCATGTGTATATTGAAATCGAAAGGAATTTCAAACGTGCCTTTTACGGATGAATAAATCGGCCAATGATTTTTGGCCCACACAAATCATAAAGCGGTCTCTAGCAAGACATTATAACTACCTAAGTATAGTGAAGGTCGATTTTGCGACACAGCCTAATCTACAACTAATATTAGAGTATCAGCCTTGATTGATTCTCAGTGCGGACCACTAACATCGAGGGTTTGCTAACATTGAGGGAGGGCTTGAGAGTTAGAGGAGAGTCTTGAGTAATCGTAGGTGGTGGGGTTGAAAATATCGATGTCTAAGACAATATAGAGCTCAACCCATGCTTGGATTTTTTTTTTTTTTTTTTGGAACGTATCCATGCTTGGATCATTGCCCGAGCAAATGACGAAGAAGAAGCGTTTCTCGTGTTGTTGATGTACGGCCGCCCCACTCAAGCTCGACACCATCTGGGCCGAGCTCCACTTACTCGCAAGGTCGACAGCCTATGGAGCTCGACGACCCTCACCGGCAAAGTTGGAACGGCTGTGGCACCTCCTACCATATGCAATCTCTCCTCTTGTTTGATTTTTTTTATTCTGCCTTTTTTAGTTTATTTTAAAATCTTTTCTGACGTGGCTCTACATTTGCATCACTTGTCCAAAAACATTAGTAACAACGTCATGTCAAAATGTGTCACCCGAGTATAAATATAAGATTTTTAATGTCACGAAAAAAATATTTATTATAAACATGTCAGATTTTTTATGAAAATATCCCTTAAGTTAATACAGTCTCGCTTACGAGTGTTAGGAAATGCTTTTTCGTGCCTGAGAGAACTTTGTAACATAATTCTCATTAATAAGTACTTCCATTCGGATGACCAATAGCTTTTTTTTTATCTCCGTGTAGAACACCAACTTAGGACAAAAAAGGTTCATTAAACAAAGACAGCCATAAATATCTCCACTCGGATAACAAACCACCTTCTTGTACTCAGAGGTTCCCATGTCCCCAAACAAGAAACTGCATCAACTGCAACAACTCCAACCTCATGTAGACACGCAAGCCCAGTATATTCCAGAAAGAAAGGGGAAGAAGCGACGGACTTTTTCAATACAAAAACAGGGAAGAACCAAAAAAAATCCCATAATGCATTGCGGACATGCCTAAAGACCCTGATCGACTAGATAGTCTCCGAGCCTCTCGACAACCATGTTGCATTGACCAGCTGTCATAGGCTCATCGTATACGCCAATGATCAAGGCCTGATTTGTCTTCTTGACGGTAACACCCCCAGGGCCCTGAAATCGCATGAGATCAACTTAGTTATGTGAAGGACCAAGGGGCGAGGATTGGAAGAAGTATAATATACAGACATAGCAGCCAACAGTACAAGACATGGCAGAGAACAGTTCACTTGTTAAGTTCAGCAGATCGAAACGTCAGAGACTAGAAATTTATTACGCATAAGTAAGCACTAAAGGAAAAGTACGTCAAGCAAATTTACATGTTCCAAAGTAAGAGGCAAAAATTGGTAATGGTTCCAGCAAAACCAGAAACCACTTAAGGCCTAGCTAAAAAGGAAATTTACAATGATCTTACTCCCTTAATCATTAACAGAAGATTGAGGGGGGAATTCATTCTCCACAAGATTTGCGCTTTGAGTCAATTAATATAATTCAGCTAGACAATTACTATGACGATTCAACTGATTATGAGCATCACAAAATCCATTCAAGTGATATCCCTGTCGCCACTTGGAAGCAAGGCAATAAGTTGAAATCTGACACAAAGCAAGAAACAACATTTTTAATCTTATAACATGAAAAGGATAAGCATCCCATGTGATGCCTCAACGACAAACTTACCTTCTTGCCACGGATAACAGCACCGGCTTCGCCTTGGATCACCATGTACTTTGTGCCACCAAGGTACAAACCAGTGGGTGCAAGCGACCCAGGCTCATCAAAATCACGCATTATTCCAGCTATCTCTTCAGGCTTAAACTGCAGAGCAACACACAGCCAAAAAAGTCATATTCATAATTCCAATAAGAACGGGAAGATTTCAAAAATTAAAAAGGTGAGAGGGTAATCATGTCAATTCTGTCCAATGTACAGTCCTCTTGTTTGACTGGATTGCTTTATGCCAAAAAAGATTATAACCTGATAAAACTTACTTAAAATAATAATGCTTTTCATAAAATTTCATGCTAACTAACTGAACACGTGGAATATGCAATATTTTTCGTATCCAATGTGTTGACATACGCAATGCTTCTTTCGCAGGCAGAAAGTATTATCTACTTGAGCAACATGTGCAACGCGAGTGAAAAGGGAAAAAACCGATACTTGTATCGAGATAAGACAACTTGAAACCTATACTCATCAAACACTAAGAGAGAACGCACGATCATTAGGGGAGAACAATTTTTATAGTCTTTCATTCCAGTCTCGTAATTGACAATCCTTCCGATCTTTCATCATGTAGACGAGGCAATCCAACCTTTACAGTTCACACACGCGTGTGCATACCAACCAATAAAATCCTGCCAATTGACACTCACTAATCAGATGAAACGATGCGCCTCCAAGAGGATACACCGCCAATCTTCAGCCTAATTACCTCCAACCTTTCTCCTTTAAGTCGATTGGATTTCCTCGCGTGCTAGAACGTTAATCAAAGAACACGTAACACTGGATCTAGTAAGGTCATCTATCAATGGCCAGTCACGACTAGTTGGCCTCAAGTTACAATCCCACATTGCTCTCGGTGATTCGCGCACCATTCTTCTACGACACGGATACAAAACAGTATCAACCACAACACAACACCGATCATCATCATCTCCTCAAACTTCCGCACGGGATGTGAAGTGTCGCACATAACTCCGAAGACTACATCGCACAAAAACACGGTCGCTGATCCGGTCAAAAGTCCATCTACAGACACGCCTGAATTCCACCACACCGTACTCACCAGTCACAGTCGAATCCGACGCGCATAACCGATCGAATCATAATCACACTAGCACAGATCTTGCTCCTCCGCCCATTCAACACTCGATTCCACAAAAGAAACTCGTCAAGCGCAAGCGACAACCGCCGAAATCACACAGATTACCAGGAACCTATCGGAGACTCCACCGCCACCACAAGGAAACACAGAATCAACAGCCCGATCAACGGATCCCGAAGCGAGAAGGCGCGTAAGCAAGCGAGAGAGAGAGAGAGAGAGAATGAACCTGGGGGAAGCTGGTGCTCTGGGCCCAGACGTTGCCGTCTTGGCCGATGATGGCGGCGGAGGTCAGGTGGTTGCCCTCCATCTCGCACATCAAGTGCTCGTCGACGTACTGTTGCCACGACATCTTCGTTCGCTAGAGAGAGAGAGAGAGAGAGAGGGGGGGGAGAGGGGGAGGGAGACGGTGGTGGTTTTGGCTTAAGAGCTCTCGGTTTTCGACAAGAAATGGGAAGGGAACGGGGGGAAGTTATAGCGGAGGAGAAAGAGGGGGGGTTGCGTCGAATTAAGCTTCGCGAAGGCGCGTGGGGCGCGTGCCGCGCGCGCGCGTGGGCGATGACCGATGAGGAGGCTCTCCTGATTCAACATCTCCAGCGTGGATTATTCTAAGGTGCTCTGTCCTTCTTTTTGAGCGGGACCCACTCCGACCTTTCAAAAGGGGCTTATTATTTATGTACCTTTAAATTGATAATTGCTCCGCCATTTCTTTTTTCCTGAAAAAAATGAAAAATGGAAATGGTGCGAGCGCGCGACCAATTCATCGAAATCGTGAACAGGAACAACAACGATGTTTTCACAGGAAAAAGGTAAAGCAAATTCTATTATTTTAAAAAAACGACATATCTATTCTTAATCATTGTATGGTACCAAACCTTTTCATAAGCCCATTTTAATTAACTATATTCAATTAAATCAAATTTTCTTCTACTTAAAATTTGCAAAGGGGGATGTGCTTGCGCTCATGTGGGTAATGCTCAATGCACATGAGCATCCGTCCTCCACACTAAAAATAAAGAAAAGGAGATAGGAAGTAATCATAGCAAAGGATTAGAATGGAAGATCTTTAGAAGGTTTAAAAGGCCTTGCATTATCTTGTTTGATATACAAAACCGTCTATACAGAGAAAATAAAAATACTAGGTTCTACACAGATTTCAGTTAACTAGGTGCCATTTTATAAATCAAGGAACTGATTTTTTTTGCTGTCAAATTATTTATGAAAAAATGCCAATGTCCCATGTCTAAACTACTATCAGAGAGAGAGAGAGGGAGGGAGAGAGAGAGAGAGCTTATTCTAAGTTCTTTAAAACCACTGATGTTACAAAGCATGCTGCAAAAGAGCAGGAAGGATGTAAATAAGTAGAAGTTCTTTAGAAACCACTGATGTTACAAAGCAAGCTGCAAAAGAGCAGTAAGGATGTAAAGAATCAGCTCTATTGATTAATGACTTAAGCCTAGTTTCTTACAAAAAGATTTTCCGTTTCTCCTGCTGATGCTATTTTCTAAGTAGAAGAAAGCAGTAATTCACAATCACTTTCCAAGCTACCAGAAAGAAAGATCATCTGTTCAACCGGTAGCTTCTTCCTCTAAAAGCCGTCCCAGTTGCCATCTCTGGTTGCGAGCGAACTTGCGCCGGCTGTCCCAACCGCAATCTTGTGACGAGCTTGTGTCTGCTTGAGGTCAAGGAGCTCACCATCATAAGGATTAAAGTCATATGCCAAAGTCCAATCTCTAGTTTTCAGACAGAATTAGAACATACTGCATATGCTTGTAACATTTATGATGCAGTTTCAATTTTTAACAACAAAAGGGATTATAAACAAGGCATTTCCAATTAAACAAGTATTGGGCCATTTACAATCCCATTTCACCTTTTGCATGCATTACACTATCTAACCATGGAAGCAGACATAATATCTAATCATTATGCTAAATTATTTAAAAGAGCAAAATAAACACAGTTTGACATTTACAGGTGACGATGTCTTTTCAGAAAAACTTTGCTTGAGCAAATATGAGGACGGAGATCAAAGAACCTTCAATATCCTTCGAACTCCAAATGGAATACACAATAAATGCATGCAATGTATCAGGAATGCAATAGCCAATCATAATCACCCTGTCCAATCTCAAACCATTAATGGACTGGATTCTGCATGGCCCTTTTTCTGTTTGCAGCTAAAGGATGTGCCAGACCTAGGGGTACGACACTTCTTTGCGATCTGTTTTTAATGATATCAGATGGCTGGACTAATAACACTCACTGGAAAGCCAGATATTTATATTAAAGGAAGAGCTCCCAAAATACCTCTGACCCTTATTTCTAGCTACCTTTTCTTCCTAATTAAATATGATGCAAAAAAAAGGATACACCCATCTTGGAGTTCTTAGCATGTCCTTCCCACCAGCAAGAGGATGCAGCACGGTCAGGAAGTAATAGAGATGTCCAGCAAGGATCCCGAGAAGGTCTGGCAACATAGGTGAACCGAATATAACATCCAATGCAAGCATAGCCCATGGTAGGTAAAACGCCTGCAGAACAAAGCGAAACAAGTCTCTTATTCCGTACCAAGGGACCGGCATACTGACAATTGAAGTGATACTGACAGTGAAAAACTAGCCATTTTTACGGAAGCTGACAACATACCTTCAGAGCTACCAGTCCGTAAATGTTGACTTGCGCATTTGGAAACTCTCTACTCCATACGTATAGAAGCATGAAAACCAAAGAAACCCCCAGGAAGGGAGTCCATAGTATAGGGATGGCGGCTAAAACCTAAAGCACAAATTAATTACAAGAAAACTGATGAATCAACCATTTAACTGGTGTAAACCAAGAATTGCAACAAATGTTTATTAAAGAGAATGCGGACCAATAAGGAGAACGCCCCAAAAATCATCATCCATAGGAAATCTGCTGTTCGCCTTTCAAATGGGCCCTTCTCAAGTTGAACTCCATATCTGGCTCTGCAACAATGAAAGATAGCAGTCTAAAAAACTACACAGAACAAAGTAGGTTTGAAGTGGCAGTTCTCCAACTAGCCTAAATTACCACAACAACAGATGTCTATTTCTACTGGTAGGACGTGACTTATCAGCCTATAATGCTAGATAATAATTTCATAAATCCTTAATCGAGCAGACACATACATCACGAGTAATGGATGAACTACAACAATTTACAAAATACATTTTTATACATAATCTATGAGGCACTTACATCATCAACAGACGAATTCCAAAATTAACAGAGAACTTCCCTAGGAAAAAGAAATTAGTGAAAAGCCGCCAGACCTACAAAATGAATAAAATGTCTGTCAGATATTCTACTTCAACCTGAGAAACAAATACAAGTGGAAACGGTGTGTCGAGATCAACATTATAGCAAAGACAGAAAATAAAGACACGAAGGAAGAAATGTAATGACAAGTAAATAATTGGAGATGAAGATATAGACAAACTTCATAAGGTACTCTTAGAAATCAGGCATCTTCTAAACATCTAATTAAAAATAATATCATCAGAACATAAGATAAGTGTCTGCATGGTAATTCCCTCCTTGATTTACAAGTGATGGTTTCTCTCTCACTTGATTTAAGAAACTTCGATAACCCTTAATCCCTTAAAAGCAAGCTGGTTGTTTATGGGCAGGCAATAGCCAGAACCTTCCTGCTAAAAGTTAGAAACTAACTCCAGGGAAACAGATTGTTGTCTCTGCTAAAAAAGTCAGAACATAACTTCAGGGAACTAGACTGTTTCTCAAAAAAACAAGATGACGAAGGTGCCGAATTACAAAACTGGCTAGTGCATGATATGGGTACAATCATAGCGAATATGGTACAAACTTTAAAGTTTACTGGCAGAGATATCTAAGAAAATCACCCAACAAAATAAGTGTATTAATAAAATATGTGAAGAAGAATGGAATTCATTTAGACATAACCCACACCTGGAATTGTTTGAATACTGGTTCATACATTAATGCAGCGTAGTAAGGATTGAACAATCCCAAATGAAATGCCACTGTTGTTGCTACGCATATGGTTCCAAAAGCTTTGCTTATTGGCGGAAGCGAATTGTAGAATCTGAAACAGATGCAGAGAGAAATATAAGGCATTATTCCTCAACACCGGTCAAAATCCGACAAAAAAATAATCTACTCAAAATGAGTGCCATTTTGTCAATGTTTTAAAATCCAACAACAACAATAGAACTATAACATCTCGGCATTAGTAAAGTAGAATAGAGCTGAACAGCTCTATCCCTAGGTCCTGACTCCTAACAATAAGAGATACACATTAGTGTACTTCTTGTCCCAGAACAGAAAGCCCAATGATCGAACATGTGGACATTCTCCTAACCTCGTGAACTTGGGCACTAAAACGACAGTGCAGTAAAAATGTCCTAAACGTAGCATCCATTACAACAAATTTTCAAATTTCCTACAGCTTCCCAGATATTACCCACGGGTGATCCCACGAGAAAAGTTGTGTCCCACAAGACAATGCCATTAACAAACAAGAAGACTTGCATCCATTCCAGAAATGTTATGGATCGTCTATTCCTTATCGCCATTGAACAAGACCTAGCCTTATTCCACCAACTTTCAGCATGCAGATTCTTGCGCCTACCTCTGATTCACAGAAAACCCATCCAAGCACTAGCGTGAAATTTTTTCCTATCAAATCCCATATGCAATCAAATTCTCATCTTGGCCTTCGATAAGCCTAAATCCCGAAATAAACTGCGGGACCTTCCCAAACCAACGATTCGAACATTCTCAGTTAAATTCCCCAGCATGACCCAGTGATCCACTATTTTTCCCCATTCGAAGCTCCCGAATCAATTTTTTTTCAACGAATTCGAGCCAAGGAAACCAGTAAAACCGCCATGAAACTACACGATGCTCGAGCTGACGGCGACCAGATGCAGATGCGGACGAATGCAATGATAGACTGCGAGCACGACGTATCGTGCAAAGCAAAAGGAAGAGGATATGGAGAGAGAAGTTACTCTGCCGGAGACGACATCGGAGCGAATTGAGAATCCGATTCCGGCGACCTTCCGCTTCCGCTTCCGCTTCCGCTTCTAGTGCTTTCTTGAAGGAGGAGGAGGAGTTGGAGTTGGAGTTGGAAAAAGCGAAAACGTTTCGATATCAATTTAACAAATCTCGTCTGGAAATTTAATATGACTTGTCGCGGAGATGATGTATGACGGACCAATCATATTCTGCTTATTGGGCATGGACACGCTGTAATTACGGTTTCTTTTTTCTTTTTTCTTTTTTTTTTTGTGACTTCACCTCCTGGAATTAAAAAGAATTAGCCCCGAACCTTCTGCACAAAGTTCAATCAAGTCCTCTAAATATTTCTTTTGTCAATTAGACCCTGAATACAATCCTTTTCTGCGAAGTCTCTACTTGTATTTTTTAAAAAATGATTGAAGAAAACCAGCAAGCGATGTGTTTTCATATCTGAAGCTTCGTTTATTTCACTGAAAATAAATAATTTAGAAAATATTTTTCTTAAAAGATAATTGCTTATAAAAGCGGATGAACGAAAAAAATTTCGTCGTCTATGAAAATATTTATATATAAATTGTTGTCGATAATGAAAATATTTTTCATCGCCTGACCATTTCAAGCAATAAATTTCAAATAATTTATTTTTCACGAAACAAATGGGATCTAAAGTAATGTTCTTGCACCTAAAAAGTCCAACAGTAATTGATCATGGGCAGGCTTTGTGTACCTAAAGTAAGTAGACGTCCAGTATATTAGAATTGTGTATCGAGTTTTGTTGATCAAGTACATGCATGGGTTTTTTTTATTGAATTTTGGGGTAATACCATGAAAAATCCCAAACTGGTATACTTATGATAATTTTACCCAAAACTAATTTTTTGACTATAAAAAATTCCGAACTGGTACACCTGTAATAAATTTACCCTAAACTAATTTTTTTACCGCTAAAAATCCAAAACTAGTACATTTGTGATAAATTGACCCTCCATTAGTTTCCGTTAAATTGGATTAATACCACAAAAAATCACAAATTGGTACACTTATGACAAACGGAAGGTAAAACATAAAACTGGTAGGTCAGTTAATTGCCGCGTGTCATTTAACAAAGCAATTTGACAGTAAAATTTAACGTAAACAAACCGAGGGTAAATTTGTCACAGATGTACCCGTTTGGGGTTTTTGGTGGTCAAAAAATTAATTTGGGATAAAATTGTTACGGGTATACCAGTTTTGAGTTTTTCGTGATATTAATCCTAGAATTTTCTTTGAAAAGTTTGAAATTGAAGTGGCCATTGCATTTGTCTAGTCAAAAGTATACACTATCTCAACTTCTTTATCACTCGTCTCGTGTTATTCATTTCAACATACACAATTTGCATTTTTATTTTTCAAAAACCTGCCTCGGAAGATGCACGAAGTAAAAAAAAAAAAAGTCATAATGATTATCCAGAAAGTCATAAATCTACCATACGATAACCAATTTAGTTTTAATTTTTTTAATTTGGTGAATTTAGTTCTGAGCATTTTGACGATTTGTCGATGTAGTCCTTTTTGCCAAATTTGATTGGAAGTCACTAATGTGGACAATTTTTTCATTTTATTATTTTTTTGGATTTTTTCTTTCATTTCATTTCCTTTTCTCATCTTTCCTTTTTCTTTTGGGGCTAATTAAAAAAAAAACACCAACTTTACATTGAATGACATCTCTGGCTCGAACTTTTTTTTGTCTCAATAAAAAGCACCAATCTTTACTCGAATCCCAAATCTGACCCCTGTAATGTCAAATTTTCAAATTGTTCGGGCTAAATTTAGGATTTAATTGAAAGTTAGTGATTTTTTATGAGACAAAAAAAAAAGTTAAGGCCACAACTGTCATTCAAGGTAAAGTTGGTGCTTTTTTTTTAATTGAAAATAGGCCTTTTCTTTTTTCATTTGTTCCTATTTCCCTTTGTCGGTCTTGAGTCTCGACGATGGCTGGTAGAGGTTGCTAACCGTTGACAAAGGCCGCAACACCTTCACCTAGGCTAGGGAAGGGAAATAAAAAAAAATCACAAATTTTTAAACAAATTGCAAGAATTGTCCACATGAGCGATTTCCAATTGAAATTAGTCGGAATGACTATATTGGTAAATAGTAAAAAAGTTTGGTATTATATTGATAAATTGTCAAAAGATATATGACTAAATTGACTGAATTACAAAGTTTAAGACTGAATTGGTCGTCATATAATAGATTTGGAACTTTTTAGACAATTTTTTTTTTTAAAAGTGCAAATTTGGAAGATAACAACTAGCGTTGAATTCGGATTATATTTTAAGGGTTTATACCATGAAAAATCTCAAATTGGTACATTATTACAAATTTATCACAAACTAATATTTGAATCACAAAAAATCTCAAACTGGACAAATTTACTTCAAACTAATCGTTGGGTCATCAAAAACCCTAAATTGGTATATTATGACACATTTACTTTCATTAGTTTCCATCAATTTTTAGCGTGAAATTATTGAGCCGGATGACACGTGGCAGTAACTCAGTTGACATGGCAAGTCCATGTGGAAATCCCCACCTCTCTCTTTTTGTTTCTTCAATTAGCCCTAATTTGAAAACAAATAGGGCTCATTCTCTGTCTCTCTCAGAGCACGATAAACCTAGATCATCTTTCGATGAACTTCGTTGATAGAGTTGGAAAATAACGTGTTTCTCTTTAAATCACTCCCAATTGAAGTTGTTGAACATCCTAATTTGGTGATTTGGATGAGTGGCCAAACAAGCTCGAGAAAAAAAAAATCAAAGGCATTGTGCTTGAATGAGTTCTGATACCTAATCACAAAGATGAAGACGACGATGAAGGAGTGTGCTTGATGAAGAGAAAGACAAAGAAGGATTGGAGTGCAGAGAGAGAGAGAGAGAGCCCTATTTGTTTTCAAATTAGGGATAATTGAAGAAACAAAGAGAGAAAGTGTTGTAAATTTTCACGTGAATTTGTCACATCAATGAAGTTATTATCACGTGTTATCTAGCTTAATAATTTCACTATAAAAATTGGCGGAAGCTTGATGAAGGTAAATGTATCACGGATGAACTAATTTGAGATTTTTGGTGACCTAAAAATTAGTTTGAGGTTAATTTGTTACATGTGTACTAATTTGAGATTTATGGTGATCAAAATATTAGTTTGAGATCAATTTGCCACAGGTGTACTATTTTGGCGTTTTTTATGACTCAAAAATTAGTGTAGGGTTATTTTTTCTTATCGTTTCACAAATATGTAACTTTACATGAGTATTTTTTAATTTGATTATGTCTGTAACCATTGTAATTAAATTAAACTATAAGGTGAATCATTGTAATTTGATCATGGCCTCGTTAGCACGCGACATTGACGGGCTGTGCATGCCCACGCGAAACCTGGTTTTATATTCTTTTCTTATTCTTTAAATTAATTAAAAATTCAATCAATAATTAAGATGCCAATTAATACAAAAAAAATTGTTATGCCCAGTCACTGTTAAAAAAAAAAACCGGGGGCCATTTCTAATGTGAGGTTTTGGTTTACAACCTAACAAGATTGCATAATATGAGACGATACGTTTATTTATTTTTACCTTTAATTGTAAGAAAATTTCAATGAATACATTAAATCTAAAAAATAACGATACTGAGGTAATTTTTTCACAGGAAAAGAAGTATACAAAAATGTCAAAAACTTTAATTTCCTTTTTTTTCGTCTTTCTTGCGATTTTCTCGAAGGTTCCCTAGGGGACCAGTTAGCTAAAATCCCCGCGGACGACGCCACCCACCGTCACAGAAATCGAAATGCCGCGCCAACAGGATTCTGCTCGAAACGGCAAGTGTGCGGCCGCAGTAAACATGCCGATGGCGCTCCACGTCACTCCGCACAACCCTGTCGACTGGCGGCGGAGCCTCTACTACTTCCTCCCGAGGTCCGCAGCCTTCGCCTGCGCCTTCCATGGAACTCCTCCCGCTCGCTTCAATCCGCCGTCGCGCATCGATCGTCGGAATCGGACGATAGTCTTCTTCGAGACCAACCCCCTCGGTAGCCTGAACGAGCCTCGAGGAGACCGGTGCTTCCTTCTTCCGGAGCATCGCGAGTTTTGAGGTTGGAGCCGATGGATCCCTCGAGCGATTCGCGCTTCAAGGTGATCACCGGCGATGCCGGTTACGTGCTCGAAGACGTGCCTCACCTGTCTGATTACATCGCCGGCATTTCGGTACTGTCTTTCACTATTGAGTCTGCTAGTGCTAGGTAGTGTCAAGGAATGTGCTTAATTTCAGCTATTAGCTCGTTTTCATGGCATTCAATAGTGATCACACTCCCAATCTCGGATTGTTTGATAGAGACTCGGGTTTTTGGACAATCGGTTTTGGAAAAACCGTGGCCAAGTACATGTACATGTGTTAGTGGTGTTTATGTGCTTGTATATTGTGAAGAATGAACTTATGTCCGCTGCGTAGTTGAGTTGCTAAGGTTGCAACTTAACTTTCGGTTTTAATCGACTTAAAAATCAGATTGAACGGGGAACTTGTGGGGGAAATCATTGTCCAGCAACGAAGATGGATTGAACTCATATCGATCCTCTGAGGGAGCAAAAAGCTCTTATGTAGCTTCATGTGTTCGCTATAGTCAAGATGAATTGAGTGATGACACTAGTTAGTCCAATTCAGCATTAAGTTAGATGTAGAGGTGAATTTAGACATCGCATGCTGACTTTTGGAATATCACCTACCCACTGGTTAACTAAGCCGTAGCATATATTCAATTTAATTAGGCAAGTGAGAATGACTGTATGAATTGGCAGTAGCAAGTGCTTCTGGACAGTAAAAAATTTCAAGGGTGATGAGATGATGCTTTTTAATTTTCAGGAACGGTTAGAAGTTGCCACTGAACTTAGACAATGTCTATATTCACGCATATTTCTAATCTTCTTCTGAATAATGCATAGATTTTTAGGTTTCAGTTGTTTCACAGAAAATGAATTATTCGGAAAACATTTTCCTTAAAAATGATTACTTGTATTGTTTGAAATAATAAGTCAATGAGAATTTTTTCATTATCAACAACAATTTATGTCTAAACATTTTCATGGACAATAAGAATATTTTTCTTTTATACATTTTTGTAAGAGATAGAAGCGATTATTTTTAGAAAAATGTTTTTCAAATCAATTCATTTCCGCGAAACAAATGCACCCTTAATGAGCTTATGGCAGTATGAATATGGGTTTAGTGGAATTGCATTCTTCAGCATAGCCCCCTTTCATTATATACTAATTTAATCTGCCTCTCCCTATTTTTAAATTGCAGACATATCCCAATCCATTACAGTCCAACCCTGCATATTCAGCGGTCAAGTGAGTGGGAGTTTCTTGTTTATTTATCTAATAGAAATTTCTTATTGATAATTCACTCGTTTTCATTGCTTATGACTGTACATATTCTTGTCTAACGCAGGCAATACTTTGTGAACGTGGATGACACTGTTACTCAAACTGTAAGTTCTTCTATTGAACTGGATTATGATCTGTCTTTCGGGGAAAAACATATTCTGCTTCTTTAGGTGCACCAGCAGTCCTCAATAGCTACTGGAAAATTTTCTCTTTCTTGCTAGACAACCAATATATTCAGGTCTTGGGTGTTTTAATTGATTGTAGCCATAGATGATTTGTGGATAAATGTAACAATTAGTCTTGAGTTTCAAGTTTTAGACCATTCATTCTAATCTCTTTCTTGAAACGTCGGTAGATCGTTGTTCACAAGAGCAGTCCAAGAGGGACTCATTTTCGACGTGCTGGTCCTCGCCAAAGGGTATGTATGACACTGCAAATTATCTTGGAGCTGTAAGAAGTGATAAGTCATTTCCCTCATTTGTAATGTATGAACCGGTCAGGTGTACTTTGAATCAGATGAAGTGCATGCATGTATTGTGACATGCGGGGGACTTTGCCCGGGGGTGAACACGGTGATCAGGGAACTTGTGTGTGGCCTTTACCACATGTATGGTGTCAGCAAAGTGCTGGGAGTGGAGGTGAGTAATCATGTCATTGCATGCTTCTAGCAGATTATACTTATTTTCCAGATATGACAGCTGAATCAAATGATGTATGTCGGGGTTATTCCTTTTGATTCTCTCCTTAGTCCTTCCATTTATGCATACCTGATCCTTTTTCTGCTTTAAACGAATAACTGTTTTTTGTGGCAAATCATTGGAATAGAAATTGGTCAGTCATTAGAGAACGAAGATATGGGCTGCATAGCTTCATATTACCTGATGTGCAGAAGAAATCTAGAGATGGTGGAAATGAAATTGTAGTGGTTAGGGGAGTAATTGGGTTTTAGAGTAAATGCTCTGCTTTGGGACCATCGGTACTTGATGGATTATAAATATCTGTAAGCACACTCCGGACATCTCTTGGCCAAATCGAGGATCCTCCATGCTGTTTACATGAGAAGGAGAACATTCTCATTGCATTGAGGATCCTCCGCTGTTTACATGAGAAGGAGAACATTCTCATTGCATTGACAACATTTACTACATGGACATTGTCAACATCACCCTGCAGATGAAGTTTCATATACTCTCTGTCGTAGTTTTTTCTTGCATGCAAATCTTGCTATTTAGTATATGGTATTCTTAATTGACAATCTTAAGATTTCTACATATAGGGAGGGTGCAAAGGTTTCTATTCTAGAGATTACATTAATTTAACACCCAAAGTGGTCAATAACATACATAAACGTGGAGGTACCATCCTAGGGACGTCACGAGGTGGCTATGATACCCAAAAGATAGTTGATAGCATTCAGAATCGTGGTGTTAATCAGGTCAGTTCAACGTATTTTGTTTCTTAACCTTTCTCGAGTTCTTTTAACCCTTTTTCCCTTTTTTCTTAATGAACTTAAGTTTATTTAATTTCCTTGAATGCTTCAAATGACTGTTGTTTATGATGGCCCAGGTTTATATCATTGGAGGTGATGGAGCTCAAAAAGCAGCGGAATTAGTTTATGAGGTAGAGTTCTGTGTTGCAGGATGTGATTTATGCATTTTGTGTTGCCATTTGTCTGACAGACTCAAGTGTCTTGATCAACATTTTCAATAAGTAGATGGCATGATTTGTTGCATAAATTCACATTGGTTTCTTCAAATATGAGTCTATTGCCCTAGCTGATGCTCCACTAGGGGTTCTTACAAATTACAATTCCGTGATGCGACTCATTCTTTAATGCCTTGATAGTTTGGACAGTTGTACAAGTCTCCTTTATTCTTACAGAAATGTGGTATAGTACTATTCTCCGCTTCTCTATCATTTGCTTGGTTCCTAAGATCATGTCGAAAAGTTTGCTTAGCCAGTCTAGTCTCGCCTTCTCTATACTTTTCCACACTTGCAATCAGGATTGGTCAGATTTGACTGCCTTTTCATTCCAACTTTTTGAAACTGGTCTTAAGGAAAAGGTCCTCTCCTTAAGACCTTTTTGTTCCCATCTTTAATCCACCTGACTCCTAAATCTCCAACTGCATACACAGAGAAAAGAACCATGAGATTACTTGCCTTTTTGGAAATGTAAAATGTGATATATGCATCAAGTTTTTTAGCTAATGAGGAAAAGCATTTTTAATCTGCAAATTTCTCATAGAATCTAGAAACGATCTTTTTATGTTTTTTTTGCATCACATACTGTACATTTCAAGTTATATTTATTGAACCCTCCATTAGGCTTGATTTTTTGTGCTAATCTTTTGGGTTTTCTTCTGAAAATGAGGGTATTGACATAATAGCCTTTCTGGTGTATTTGGGTTTGACTTTGAAATGAAGCATGTCCTGCTGGTGAATAATCATGGAGAAACCTAATAATTAAGAACATTGACATACTTTCTAACATTCGTCAGTAAAACTGTATTTTTCTAGTTTCTCCTTTGTCAGTTTAGTTTTTGATGACCTTAAAAAGCAGAGTTTTTTTGGGAAACAGTGGATTAATAACGGTTGCTTTCATGTCCTCCTTATGTTTATAATGTGCCATCAACCTAAAAATATGGTTAGAGCTACTTGTCATTAACTACTAAAATTTGAAAGTTCCATATTTACCGCTCAAATCAGTGCCATTGATGCGAATGTTCTGGAACCATCACCTTTATGGTGGGGCATTCTCCACCTCTCTACATTTGATATAATGCTTATTCGTACATCTTTTGTCTGGTATAAATCACTAGTGTAGACGTCTTCTCTTGTCAGGAAGTTAGACGGCGTGGCCTCAAAGTAGCTGTTGCTGGGATCCCCAAAACCATAGACAATGACATCCCGGTACTTGCTGTCGACAACTTTTGGAGGGTTCAGCACAACTAGCTTGTTCTGTCCTAACTTTAGGATCATCTGTTTTATTTATTCAGGTCATTGACAAATCGTTTGGATTTGATACTACTGTTGAGGAGGCTCAGCGTGCGATTAAAGCTGCTCATGTGGAAGCTGAAAGTTGTGATAATGGTATCGGAGTGGTGAAATTAATAGGACGTCAAAGTGGTGAGACTCATATGCCTTGTCGAAACTCTGGATTTTTAGTCTATGCACATTCATCTTGCAGCCAGTGTTTATCCAGAGCTTCCTTTGTCATATCAACAACATTTCTTACTTTTCAGCCCTCTCTTCGTAGTTTTTCTTTTAATATCTTGTTGGGGTTCATCTTTCAGGTTTTATTGCTATGTATGCTACTCTAGCCAGCAGAGATGTGGATTGTTGCCTCATTCCAGAGTCACCGTTTTTTCTTGAAGGAAAAGGTGGTCTTTTGGAATATATTAAGAAAAGGCTTCAAGAAAATGGACACATGGTTATTGTGATAGCTGAAGGAGCAGCAGAGGGCTTAATCCTGAAGAACCAGAAGACCAGAATTCAGCTAGAGGGTTTAGGAAGCAAGCTATGTAGTGATTTTGGTTTATGGATATCTCAGAGAATAAAGGTATTGTTTGATTATGGACTATAGTTCTATGGTGATAATTATGATACCAACTGTACCAACAAGATGCTTGAGTATATCTTCTTCTTTTTCAAAATCATTTCAAGCCCCCTGTTTTGTGACACCATGTATCAATTTCTCGTGAATATAGGATCATTTTGCGGCTCAGGACATTATGCCTATTAACCTCAAATTCATAGGTTGCTCCTCTACCTTCTCTTCCTCTCTTTTTGTCTTTTATTATTTTGTTATATCTTTTTTGAGCCTAGCTAGATAACCCTGGAATGAATTTGAACTTATCATAGTGTTTTGGCAGATCCTACCTACATGATCCGGGCTGTTCCAAGCAATGCATCTGACAATGTTTACTGCACACTTTTAGCACACAGTGCAATTCATGGAGCAATGGCCGGATATGCGGGCTTCACCGTCGGACCCGTCAATGGGAAACATGCTTACATTCCTTTCAATGTATGTTGATCAACATTTTGTACCTAGTACTGCTGTGCATCGACATCCAATTACTTCAAGAAGCACCCCACTGCTTTATATCTAGGCACATGTGAAGCCATCTGGGCCAGATTCGGATCCTGTTCTACTTTGATTTAATATAAACGTAAAATAGTGATACCACTGAATCGATAATTTTCCCCTTGTCATCACTGTATTCTGCACTGTGTTTTGTGTCAACAGCGTGTGACTGAGGCGCAGAAGAAGGTTGTCATAACCGACAGGATGTGGGCAAGACTGCTTTCTTCGACCAACCAGCCCAGCTTCCTGGGTTCTAGAGATGTTGAAGCCAAGAATGAGGAAGAGCCATCAACACCGTTGCTGGATGGAGAGAACTCTAAAGATGAAACTGGCACTAATGACGTTGCCACCGTTCTGTAACCCGTATATGGCAGGTTGGCTTCCTTTGCCTCCTGCAACTATATGCTGTGCATCATATGTTGAAGTTATGTATGTCTTGTATATATGACTTATGTCCTACATTCTCATAAACACGGAGTATGTGGATTGCGTTTCTACTCTGGGATATAGTAAAGCATAACTAGTGCTGTTGCTCGAATCGTTGCCAGCTCTGTTTTACCTGTTTTGCCAGGACTTTTACATTTTGTACATTTTGTTCATCCAGTTTAAGACTTTTTGCATAGTTTTCCCACATAGCACGACCCCACGCCGGCGTCGGTCCAGCTATTCAGAACCACCTCCGTGAATTCCAAATCTACAGGAAATATGATGAACAGTGCAACATTAAGGGGCAAAAGTGGAATACAAAAGTGAGGGCAAAAGTGAAATAAAAAACTTCATTAATTCTGAGCTCCAGCATTTCGAAAATGCTAGAATGCCCAATATTAGTCTCTAATGGCCTAGCGAAAAAAGCCTTTGGAAGACTTCGGAAATGCATTGCATTTTTCAAATAGGCTTTCAATTTTCCTCACCAAATACTTTAGCATTTGCACAAGGGTCTTTAGGGACATAAATGACTTTGGGAATGTGTTCCCAAATGCTCCCTAACCATCTCAGATTGATAGATGGTTTGGGAAAAATTATTATTTGTCCTCGAGTTCTTAGGATCATTGCAATTTGCCCTCCAATATATCAATTTCAGCGTCAATCCAACTGATATTTTCAAATTGATTTTAATGTACCCCGACGTTCACTCTAGCCAAATTATAGTATGAAAGTTGGTCACTTGCTGTTCCCTGACTAGGTGGCACTCGGTTGAGAGGGGCAAACACGTCCAACAAATTTAAAAGATTTACACTATACCCTCGATATTTTCCATATTGTACCAAATTACCCCTGAATGTTTCAAAATTTCTGTAACTACACCTAATCTTTTGAAATTCGTTGCAATGTTTGTCCAATTGTAAAATGTAAAAGTTAATTATAGTCAAGGAAAAATGAAAGTAAAAAAAGGAAATGAAGCATGTATTTCTAGCAATCAGACACTGCGCAAATCTTCTTCGAATAGATACTTACTCAATTATATCGAAAGCCCATCTCATCCCTCTATTACTGAAAAGACATATCATATTCCTATAGGACTTAATAAAAGAAAATGACATTGATATTGTCTGTAAATCAATTTGAAAAAGCATCATTTTAAGGACCAGATGAGAGAGAAGGGAAAAGGAGGGATCAATTCTTTTATTAATTAATTATTTTAAGAGATACATGCGATCGATTTTGAAATTTTTTTTTTCTGAAGTATTCATTTTTTGCGAAATAAATGAAGCCTTAAAAGAGGCCCCTCATTTTTTGTTCATTTCACTATTTAGTTTTCTTTCATTTTTTTTCCGTAAATAATTAACGTGATTTCTATCTTTAATCACATAAGGTTGAGTTTTTTTGTCTAGATTTCTAGCCATGATAAGACTGGATAGGATATGATATAGTAAATCTTTTAGATTTCATATCCTATATACTGTTTGGTGAATTGCGGAAATAAAGCCGGATATTTTCACATCTTATCATGTCCTTATTTGTTATGAACGTCATATCAGTGTAAATGAACCTAAAAATTGCACAAATAAAAATGATAAAAATATCTCACAACACTCTTACCTACTTCATTTTTATTTGCTTATTTTTTTTTTATCATTTTTCCCTCTCTTTTTTAATTATTTATTTTTTTATTTCCTTTTTCCCCTTCAATCATTCTCTAATAAAATTTTATTAAATAGTAAATTATACTAATATACCTAAAATATGTCATAAATATAAATACATTAGTATTGATTTATATATATGAAATTTATATCACAAGATATAAAGAAATTTTGATATAAATAAAAATAAAAATAAAAAAACAATTTTTTTTTTGTTATTTTGAATTTTTTATATTAAAATTCAAATATTATTCTAATTTTATTAATTTAACAAGTTTGTTATTTGAGAAAATTAACCTTTATATTATGATTATTAGAAATCATATCCACTTTTGTCCCACCTCCCCATTGGATAATTTTATCCGGGTTATATCCCTCATATGTCCGACTTTATCCTATCTTAGGCAGACATCAAACACAGGATAAGATAAAATTTATCGTATTCAGAATTTTATCCTGACGACTAAACGGAGCCTAATAAGTTTCAAAATATCCTAGAGGATATATTGCAAAAATTTCGAAACAGATAACGTTTGTGCAGAAATTTTAGGATTCTCGGTAGGGGTGTCAATGGGTCGGGTCGGGTCAGGTTTTCATGATACCCGACCAGACCCGAAACAATGAATATATGTGCTTGGCCCGACCCGAAACAAGACCCGAACATGATATAGCCAGACAATCGGGTCGTGTTCGGGTTGGGTCGGGTCGGTTCGGGTCGGGTTCGTGTTTAGAGGTTTACTAATCATTTCTTGCTATCGATTCATTTTCTCAATAACTTTATGAGCACCTTATTTTGCTCAAAATCTTCATGCTGTCCCATAGCTTCGTTAGTGCACAAACCTAAGTCTACTCGAAATCTGTCTGGATCGGCTAATCTACAACAAACCATAATAGGTGCACAACATCACATGACAGAGATGCCAAATCCATGACTGCCTTGCCCCAAAGTGATAAATGGCTAACCTTTTCAGGAAAAGATTAACTTCTAGCAACTCATACAGCAGCTATCTAAGGATGAAGCAACTATTAGACGTCATCGGAGTTTCGACAATGCAGACACCACTTTCATCAATATTTCGTGTGACTGATCCAATCGAACTCCCCATGACATGCGCACTTAAACCCATCCGGAAATTCCATAATTAGAGTGCAAAGGAACTGATTAACCACTTAATTCAAGCCGTCACCGATTCAATCTCACCAAACTTAACACGAAGCGAAAACAAAACGAAGAGCTATGGGATTCAGTTAATCTGGAGCAAGATTTACGATGTGCATCTGGTCGACAATCCAATCCTCAGTGGCGGGATCGACGCCGTCGAAGATCCCGGGCCATCTCGCCTTCGCGGCCTAAGGAAGCGGAGGGAAAGTCAACAATTGTGTTCTTTCGCTGTGATCCAAGCAAACCGACAGGAATCGGACACTAAGCAGAAAGTATTCCACTCAAATTACCCAGCAATAGCAAATTCGAACTGAAAATGACACTTCAATACTTCATACCAAGATAATACTACGAAATCATCCGGAGGACCACTGGGGTGTTGAGTCACGTGGATTATTTAATTGTCAATTGTTTAGCGTCCTAGTTATTAGGAGTCTGTTTTGTAGTGGTGTAGAACATGGCTTTGTGTTTTACCAAGTCAATAGGTGATTTCTGCACGTTGCTGTTTTTTAGGGGTTAGTGGAGTACTTTCTTTTATGCTGTTAACTGTCGTGTGTCAGCTCTTTAAGAAGAGCATCTGATGTAAAGTTTTTTTTTTAAGAGAAAAAATGCAATAAGAACAACGTAGTTCTTTGCATACTGTGTAGCTTTCCTTCTTCCAAAATTCTGTAACACTGGTATCAGAGCCAAATTGTGAGAAGAGTGAGTTTGAAAAAGGAGAGATTGAACGTGAGATACCTTTGTGAAAAGTCGCAGCAGCAACTTTTTCAATGGCCACTGATAATTTCGTTCAGCCTGCCATTCCTCGCTTTGATGGTCATTATGATCATTGGAGCATGCTGATGGAGAATTTCTTGCGGTCGAAAGAGTACTGGCATGTCGTCGATTCTGGAGTAGCAGAACCAGCGGCTGGAGTGGTGTTGACGGATACACAAAAGGCTGACTTGGATGCATTGAAGCTGAAGGATCTCAAAGCCAAGAACTACCTTTTTCAAGCTATCGATCGATCAACCTTGGAGACAATTCTTTGCAAAGACACCTCCAAGCATATTTGGGATGCAATGAAGAAAAAGTATCAGGGGAACGCGAGGGCAAAGCGCGTGCAACTTCAAGGGCTTCGGATACAATTTGAGAATTTACGCATGAAAATCGATGAATCTGTTACCGATTACTTGTCGAGAACAATGACGATCGCTAACAAGATGCGGATTCATGGCGAGAAGATGGAGGACGTCACCATCATCGAGAAGATTCTTCGATCAATGACACCGAAATTTAATTTCGTTGTTTGTTCTATCGAAGAATCTAAAGATATTGATGATCTTTCAATTGATGAGTTGCAGAGTTCTTTGCTGGTTCATGAGCAAAAATTTGTCCAGCAAGATAAAGAGGAACAAGCATTAAAGGCAGTAGCCCATTCAAAAGGTCCTGATCGTGGGAAAGGGAGATGGAAGGATAAAGAGTCATATCATAAATCAAATGAGGATCACGCTGTCGATCCTAAATGGAAAGCGAAAAACCGTGACAACAACTATCCAAACGGCAACAAATCGAAGTTCTTCGACAAGTCAAATGTCGAATGTTATAGATGTCACATGGTATGGCCATTACAAGTCCGAATGTAGAACCAATCTTAACAAAAACCGTGGTGCAAAATCAAATTTTGCAGAGAAAGCAGAAGAAGTTTCGCTTTTGATGGTCTGTCATACAAAAGAAGAGGTTCATCGAAATTTGTGGTATCGAGATACCGGTGCAAAGAATCACATGTGTGGAGATAAGTCCGTATTTTCGACTTGGATGAATCGTTCCGTAACACGGTTACGTTTGGCGACAAATCTTCTGTTTCTGTTATGGGCAAAGGCAACGTTAAGATTCACACCAAAGAAAACTCTACTCAGGTGATCTCTAATGTTTACTTTGTTCCAGATTTGAAAACCAATTTGCTTAGCATTGGTCAATTACAAGAGAAGGGATATGAGATCTCTATCAAAGATGGAGTTTGTCGAATTCAAGATGAAAACTTGGGCTTAATTGCTCAAGTCAACATGACAACAAACCGGATGTTTCCATTGTATCTCGATGACACCAATCAATGGTGTTGCTCTGCGAGATTGAAGGACAAAGCCTGGTTGTGGCACTTTCGCTATGGACATCTGAGTTTTGGTGGTCTAAAGACGCTGCAGCAAAAGAATATGGTAACCGGTCTTCCACAAATTCAAAGTCCTTCTCAAGTTTGTGAAGAGTGTGTTGTTGGCAAACAACATCGAGATCCGTTTCCAAAAGGAAAAACATGTAGAGCGAAGAAGGTGCTGGAACTGATACATTCAGATTCATGCGGACCCATTAATCCAACATCAAATGGCGGTAAACGTTACTTTATAACGTTCATTGATGATTATAGTCGGAAAACTTGGGTCTATTTTCTGCAGGAGAAGTCTGAAGCTTTTCTAGCTTTCAAGAACTTCAAAGTACGGTCGAAAAAGAAGCGTGCATGCTTATAAAGACTCTTCGCAGCGATCGTGGTGGAGAATATAACTCGCAAGAATTCATAAATTTTTGTGAGACTCATGGAATTCGAAAACAGCTTACGACGCCTTATACGCCACAAAGCAAAATGGCGTTGCGGAGAGGAAGAATCGCACCATCGTAAACATGGTACGAACCATTTTGGCAAGAAGCAAGTGTTCCAAGAAGTTTTTGGCCCGAAGTCTGTCAATTGGAGCATTCATGTATTGAACAAGAGCCCCACACTAGCTGTTCAAAATATGACGCCCGAAGAAGCTTGGAATGGGCAATGCACCATGTGTCGAGCATTTCGAATTTTCGGTTGTATAGCGTTTGCCCACGTACCAGATCAGAAGAGGACCAAGCTTGATGACAAAGGTGAAAAATGCATTTTTCTTGGTGTTAGTGAACATTCAAAAGCATACAAATTGTATAATCCTATCACCAAGACAATTATCATCAGTCGTGATGTAATTTTTGATGAAGAGAGGTTCTGGTTATGGAACGAAAACAAAGTTGAACAGCAAATACAAGCTGATTTTGATGGAGAGAATCGAGAAAAATTGCAGCAGCCTTTGGAGAATGCAGAACCTGTAGAAAATGAGCAACAACCAAGCAATCAATGAATGTATTTCAGCCTCTCGAAACAGGAGATGAACAAAGAACCTCGACGAGTTAGAAGAAGGCCCGCATGGATGACTGATTATGAGGTAACTCGGGATCGATCAAACCGAAGACCCTTTTACTCATTTTGCCTTATTTTCGGATTGCGATCCAAGAGCTTTCGAAGATGCTCGTTAAAGAACCAAAATGGCGTAAGGCGATGGATGCAGAAATTGCAGCCATTGAAAGAAATAATACTTGGGAGTTGATAGAGCTTCCAAAAGGGCAAAAGACCAATGGAGTGAAATGGGTGTACAAGACGAAGTTAAAGGAGAACGGTGAAGTCGATAAGTACAAAGCCCGCTTAGTCGCAAAAGGCTACAAGCAAGAGTTCGGCATTGACTATAGAGAAGTTTTTGCTCCGGTTGCCCGACATGACACAATCAGAGTGGTGATTGCACTTGCGGCACAAAATTCATGGCCTATCTTCCAGTTGGACGTGAAGTCGGCATTTTTACATGGCGACTTGGAAGAACAGGTATTTATTGATCAACCTCCTGGTTATATAAAGTTTGGTAGTGAGCACAAGGTGTACAAACTAAACAAGGCGTTATACGGACTAAAACAAGCTCCAAGAGCTTGGTATAGTCGTATAGAGGCCTATTTTCTGAAGGAAGGTCTCCGAAAATGTCCATATGAGCATACGCTTTTTGTGAAAACTGGAGAAGGAGGGAAGATGCTTATTGTTTGCCTGTATGTTGATGATTTGATTTATACTGGAAATGATAGTGCTATGCTTGAAAAATTTAAGCAGTCTATGATGCTTGAATTCGATATGTCTGATCTTGGAAAGATGCATTATTTCCTTGGGATAGAAGTTGTTCAATTTGCTGGTGGAGTCTTCATTTCCCAAAGAAAATATGTGCAAGACATTTTAGAGAGGTTCCAAATGAAGAATTGCAATTCTTCTGGCACACCAACAGAGGTGGGTTTGAAGTTAGTGAAAGATCGCGAAGGAAAGAGAGTTGATAGTACCATGTACAAGCAAATTGTGGGAAGCTTGATGTATTTAACTTGAACTAGGCCAGATATAATGTATTCTGTGAGTCTCATAAGTAGGTACATGGAGCATCCTACTGAGATGCATCTCTTTGCTGCCAAGAGAATTTTTGGATACTTGCAAGGTACGGCTGACTTTGGATTGCTCTACAAGAAGGGAGAAAGCTCAAACTTGATGGGCTTCACTGATAGTGATTATGCCGGAGATCAAGATGATAGAAGAAGCACTTCCGGATATGTATTTATGATGGGTTCGGGAGCTATTTCATGGTCATCAAAGAAGCAGCCGATTGTCACTTTATTAACCACTGAAGCTGAATTTGTTGCAGCAACTTCATGCGCTTGTCAAGCTATTTGGTTGAAGAAAATTCTCGAAGAACTTCATGTTGAGAGCCAAGGACCTACTGTGATTTATTGTGACAATAGTTCAGCAATAAAGCTCTCCAAAAATCCTGTTTTACATGGAAGAAGCAAGCATATAGATGTCAAGTTTCATTTCTTGAGGGATCGACGAAGGAAGGAGTTATTGATCTCATCTATTGCGAAGTGAGGATCAAGTTGCTGATATCTTTACCAAGTCCCTCAAGTTGGCTGCATTTCAAAAGCTGAGAAACCTGCTTGGTGTCCAGAAGTTGTATTAAACTGAATGTTAGCAAACTTTCAGTTTAAGGGAGGGAATGTTGAGTCACGTGGATTATTTAATTGTCAATTATTTAGCGTCCTAGTTATTAGGAGTCTGTTTTGTAGTGGTGTAGAACATGGCTTTGTGTTTTACCAAGTCAATAGGTGATTTTTGCACGTTGCTGTTTTTTAGGGGTTAGTGGAGTACTTTCTTTTATGCTGTTAACTGTCGTGTGTTAGCTCTTTAAGAAGAGCATCTGATGTAAAGTTTTTTTTTAAGAGAAAAAATGCAATAAGAACAACGTAGTTCTTTGCATACTGTGTAGCTTTCCTTCTTCCAAAATTCTGTAACATGGGGAAGTAAAAAATAAAAATAAAAAAAATCTAATTTTCACCATGGGTGGCGATGCAATTTGCTCGAATGAAATTTAACCAAATCAATTCGGAATTCCAGCCCAAGTTCCCATTTTTCAACGAGATAACAGTCGGACTGGATTTGCCGAAAGCATCGTGGGTGAATTCTTTCAGCAGAGTCATCGCCATAGAAACAAGCAGACAGAAACAGGAACAGAGAAAGAGCCGAAATCAAATCAAGCGCATCTACCCAGTAGAGATTTCAAAGCCTATCCACGATCAAACTCAAAAAGATTCAAGTAGGTTAACGCGATCCACGGCCGCGCAAGGAAAAAACAAAAAAACCAGACAAGAAATCTCCGAAACACAACAAGAACGATGGACCCGCAATAAAATGGTTCGAAAGACCCACAATTCAGAATCCGCTACCTGACGTAGCGGTTGGCGCCGCACAATGGACCCGCTTTCATTCACGAAATCGGGAGGGAGTTAGGGTTTGCGAGGACTGACCTGGTTCGAGCTCGATGCTTGGGAGGGGATGACGATGACGGTGGATCGAGGGAGGTGGCGTAAGTCAAACTGGGGAGGAGACGAGATCCGCTAGAGAGAGAAAGCGGAGCTCTGGAAGAAGATGAGAGGTTTCGGATGGGCTTGGGAGCAAGAAGATCAAAAGGTTCTCGTTTGTTTCTGGTGGGCTTATTTCGGGCAGGTTCGGGTAGATTCAAAATAAGCTGAAGCCTTATTTTTACAGTTACTCAAATAAATTAAGGTCCAACCCGACTCAATATAAAAATTTCATGTTTGGGTCGAGTTGAGTCGGGTCGGCTCATTTTTTTTTTTTTTGGTCGAAATGCAGATTTCCATTCATTCATTAAACAACGGATTACAAGAGTGAAGATGACTAGCGTCAATACAAAATAAATCCCAAAGAGATTGGGGCGGTCTAGACATCCAGTTGGCCGGAAGCTTCCCTTTTCGATGATTTTTGGCGATCCAGTCTCGCTACTTGATTGGACTCGCGCGGACAGTGGACTAGAGAAACCCCCTTTAATTGGGAGAGTAACTTGTTGCATTCCTCAAACAGACTCCTCAAAGCCCATGGGCTCAAAGTGGGTCAAGGGTGTATTTTACTGCAGCTGCGTTGTCTGATCGCACGCTGTAATTCCAGCGTAGGATTGTTCTTCGTCGCCGCTCTTCTCCCAAACAACAAGCAGAGCTTCCTTCATCATTGCAGGCTTCAATTTCCAGCGGGGAGGAAGCGAGATGCAGCTCTAGCAAACCCCACAGAACACACACCTCTGTGATCCCTGCATACCCCAGCCACCGATCCCTCTATTTCCCCTTCGATCCACGACCCATCTACGTTAAATTTCCAGCTCCCCTGTTCTGGGCATGTCCATCGCGCTGTCTTGGTTTTCGCCCGCCAGCTCCACGACACAGGTAAGTTTTGCTCCCGGTAGTTACCGTTTAGACTAATTGCTTCATCAACTATTGCTCCCGATCGTGGGCTAATATGATGGAAAACCCAGGCGTTCCTTGCCTTCCAGATTTGCCAGAGAATTCCTGCAAGCACCTCACGGCCAGATTGTTCTGTGATGTTGGTAAGGGATTCATCAAACCATTTATCCATTCTTGATAAATTTGCTGGTGATACGTCCACTCGAAGCCTCGAATCTGACCAAATGTTGATTGTCCAGCTACAATGGGCGAATATGTGTTCTGTTGTTTCTGGGTTTTCCCGACAAATTGGGCATAAAGGGTCGGGTAAGGCCTTTCTTTTGTATAAATTCTCTGAAGTAGGCAGAGCGTTGTGACACATACACCACAGGAAGAACCGGATTTTTGGCTCGTTTTGTAGTTTCCATATCTTTGTCCATAGTGAGCGGGGCTGCTGATAAGAGGAGGACGCTAGATTTGTATTTAGCTTGGTTGACACAGCTCGTAGCTTTGAATAACCCTGTTTTACCGAATATTCCCCTGATGAGTTTCCTGTCCAAATTTGTCTATCATTGTCCGGGATTGGCTTTAGCCGCATGGCCATAATTTCACTATCAATTTCCCCTTGAAACATCCTTTGTAACTGATTAACATCCCATGTTTTTGTCTCCTGGTTGATTAGTTCTGCGACTTTTTGTGGGTCATCTCGGTTTGCTGGGCCGCCTATCAATCCCCTTTCCAGCCATATATCCTCTCTGATGTTAATGCATTCTTCATTCCCGACCAGCCATTTCACGTCTGGGCTTAAGGCATCTCTACCCATTAGTAAACTTTGCCACCCCCATGAGGGCCGGGATCCCTTTGTAGCTTTCCATAGATTTCCGTTGGGGAAGTAAATCCCTTTGAGAAGCTGGCTCCACAATGCTGTCGGGTCTTGAGCAAGTCTCCATGCTTGCTTTCCTAGCATAGCTTTGTTATAAGTAACTAGATCCTTAAAACCCAATCCACCATCTATTTTCCTTTCTTTGAGTATTTCCCATTTTTTCCAGTGGATGCCCGATTTAGATGAGTTCTGTTTCCACCAAAAGGAGGCTATTTTCTGCTCAATTGCCTTGCACACCGAAATGGGGATTTTGAATACGGACATTGCATATTGGGGAAGAGCTTGTACCACTGTTTTGATTAAGATCTCCTTGCCTGCTTTAGAGAGCAGCTTTTCCTTCCAGCCTTCCAACTTCATGTTAACCCTTGCTAATATCCACGCGAACATCTGTTTTTTTGTTTGACCCCAATCTGATGGAATGCCAAGATATTTCCCAGTTTTCTCAATGATTGGTACTCTTAGTTGAGATGCCAAGTTGCTTTTAAGGTTTTGAGGGCAGCCCGCGCTACAGAAAATCCCGGATTTGTTTAGATTGATTGCTTGTCCCGATGCGAAACAGTATTGGTTTAAGAAATTGGCCAGATTTTGACATTCATCTATATTCCCATCCAGGAAGAAGATAGCATCGTCAGCGAATAACAAGTGTGACAGAGTAGGGCAGTTCCTGTTTAGTTTGATGCCTTTCAAACTCCCATCATCTACTGCCTTTCTTAGTAGGGACGACAGCATGTTCGCCATAATTATAAACAAGTAAGGAGATAGTGGGTCTCCTTGTCTAATTCCCCGAGAAGGTTGGAAGTACTTTAAGGGTTCTCCGTTCACTTTTACACTGAATGTGACCGAGGAGATACACTCTATCACCAACGACACCCACTCTTCACAGAAGCCCATTTTCTTCATGCTAGCAGAAAGGAAGTCCCACTCAACTCTATCGTAAGCTTTTTGCATGTCCAACTTTAGGATCGCCTGGAACTTCTTTTTTCTCTCCCGAACTCTTAGCTGATGAAGGATCTCCTGGACTATAAAAATATTATCTTGAATTTGTCTCCCGCTCACAAAGGCGCTCTGTTCTATTGCTATGAGTTTTGGGAGCCAGGGCTTAAGGCGATTGGCCATCACCTTAGAGATGATCTTGTAGCTGAAATTGCATAGGCTGATAGGTCTGAATTGTGTGATGCTTTCTGGGGATGTAACTTTAGGGATAATCACGATGTGTGTTTTGTTAAGCTTTGGGTCAAGGTGTCCTGATTGGAAGAAGGAGCTGACTAGTCCGTGTAAATCGTGCTGTAATTCCTCCCAATGATGCTGGTAAAATAGGCCATTCATCCCGTCAGGTCCCGGGGCCTTTGTAGCTCCTTGCTGAAATGTAGCTTGTTTTACTTCTTCTAAGGTGACCGGTGCCATCAAAGCCTCATTCATTTCTTCTTGGCTAGGAAAGGAACATTGGTTTAGAATTGGATTGAAGTTCCTGGTACCCACTGTCTTAAACAAGGAGTCATAATAACTGGCAATGTGCTGGCTAATAACTTTGGGGTCTCTACACCAATTATCATCAATTTTCAGCATTGAAATTTTGTTCCTTTGTCTTCTTTGGACAGTAGCTGCATGGAAATATTTCGTGTTTTTATCTCCCCACTTAATCCAATTAATGCGAGATCGCATACTCCAATATTGCTCTTCTTGTTGCCATAACTTTTGTATTTGCATTTTGATATGCTGCATTTCTTTTCTGCTTGTACCTCCATTTGCTGAATTTGTAAGGATCGTAAGTCTTCTTTTTAGGATCTCGATCTAGTTGTGGGCATTGGAGAATTTCTGCTTACTCCATAATTTTAAGGCTTCAGTGGTCTTTTCTAATTTTCTAGCAAACGGTATTGGGTTATCTTCCAGTTCACCCCAAGCTTCTTTCACCAGCTCCTTACACTCTGTATCGGCCAGCCAAAACGCCTCGAACTTGAATTCTTTTTTCCTTTTAATCCTGTTTGGTTGGAGGGACAACAGAATTGGACTATGATCGGACCCTATTGCAGGCAATGCAAAGGCTTCCGCATTTGGGAAGCACACTCTCCAGCTTATATTACAAAGGGCCCTATCTAACCTTTCCCGCACCAGTGCACTTCCTTCCCTGTTGTTGGCCCAAGTGAATGCACATCCCTTGCTTTCAATATCCATGAGTGAACATCTGTTTAAGCAATCTTGAAATGCTACTAGTCTGTAGTGCTCCGCTCCATTACCCCCAGATTTTTCCCAATGGTATAAGATCTCATTAAAGTCCCCCACACATATCCAAGGGAGTTGATTAGCTGCACTTATCATCTGCAAATGGCTCCACAGCCTGAGCCTATCCTGGAAGCTTGTGGGGGCATACAGAAAGGTGATACGCATGAGAGTTCCACTTTCTTGATCCCTGCATAGCAAGTTAATTACTTCTCTAGATGAATCTTCCACAATCACCGATACCTCTTCGTTCCACATCACTGCCAGACCCCCTGCAATTCCTACGGGATCGATAATTTCTATATTTTGGAAATTGGTTCTCCTCTTCACTTTGTCAACAACTGTTCTCTTGTTTTTAGTTTCCATCAGGAAGACTAAATCAGGCCTTTCTTGAGCCACTAAAGCTCTGAAATGCTGGACTGTCAGGGGATTGCCTAGCCCCTGACAGTTCCAGCTCAAAAGTTTCATATAATCCCCGGTGGCTTATTAGGGCTGGTCGGCTCATGTTTAGGGGGTTCTTTTGACACCCTTAATTCTCGGTGCGGCTACGTTGTTGTTTTTCTCTCTTTACTCAAACACCCGTCGTCGGGCCGGCGGCGACGTGTCGCTGTCTCGTCGACCCTCATCCATGCAAAGCTGCTCTCCTCGCACCACGCGATCCAAGCGTGTCCCCGGCGACCAACACCCCACCATCCCAGCGCCACGAGCGCGCCACGTGTCGCGCGCCAACCTCCTTTATTTGGCAACAAAGCCTCACGTCCCGAATCTCCATCGATCGGCATCGCTTCCCCACTTCGAGTCTCGAGCGAAATCTCCATCGACGAACTTCGCGAGCGGAAAAAACCTTCCGACGGAGCCCATCACCGTCATGTCCGATCAGCGACCCAGGACGGACGTTCGCCACATCGGGCACCAGGCGTCCCCGCCAGCGCGGCACGTGGTGAAGGTCGCGACGGCGACGACGGTCGGCGCCGCCCTGTCCGTCCTCTCCAGCCTCACCCTGACGGGGACGGCGATCGCGCTGATCGTGGCGACGCCGGTCATGGTGCTGTTCAGCCCCATCCTCGTGCCGGCGGGGATCGCGGCGGCCCTGATAACAGCGGGCTTCCTGGCGTCCGGCGGCTTCTGGGCGGCGGCGCTGGCGTGGATGTACAGGTACTTCGCCGGGAAGCACCCGGCGGGGGAGGAGCAGGTGGAGTACGCGAGGGCGAAGATCGCGGACACGGCGGGGGACGTGAAGGAGAAGGCGAGGGAGTACGGGCAGCACGTGCAGCACAAGGCTCAGGAGGTGATCGGCACAGCGTAGAGCGTGCGTGAGTGACGACGGGTTTGAGTTGCAGTACCGCTCAGGGACGAAGACGAACGACGTGTCGTTTTTTGCGTTGTGTTTTTTTGATGTGCTTGATGGAATGGAAGGAACAAATGTGCTTGACGTAGGCCCCGTTTGGTTCAGCATTCCCAATGCTCATTTGGCCTCTAAAGTCCCTTGGCCAAATGCAAATGGCGTTTGACAATTTTTTTTACTCATTTTGGGGAAATGCAATTGCATTTGGAATGCTGGCCAAGGGACCTTTGGCCAATGCACCTCTGAAGGTGCTTTGAGAAGTTGCATTTTCGGAATGCAACTTGCACTATTCATCAACACTGTTCATCTTCCCCAAACCGGCGGCCGGCGGCCGCCGCCCGAGTGGCTAGCCCAACTCCGGCGACCACCGCCGGGGTCGCGCGACCCGGCGACCGCCGCCTGGGTCGCCGGGACCTCGAGCGGTCGCCTGGGTCGCGCGACTCAGGCAACGCTTCGCCTAGGTCGCGAGACCCAGGCGACGCCCGAGGTCCAGCGACCCCAGGCGGTGGTCGCCGGGGTCGCGTGACCCCCAGGCGGTGGTCGCCGGCGACCAGATCTAGCCGTAGGCGGTTGGCCGGAGAGGAATGTGTTGGCGGTATTTATGTTCTCGCGTGAATGGGAGGAATGTGTTTTTTTAAGTGAAAAGGTTTCTCGTCAATTAATTTTTTGGATTTTCGTACGAACGGAAACTTTTACGGTCAAAAGAAAATATAAATTAAAAAAATTAAAAAAATGAATTTTTTTAATTTTTAAAAAAGGAAAATATTTTTTTCCCTCAAAATGCATCTTCCTTTTTCGGGAGCAAACACACCCTTTGAAAATTTCAAGGAATGAGTGGTCAAATTCTGTGAGTTTGCAAATTCACGGTTGCGATACTTAAAATATTTAAACATAAATAATAAATTGATAATAAAAATATCCAATTGAATAATTATTTTAAGAAATATAAAAAATTATTTTTCGAATAGTTTATTTTTCGCGAAATAAATAAAGTATGTATTAGCGATTTGTCCTGTTAAGAGAGATTTGGTGGCACGAATAGTTTCCCGTTAGGCATTTGTCTTATTAAGAGATTCAGCACAAACAAATCCCTAAATGATTACAATTGGATAATAAATCCCATATCCAAATGTTTTTTATTTAGTGTAATTTAGCCCTTCTAGCCGTTGTAAGTAGGAAGAAACTTGATGTGAACACAAAGTGCAACAACTATTGTAGGTTATGTATGATTGCAACAGCTATTGTAAGTTATGTATGAAAAGTGATCAATTTGTCCGCTCCGGTCTTTGATTCCAGAAATTGGATCGAACCGGAACCGATTACCAGTAATGCATACCAAACTAGTTTTGAAATCCGGTGGCCACTTTTTGCATGACCAAAACATTCTTATCTCAATCTCAATATAAAAATAAAGAGAATATTGTACCTTACCAAAAAAAATAAATAAAGAGAATATTGTATATTATTGATAATTAAAATTCGACATCTACGGATACTTACTTAACAAATCCATTTAGTGGGCCGTTGGGCCACAATTAGCTAGATCAGTAGCACATTACGATCACACGACGTCGTTTGCTTCCTTTGGCTCGAACTTTTCTTTTGGTGCCCGCTTCTTCACCGCTCCTTTCTCCGGCCCAAAACGGCGCCGAGCTCCGCCGTTCTCCGCCGTTCTATTCCGACGCGAAAAAGGAAACCTCTCTCCGCTGCCGACCTTCTCGTCCTCGTCCGGCTCACTCAACCAAAAGCCTTAACAGAACCCAAGAACTCACGCCCGCTAACTTGGTTCTGTCGCAGCAACAAGACAGAGTCTAACGCACTCGCGCGGAGAACGCTCAGAGGAATTGTCGAAAGAGCTCGAGATGGTACGACGATTAACGGGCAGCAACTGTTTTGTCCCCTGTTTTCTTGAAGCCCTTCCATCTTCATCGAGTCCGGGATGTGATTTCTTTGTTGTTGCTTTTCGTTAATTCTCAGTTCTCGATCGCTGCTATCAACGACACGGATTCCAGGGGGCAATGGGAGCCTCTGGCGCCCTCCAAGGAAGCCCAGGTATGCCCCTCATCTCAAGAAGTGCCGAATTTAGGTTTTTTGCCCTCACCCTCCACTGTTGAAGTCTTGATTGACGATGCCATGTGATTTGTCGCCTCGTGGGTTATCTGTGTCCGAGTCTTGAGCTGATGGGTTAGTCCTGTTCCTCCCGATTCGGGAGTAAATTGCGAGTGAAGCGCTTCGGTTTCGCTATAGGATGAATTGCACTGGAGAATGTTCGTTTTTTTTTTAGTGTTGTGTTAACTCGTGGAGTGCGACATTCGCTCAGAAGGACGAACCTCGAGAAAGGGTTCGCACCGTGAAGCATGGCTAGAGCATCTATATTTTTTGTTTGGAGGGAATGTTTACCAAGAAAGAATATATGTATGTTGACACCGGAGGCGACTATGAACAGCATCGAGGCGCGATTAATAACCGAAGAAGTTATCGCATCAAAGACCACACTTCTGAGATGCAAAGCGGGTCTGTTCTTGATCTAAGTTTTCGTTGTCTCTCCTTTATTCCAGGAATTCCATCTTTCGCAAACTTATCACGAAGGACTCCTCAAGTTACATGCTAAGGAATATGAGAAGGCGTGTGAACTGCTGGAAACTGTCCTCAAGGATCCCCTCATATCAAGTGCTCAAGTAACGCTTCTTTCTTGAAGATACGCAGTTGATGCAACTCTTGTTGTTGCTGATTTCTTCTTTTGCTTTGTTCAGGTAAATGCTGGTGCTAGTGACGGTCATCTTTTGCAGCTCAGGTTTTATACACGCAGGCTCTACTTCATTTCAACTTCATGTTATGGGGTTAAAGCCTGTTTTGATGTAGTCTTGGAGACGTGCCAAAATAGCTTTTTGGGATTTTAGTGTATCCTTTGTAGTTTCTGGTATTATCTAGAGGCTGCAGGATGAAAGTTGTGTTCTTTGGATTTAAATTGATGCAGAATGAAGACATGCCAAAACATAGTTTCTTTCTTGAACATATGCAGTTGATGCAGTATAAAGGCTATTACATTTCCTAAATTACATTTAAATTTGAAGTCCTGATCAATTTACTACTGGCAGGGATCCATGACATGATAAAATCAGGAAAGCCACAATTAGTAGGATGCGATCAACTTCTTGGACAAGTTCTTCGATATTTACCATATTTCTATTAACTGAATGAACGCGATTCCAGTCCATGTGTTTCAAAAATGATGCATAGTTTATCTGACAGAGGAAATGTTGTTCTTGGAATACGTCGTTAGACTACTTTTCTAACCACTTAAGCACTTGGGTTAATGCTCCTTTCCTAATGTCTCTGATGTTGTAACTCGCTGATTTTTCATAGCAAGAATTTATGTATCCCAAAGTGCTGGCAAGCAACACGTCCAACTGTTTTGTGCACCTTTTTACTATGAAAACGATTTCCTGGCGATGCTTGTGCTAGTGAAACATTTCTTGGCTGATTCCAAAAAATTTTGCATTTTAGTTAGAGTACTTTCTTGAGCATAAATTTTGTAGTTTTGCAGATTTTTGGCTCTGAAGAACCTTGCTACAGTCTTCCTTCAACAAGGTTCTGCTTATTATGAAAGAGCGTTGCACTGTTATCTACAAGCTGTAGAAATTGATGCCAAAGATTCTGTTATCTGGAACCAGCTTGGTACATTGTCATGTTCAATGGGCTTGCTAAGCATTTCACGTTGGGCGTTTGAGCAAGGGCTTTTGTGCAGTCCCAATAATTGTAAGATCATGTTTTTTCACGGTGATCTCTTTGTTTGCTACTTCACTTTCAGGTCCTTTTTGGTTTGAACTTATTTAGTCACTTTTTGGTCACTTGCGTTTTTAACCCTAATAGTTGGCGAACTTATGAAAATCCTATTCAGGGAATTGCATGGAGAAGCTACTGGAAGTTCTTATAGCAATTGGTGATGAGGTTGCATGCCTCTCTGTGGGAGAGATGATTTTGAGGCATTGGCCATCCCATTCTCGTGCTTTGCAAGTCAAAAGTGCCATTGAAGAAACAGAAACGGTCCCATTTGCTCCTCGTGGTATTGATAAGCTGGAGCCTAGACATGTCCGTCTCAAATTCCCTGATAAAAGAAAAGCAGCCGATGACAATCCTGATATGGGTGCTCCTGTCAAGAGGTTGAATCAGAAAGTGGAGTTGCTTTTAGTGGAAGCTTCATGGAGCTCCATCGTTAGTGGACTTCTGGACATTTTAGTTCCTTTAAGTGGTTGTGGTTCTGAAAGGGATGACAAGGAGCTTAGATCTGGGGATGTTTGCTTGGATATTAAATTGCCTTCCGTCTTGGAAAATGGAATCCTGCCTTTGCACAATGAAGTGCTTAATGCTAATTCAGTTGCTGAAGGTATGTCTCAGGGTGATTTTGATGTGGAAAGAGCAATTACTTTCAAGGAGAAGGCAGTGAGTAATTTTGAGGAACAACCTCAAGAAAGAAGGAGTACTCGTCTTGTGAGTCTTAGGAGTCGTAAACCAGGAAAGGAAGGATCAGACTTTGCTACTAGTAAGAATCTTGCAGAAGTCATTAAATTTTTAGAACCTTTTATTGTGCGATCAGATGATAAAGGTACTAATGGCTGTGGTAGCTGTTCTACAGTATGTCATGAGTCTGCCACCTCAGTGGAGTCGGAGTTCTATGATGTTACAAGATTTGTGAAAGAAACTTCAAAAAATTATGGGGCTTACCATGTATCTCACTTGCTATTGGAAGCGGCTGCAACTAGAAGTCTGACATACCAGGATCCATGTATTAAATTCTTAGAGTTGGAGAAGTTGACAAGACACTGGGGCCGGGACAGGACCCTGGAATGTAATGTTTTTCTTGCCGAACTTTACTATGACATTGGTTTAACTTCTTCTGGGGAGTCTGGGCTTTCTGATTTTGTCTCCGATGCTTCTTATCAACTCTGTAAGATAATCGAGCAGGTGGCTTTGGAATATCCTTCAAATTCATGTAGTGCATCACGAGATAAGAGTTTTTCTTTAGCCGAAAAGTTTCAAGTTTCTGACCTCTTATCTTCTGATGCGTCTCCGTATCAGGATATAGTACCATTTTGTCCACCAGTAGAGAATAACATTCCTTTTTGGATTCGGTTCTTCTGGTTAAGTGGACGGGTGTCTCTCTTGGAAGGCAACAAGGCTAAAGCTCTTGAAGAATTTTCCATGTCCTTGTCACTTTTATTAAGGAAAGATAGTAATATTGGTCAGTCATCTGTCCGTTTGCCGCACTGCAAGACTATCAAAGAGCTAACAGTTGATAGGCTTGTTTATGAGATTAACATGCTAAAGGTTGATCTGTTGCTAGAGAAAGTAATGGAAGATATGACTGAAAAAGAACTATATTTTGACTGCATTAACCAGCTTGCTCCACTTGTTTTCTGTACGGTGGATGTTCACATTGACCTGGGACCCTTGTCAGTCACTAATGGCGAAAATGGTGAGGGGATGACCTATATTGAGCTACGGGCCCTAGACACATTGATTAAGGCTGGTGAGAGCACAAAACCAATGGATATAGAGGTCATTTTGAAATCTCATCAGCGGAAGCTGCAGATACTAGTGGTAGCAGCTGGTGTCGATGACTTTCATTTGTCAAGTAAACTCTTCCAGAGAAAATCAGGGTCCCTTCAAATATCGTCATCTGAAACAGAGTCAAAAGAAAGTTTTACCAAGCACTGGAATTGCTTGGTTGTTGAAGAAATAAAGGCAATTTCACAATGTGTGTCAAAAGCCAAGGAATTCATTGATCAAGATGGAGACTGTGTAAGTTCGTTTTTTTACTTGACTTAACTAGGAGGAGCAGTTTGTACAGTTAGCATTGTGGTTGCCCCCCTCCTTTCAATGATAAGTGTTAGATGTACTGCAATATACTGTGGTTGTTTTGGAAACATTGCACAGTAGAGGCATCCTTAAGTAAATGAAGAATATGTTTTCATATAATTCCCTTAATAACAAAGGAGTGGTATTTGTGGCTTACAAAATGGTAGTTTTAGTCAAAATGTGTAAATTTCTTTCTTGAGCATCTTAGCTCTGTTGTTTCCAGATCTCGGAGTTTGGTGTTGTCATCTTGGATATACGTGATATTAGAGTTGTATTGTTAACCTCTGGGGTCCAGTTAAGAAAGTGAACATCTAGGAAAGAGAACCTTGCACTATAGCTTTACAAAGTACCGCTTCCTGAACATCATGCTTGTGATATTGTGCCTTGCGCAAGATTTGCACCATGAATGTGGTGATTTATCCATCTTTGGGTGGCGCTTTAAGCAAGATTTACATGGTGTGCTGTTATCTTTTCCGCCACAAATTTGTTAAAAAAATAAAGAAAGGCCATTATTATCTGATCTACAGATTAGAATCAATCAATACTGATACTTGTTTTGTTATAGCCAGTTGTGTGTACTGTTTCTACATGCCACATATGATTCTATCTTATGCTCTTGCAGGACGGTGTTGCCATTCTAAAGAGCAGCATTCGAGATATTCAGTATTTGCTGCTGGCAGCTATGTGCAATGTTGCAAGAACACTTTCCTGTAGGACATTTTCTGGGTCTGGGACTGTTGATCAGACTGAACAAAAGCAAAGAAGCGCCTTTCTTGATGCAGCCATTACGTTCTGCAAATTACAACACCTGGATGGTAGTGCAGATGTTAAAACACAAGTGAGTGATCATTATTAACATCAAATTTCTTTGGTTATTATGTTAGTTTTAGCCATTCCCCTTTTGTGTACTTTCCAATGAGGTTGAATCCTGGGGATCGTCCATTCTTTCATGTGATGATAGTTTTACTGTATGCTTCGGATTTTATCACTATAGGTTGATTTGATCGTGGCAATACATGATTTGCTGGCTGAATATGGGATCTGCTGTGCGGGAGAGGGTGGCGAAGGCGAGGAAGGGACATTTCTTAAATTCGCAATAAAGCATCTGTTGGCCTTGGATATGAAGCTTAAATCCTGTTTTCACTCTTCAAATGGGGAAGATACTCAACAAAATATGCAGCTGTCTGAAGATAGTTGCCGACAAACAGATGGAATAGATCTGGAAATTGCATGTGAGGAAGTCGGTGAAACTAGTTTTTGGGAAAAGGATCTTTCTAAGGGGGTAAATTCCGACAGCATTTCGTCCCTTGATGATAAAAGTCAGGAGGTCGAACACCAAAAGGTATGCAGCAATGCTTGTGATCAGAATACTGAAGGAGGGGAGCACCAATCAAGGGAATGTCAGGATGAACTAAGCGAGGAAGAAAGAGAAGAACTTGAGTTGAAAATTGATCAGGCATTGGATCAGTGTTTCTTCTGCTTATATGGTCTAAATCTTAGATCTGACTCAAGCTATGAAGATGAGTTAGCCACGCACAAAAATACTAGTCGCGGAGAATATCAGACCAAAGAGCAGTGCGCTGATGTTTTCCAGTATATTCTACCTTCTGCTAGGGTGTCATCTGTAAGTTTACTTGTTTCCGAGTCCTACTTTGCAAAAGTTTTGCTTCCTGGAGAAACTGCACATCAATCACTCTGTCTTTGAATCTTCTGTTTGACTGTGCATGTTTTTGTGACAGAAAACTGGATTAGTCAAGCTTCGCAGAGTCTTAAGAGCTATACGCAAACACTTTCCACAACCTCCAGGAAATGTGTTGGATGGAAATCCGATTGATAGATTTCTGGATGATCCTGATTTATGTGAAGATAAACTCTCAGAAGAAGCTGGATCTGATGGGTTCCTTGAAACCATGACAAAGATGATATTTTCTACCACGGGAAGCCTCAAGCAGTACAAGAAATCAGTAGTAGGAAGGTCATGCCTTTTATCTTTTGGCTCAGTTGTAGTTATGATCTCTTATGTTAGAATTAATTGTGTTAATGAATGATTATCTAATTGCAGCTCTGAACCATATCTTGATGTTTATCGGAATTTGTACTTTTTCCTGGCTCAATCCGAGGAAATGAGTGCATCTGATAAGTGGCCTGGCTTTGTTCTTACAAAGGAAGGTGAAGAATTTGTACAGCAAAATGCGAACCTTTTTAAGTTTGATTTGTTATACAACTCTTTACGCTTCGAGAGTTGGCAACGACTTGCAAATATCTATGATGAGGTAAAATTTATTAATTTAGTAGGCTGAACTAGTTACAACTTATGCACACTACTATTGAACCCCTTCTGTTGAAGTTGTAATCTTCCTGGTCATGGTGATATTTCTGAAGGAAATCTCTTTTTCTTCATTCAAACAGGAGGTAGATTTGTTGTTAAATGATGGCAGTAAGCATATAAATGTTTTGGGATGGAGGAAAAATGCTGCTTTATCACAAAGAGTAGAAACAAGTCGGAGAAGAAGTAGGCGGTGCCTTCTAATGAGTTTGGCTCTAGCAAAAACACCAGATCAGCAGGTTCCTATTTTTACCTGCTTCCTATACAGTATATGTTAGCAGTGGTAGAGTTTTCTTTTGTCTCATAAATTATCGGTATGATAAATACTGTTTCTCTGGCAACTTTTCTTGAATAGAGTAGTGTACTTTGCTTGCGGTTTCTGTCCTAGTATCTGCTCCTGTGGGTTGTTTTGAATCGGGCGCAAATTTTATAAAGATCATGTACATGAAGAGTGTCTGACTGCGGTGTTTGTGGTTTCTGTCCTAATATCTGCTCCTGTGGGTTTTTTTTGAATCGGCAGCAAATTTTATAAAGCTCATGTACTTGAAGAGTGTTTGACTGTGGTGACTTACGAGGTTTTTTGCAATGCAATCTTTAGAACTGAATCTTGTTTAATTACTTGCATCCGCTATATTTGGTGATACCACTGATAGCGGAAATTGCATTTCCATGAGTCCTACTGATTGATTCTCCTAAGGCTGGGTGTAATGGGGGCCATGGAGAATGGCTGCAATGAGATTGACACTTGATTTAGTGTAGATTGGGCTTTCAATTTAGTCAGTATTTGAATCAAATCAGTGGTTCTAACATCTTATTATGAGTAATTCGAGATTTTCAGATTCTCATGGTAGCGTGCCTTATGGTGGCATATTGTCGACATGGACTTGATATCAAGTTTGAACTTCTTGATGTGATATAACTATTTTGCTTCTGTTTTTGCCGTATTTCTTTTGATGAATTAATGTTGATCCCCAGTTTTTCTCCCTTGGATTTCAGTGTGAGATTCATGAATTATTGGCACTAGTATACTATGATAGCCTTCAGAACGTGGTCCCTTTGTTCGACCAGCGATCTGTTCTACCCACAAAGGATGCAGCATGGACAAAATTTTGCGAGAATTCAATGGAACATTTTAGGAAAGCATTTGCGAATAAGTAATACTACTTGCCTTCCTAAGATTCTTTATGACCATTCTACTTTAGCTTTAAATTTCATCATCATCATTACAATGATGCTTTGGCTGCCTGCTGCAGACAGGATTGGTCTCATGCATTCTACATGGGGAAACTCTGTGAAAAGCTTGGATATGCGCCTGAGAGGTCATTATCATATTATGATAAGGCTATTGCTTTGAATCCCTCAGCAGTTGATCCTGTATACAGGATGCATGCTTCACGGTTAAAGTTGCTTTGTAAACATGGACACCAGAATTTGGAGTATTTAAAGGTTTGTTCTTTGTCAATTTGATCACCTAGATTCTATATTTTGACAAGTTTTCTATTTCAGCTACATTTACTATTAAGATTGTACCATTTTTTACGCTGACCATTTGTTTTCATCTCAGGTTATTTCATCGTATTCCTTCAATCAGTCAACAAGGAATGAAGTAACAGATATTCTTGGGAAAGTTGGTCCTGAAGTATACAATCCTCTGGTAAATATTATAGGGATCGGTTGTCAAATAAATCCAGAGAGGAAGCCTGAGGAATTGCGCCAGATGGAAGATGCTTGGAACATGCTTTACAGTGATTGTCTCTCCGCCCTTGAAACCTGTATTGAGGGGGATCTTAAACATTTTCATAAGGCCAGATATATGCTTGCTCAAGGGTTATACGGAAGAGGCAAAAGTGGTGATCTGGCAAGGGCAAAAGATGAGCTGTCCTTTTGTTTTAAGTCATCTCGCTCTGCATTTACATTTAACATGTGGGAGATTGATGGGATGGTTAAAAAAGGAAGGTATTTCTCTGACATATCTTCTTCTTGCTATACGTATTACAATGGCTAGTGGATTTAACGTAAGAAACTTGTGGGTTTTTCCTGTTCCTTTGATTTTGAGATCAGTAAAACAAGGGAAATGCTGTAAATTTAATTTTTTTCTCACAATATCTGGGTGGAAATTCGGATGAAGGAAGACACTATAATTTGCTTAAGAAGTAGTATAGGAGCATGGAGAATATGCTGGCAGCTTATGAATAGATAAGTCTCGGATAGAGATTGGGGGATTGGGTTGTTGGTGACATTAGGAGATTTTCATTATAGTTGCACATTGGTTTAGCTAAGACCCTTAGATTTTTTTAGAAAGGTTTATGATGAAGTTATAATTAATTCAAATGCATGCTATAGCTAGTTTCATTAAGGAATCTTGAATGATAAAGGAAAGTACCTCTGGATGTTCTGTATCTGCCTTCATTTTTTTTTATTGGATTTCCAGTTTCTCTTCATGGTTTGTTTCTCTTACGCCAGTTGTTTGTGTGTACCAGACGCAGAACCCCTGGCATTACTGCAAACAAGAAATCCCTTGAGGTTAATTTACCAGAAAGCTCGAGAAAGTTCATTACGTGCATCCGGAAATATTTGCTGTTTTATCTGAAGCTATTGGAGGAGGCTAGAGATATCTGTACGCTTGACAAGGCTTTTATATCTATTAGAGCTGATAAAAGGGTAAAAGTCAAGTTTCATCATTATACTCTGAACGCTCTTCTTCAGAATGTATTGCACGATCATTACTCAGTGCTTGAATGGTGAACATGAGTGTTTTACAGTATGCCACAAATTTCTTGAATTTAGGTAAGAAAAATTGTGATTGACAATACTGGTGGAGATAATTTGAATTCGAGCACAGTATCTCTCTCTAGTTGTTTTCATCTGGTTAAGCCAGTTTTTGCTAAATAATACTTGGTTCTCTCCATTTCATCTTCACCAAATATTTGGAACCACTAAATTGCTGCATTGATTATTCAGTATTTTTAGTCTCTACTGCAACTTATATTATCCTCATTATTCTTCTCTGCTGATCCTGACATTTGGCTTTCTTCTTTTGTACTTGGACTGCTTTGATATTTCTCACAGTTCTGCTTATGCATTGAGGATTTAGTTCCAGTTGCACTTGGAAGGTATATTAAGGCCATAATAGCATCAAGGCTCCAGGCTGACATTCTCAACTCAGGGACCAACACTACTGAGCATCTTCTGGAAAAGCTGTTTGGTTTGTTCATGGAGCAGGGGAATCTATGGCCCGATGTTTGCAGTTTGCCTGAATTGAAAGGCTCAGAAGTGTCGGAAGGCAGTCTATATGGGTAAGTTATGCTTTATATACGAAAGAATATTGAGTATTTAAGAATTAGGGCCTGTACTTTAGAATTTAGCTGCTTTAATAGGCAAAGGTTTGTCGTTAAAAGAATTGGTTATTTATGAATTCCTAGTCAATTACAAGGCCAATTGGCTGCTAGTTCAGTATGACTGTCAGATGAGTTCATTCTATATGCTGAAACACATGCGAATCATCAATTTTGCACATGGTGATATGAATCATTCAATGACCAATACATTGTAATCACTATGAACAACTGTAGAATTTATCTGTTTGGTTGTCTCTGAATTCCAGTCATTCTGGTGCGTTCTCCAATTCACCACTCCCAACTTTTTCTGTCGTATCAATAAATACTGAGCCCTGAATCTTCGGTTTGCTATTTTACTTAATGCACTTGTCATAACGTCTGGTGTAGGTATCTCCACCAATATATAAATTCACTTGAGAGAAATGGCAAGCTTGAAACTATCGAAGCTATCAATGAGAAGGTTCGGAAGCGTTTTAAAAATCCAAAGTTATCAAACAGTAATTGTGCAAAAGTCTGCAGGCATGCTTCTATCGCTTGGTGTCGATCTCTTATCATTGGTTTGGCATTGATCACACCTTTAGAACCTGGAATTTCATCTGATATCCAGGATCTTCATCAGACAGATAATGGGCTAGAAAACAGACAGTTCCTTTGTGTAGATCTACAGACAAGTGAATTGTGGAATCCTTCATTTGAGGACGCAAGCCAATTGAAACATCTGGAGATAAGATGGGGCCCGGTTTTGTCTAAGGTTAAGAATACTATAGTAAAGAAAGCCTCAGATGGAAATCTCGAAACTGCAAGAGATCTTCTTAGATGCTCATACAACTTCTACCGGGAAAGCTCCTCCATAACGCTGCCATCTGTTGTGAATCTTTATCTAGTGCCATATCAGTTGATACGGGGAATACAATCTCAAACAGCAACGGAAGGGGTTGAAATTCTTGATGTTAGCATTCCCAGAAAGCTTCTTTTGTGGGCCTACACACTGTTGCAAGGCCGTTATGCCAGTGTTTCAGCTGTTGTAAAGTACTGTGAAGAAAATGTTAAGGTAAGGGAGCAAATAATCCTCACATGTCATGTTACTCGAGTGTGATGATTTGGAAGGAGGGAAATTGCAATTGTCTCTGATAAAACCTCTGTTTGGCATTATATTCAATTGTGCAGAAGCTTTGGTAAATTTTGCATAAAATGAACATTGACAGCTTCTTGTACTCTAGTCCATGCCTTTTCCTCTTTAGAGGCTGATTCGTGCGCGCGCACTGTTTTCTGTGGACTAATTGAAGCTAAGTAATGACTGAATATTTTATTGTTGCGTTATGTAGCCGAAGATGAAAAAAACAGTCGGGCCCTCTTCAACAGCATCACCTGCAACTGTACCTAACACCAGCCCTGCATGCCCTGGTAATTTTTTTTTACCACATTTCTGTTTGCTTATTCTTTTTTTTTTTCCTTTGAAGCTGCAAATGAAATTAACTCAGGTTCACTATGAACAAAAATTTGACCACACTAAGATGCTTCTACGTGTTGGAAGCTGGCTTATAAAGCCTGGTTTGTCAAGAAAAGCTGTTAGATGGTTGGGTTGCAATTCAACACATCCTTGTATTTTTACTAAGGACCTTGTTTTATTATATTATATTTTTTATTTTGCATAACATTTTGAGAGGAATCTTCTCATATACACGAAAATATCAGAAAATACAGGGGCTCAAGCTGTTAGAGCACGTCTGTCGTTACTAGTCTTGTTGCAAGAAGTTTGAGAGGACACTGGATTGGAAATGACAAATTTTCTTTATTGGGGTATTTAATAAATACCATGGGACACTTGTCAAAAAAATCCTTTTATCGAAAAACCAACTTAGATTAATACTTATGAGGAATATTAAAGTCATGAACCCTTTTGTTTTCTCTCCAGTGGTTAATTTTCTTTTGATGAATACTTCTCCAGTTTATATTTTCTTGGGGTCATGCTTACATTTTAATTTAAAGGAAATCAAGAAACTTTGTTCGACCAAATTGAAGGATACATCTAGATTATGACAATAAAAGAACGATACATCTAGACTGCCCCTTGATTCAATCATTTAAATCCACTCTTTTTTTAATTGGCCTGGACAAACTCTGGTTCTTGGTCCAACCAGCTGAGGTAGCTAGTTCTCCTCTTAATTGAAAGCATTAATGGAAAACCATTCTCCTCTTGAAGCTGTCTGTCAGGTTTCACTTATCTCCTTCACTGACTCTTGTAAAAATAATTTGACGTCTTTAGGTGGTGCTAAAGATGGATTGAACTCAAACCCTTGTCCAGCAGGCAGCGAAGCGGGAGCTCCTGCTTCAGCAAGCGCGAGTACAGCTGCTGAAGAAAGGAGTGCCGTGCTATCCCACGAAGAAGATCGAGACAGAAATAGTGCAAATCTACAGGTTTGTCCTAAAGAGAGTAAAAAGAGTTTACTTGTCGCTCCCCAACTGCAGCAATGTCAGAATAGCATGCTTGCAGACAAGGGTGCTTCCAAAGCACATGAAGGAGAAGGTCCCAATGATGGCTGACTTTTAGCATCATACTGCTGTACGATCTTGTGTTGAACAAGGTTGTTTGCATGTATTGATGCCTTCTTTGCTGTCCTTTATTTTTCCTTTTTCTTTTGTATATTTCTAGGCAATCTTTAATCTCTCTTGGTCTTTCCTTGTATATTCTGAATTTAGAGAAAGCAAAAGGGTAAAAAGATGTGTGTTGTCAACATTCTCAGTGGAAATAACGACAGAAATATCAGGAAGGATCTGCTCCTTTGGTTTCCTGGGAAATTCCATCTTCCCTTCTGAAGGGACAGACTTCTCCAGTAATTCATCCTGGCCGAATCTGGGAAATTGAGCATGAAAATTCCAGCATTGTCAAATTATAATAACTGTTTGTCATGGGAGGAGACTATGGTCGATAGAAATCTATTATCATCTCAATTCCTTATAACAAATTGCTACTAGAGTCTTGGATGATTGATCTAATGCAAGCACTAATTAAGTACGATATCTTCCGTAGATGTGCTTTTACTAAAGATTGTTCCTTGTATTTACACTGCCATCGTGAAACCAAGCTATTAACTGCACACGTAGGTCGCTAGCGTTTTCTTTTTGGACATATTTAAGGTTCGTTTGTTTCAATAAATGATTTGGAAAATATCTTGACAGACATGAACTCACATATCGCTTGAAATAATTAGTTAGTGAAAAATATTTTATTTTGGACGATGATCTATGTATACATATTTTCACAGATGATGAGATTATCATTCATTTATTTTTATAAGCAATACAAATGATAATATTTAGAGAAATATTTATCAAATTATTTATTTTTTGTGAAACAAATACGTTATAATACATGATATGATCCATATATTAAATTCGTAATACTTTATAAAACATCGACGATTTGCAAAACATTTCCTCAAAATTGACTAATTATATCGCTTAAAATAATTGATCAATCATTATCAACGGCAATGTATGTTTAAACACTTTTATCGATAATAAAAATAAAATTCACTTTTATAAGCGATATAAATGACTTTTTTTACGAAAATATATACTAAATCGTTGATTATTCGCAAACAAACACACTCACAAAATTTATCCTAGATGGGTTTATTATTTTTCTTTTTTCTCCTCATTTTAAGGATGATCCCCAAGTGTTAAAGTAAATATCTCAATCCCTACTTGAGAAAGGAAAATTTTCTTCTACATTCTTCTCACAAAAATCCCAAATTTTACTATGTTTTCCACATTTATTTCTCATTTTCGACCCCTCCCAATCTTCTAAACCAAAGCCTAAGCCTTTGTCAAGAACAGTTTATCAAAAATAAAAAGTCTAATTAAGATATTTTCATGTTTTCTTTTTTTCATATTTTCTCCATTAAATAAACAGAAGATATGAAGTGAAGCAAAAAGCATACCAAGAAGAAGAAGAAGATGAAGAACCGGTGGTGGAGAAGCGACAACAACCAAAAGCAGACTTGCTACGCAACATACAAAGCCTCTCTCTCTCTCTCTCTTCTTCTCAAGAACTTCACCTTTGCTTATAAAAAGCAATTTTTAATGGACACCATTCCTCTCTGCTTCTCCCCTGCATCCAACCACCTCCATGGGGGGCGGCATGGGTTTCAGGCTCAATCTCAAGTGCGTCGTCCCTGTCCAGTCTCGCCTCCTCTCCAGCTCGCCCACTCGAATCTCTTCCTCTGGTGAGCACTTTGATCGTTCATTAGATAGATGAATTGTCGTCGTCCTCGACTAATGGGATTTAGTATCAAGTTGCAACTAGCTGGAGACTTGCATGTGCATGAGTCTTCGTAGTAAGCAACACCTGGATAGAGGTTTGTGGTACCCATTTAGAAGCTTAGCTGACTGTGACTGTCGGTCTTGTTTAGTTTACTTCTTTTGGAGCTTCGTGTTTTGAATGCATTTTAACGTTAGCGTATTGACACCCAGTGGCATACATCATCACCCTGTTTCTTGCTATATTGGTTTCTTTAGCACTGATGGGAAGTTCTTGGTTTTTCAGTCAGAGGCAAGGAAGCTGCTTTTAGCTCAGGAAGATTGTATTCTCTGTCCAGTATAGCTGAGGAGGTTGAGCCCTGCCATAAATACCATTCGAGTTCGTGTAAATGTTCGTCTGCGTCCGCTCCTACTTTGGAAGATGATCTCTCCAAAATGACGAATACGAAGGTCCCTCACTCTTCTCTTTTTAGAAGAACTCATGCCATCACTTCATCACCAATAGTCATCATCACTGTCGTCATTATTTTCACTATTCACCACCTAAATGAAGAACCAATATCAGTTGTGGCGCAGCATGAGGAGTTGCTGTGGCATCATTTAGGCATTACTTCCCTCTGGTGTAGCTCTTGGTGTCAATTATTGCCATCAATCATCTGTGTAGTGCAATTAACAGTACACAGAGAAAGAGAGAAGCACTTGGTCAGCTAGTGTGTATGTTGCAGAGAACTCAAAATCATCTTGTCACCGGTTCAAATTTGTCAGTGTCACAGGACTGATGTGAGGTGCACGGAATCTAATTGAAGGTCTTATTTGCAGGTAACTATTGGCAAGAGGCCATTTGGCAGTATAAACAGTGATACTGGTGGGATTCACATATCACACAGAGCAAACAACTCTAAAGGCAATACTAGCTTACAATCAGTCAAGGCAGCTCATTTTAGTTTGTTAATGGAAAATCTTAATGCATTAGAGGAAACCCTCAAAGATTCAGATGCGTTAAACTTGGAGAGAGATATTTTGCTACAGTTAGGAAGACTTGGAGCTCTAAAGTTATTTCATACCTGTCTGTCAAAAGCTTTCAATGCCCCAGATTCTTGTGAAGTATCTGATGCCGTGGTGGAAAAGAAGATGAGCAATAAAAGGGACAACCATGTCAGATCAATCATTCGGTCAGGGAAAAGAGAAATGAGAAAATCAAGAAGAGAGAGACAATCTGCAAAACCCAACCAAAATTCTCCTTTTTCATTGCTTTCGACTGCCAATCAGAAATGGCTTCAGCAACCTTCAGTTTCGTCTCACAGACGATCATCAAACTCCAAGAGAAGAAGATCGATAATTGCTAGGAATGAGGCTGAAATGTCAAGAGGAGTTAAGGTCATTGTGAGCTAGTAAACATTATCACCGTGTAAATCTCAAGGGACCCTGCTTAATTGCTTCTGACTTTGATACAGGTGCTTGCAGAATTGGAGAGAATAAGGACAATCTTGGAAGAGGAAAGAGGGCAGGTGCCCAGCTTGCGTTGCTGGGCAGAAGCTGCTGGAGTTGATGAAAATGTGCTGCGTCAGAACTTGCATTTTGGTTGGTTTTGCAGGGATGAGCTTTTGAGGAGCACTCGCTCGTTAGTTATATTTCTTACAAGGAATTACAGAGGTCTTGGTATTGCACATGAAGATCTAATTCAGGTCTTGCTCTTTTGGTTTCTCATTTTTCACAATTTCTTTCTTTGAAGTGCCTTTCAAACACATAAGGCTCCCACCACAGCCTAGCCTTGTATTAGAGAGCAAATGTTTCCAGTAATGGACCCTGGGACCTCTTGCTCACTGTGAAAGTACCTTGCCAACATCACTAGAGCAGGACCTACCCTCAGGCCATGGAAAAATTTCTGCTGCTTCCTTTTTTTGGAATATACTGAATAGAGATGGATAGTAATGGACAATATTGCCTCCTTTGTCCAGTTCATAAAGTGATAAATTGTTTATAGTCGTCTCCATGTTTGGTAGTCCTCTCTAGTTGACATCAAACAGAAACAGTCGTATAGTATTCTGCAAACTGAGCTTGCACATGCTAATAATAAGCTGATTTGTGCTAGAAAGGATGTTAAATGTCATACTGACTTTGGCAAAGAGTCTGCTTGCTACCTGCCGGCAGCAATTCGTGGAGACTGCTGTTTGTTTGTGAATAATTTACAGGCATTACCGGTTTTGCCTAGGCAATTCACCTGAACCACATATTCATGTAATTTTTCTGTCTGGCCTGAAGTGGCGTTGCCTCATTCTTTACTCCCGAGTGGAATGTATCTCATTTCGTAAATGCATCTATATCATTTTTGTAGTTAAGATCAAGCTTTGCAACCAATCTGGAGCCCCACGCCAGGTTAATAACCTGGCCTTGACTGTGATAATGACCAATGGTGTGATCTCCAAACATAAATAGAAACAATTAAAAGAATCTGCGTTCTGAATAAAACAATTATGCACATGCATTTCTCCCTTCTTCACCTTGAATTCTAAAAGATTTCAGTTAATACCATTGGGAAATTAATTGCAACTCGGAATACTTCTTTGTGAAACCTTTTTCTTTTATATGAGTGATAATTGCTTCAAAATGGGTGACAGGCTTCTCTTTATTCTCACAGATGTTTTAGTTCCTGGTATTTTTTTTTTGGTCATATTAGTTCCTGGTAATTAAACAGGGTGGAATGTTGCGTTTTTACAGGCAGGAAATATGGGCGTGCTTCGTGGTGCAGAAAGGTTCGACCACACCAGAGGCTACAGATTTTCCACCTATGTTCAGTACTGGATCAGGAAATCTATGTCCAGAATGGTGGCATGGCATGCTAGAGGGATCCGAATTCCTGTGGGTACCTTTCCTCTTTAAATTGCCAGTGCAAGTTTGCAAGAGCAAGAACATGGATTCTATTCTGCCTTCCTGTTTCTTTTTCCTTTCCAACTTTTTTCTTCTGCCTTCTGTATTTTGCAGACCACATTAGCCACTGCAGTGAATCAGATACAGAAGGCTCGGAAATCCCTTAATAACCAACACAGGAAATATCCTGACGATAAGGAGATTGCAAAGTTCACTGGCTTCTCTGTGGCTAAAGTCAGATCAGCTAGCCAATGCCTAAGAGTTGTCGGCTCAATAGATCAAAAAATGGGACATTACATCAGTGCAAAATATACGGTTGGCAAAGAAGTTTTTCTCTTTCATCTTCGTTCGTGCATTCCTCATCATTCATCATCAGCATTTAGGACCTTGATGTTTGAGACTTTCCTTTCTTTTCTTTTTTTGGGTGTCAAATGCATAGATAAGTAGTATCCTCGAGGGGTACCATCCTGTGTTTTTGGGCATGGAATTGTAGACAGAGCCATTAGTACACACGAAAGTTGGCGGTGATTTATGACTGAGATAATCCATCTTTGA